TCAAAGAGTACTTCTTTTGTCTTTGTCTTGTGTCTTATAAACCATTACATAACAGATAGCAATTATAAATAGTAGATCCTTTATTTAATTGTATGTTCCTTCTGCCTTTATCTCAGAATAAAAATTAGTCTCAAAGAGTACTTCTTTCGCCTTTGCCTTGTGTCATTTAAACCATTACATAACACACTATGTGGGGGAAAACCCTTGTTATATATGTCATAACGGCTATGGTAGTTGACAATGAATAGAAATAACCTATCCAAGTATGTGCTTCGTATATGATTATCAAGAATGAATATAAAAGAGATGTAGTCAAGTAATAAGTTACTCAAGTCAGCATAAAGGATTTATTATGCAATTTAAAGTAATATTTATTTATTCATTTATTTATAAAAAAAAAAACATAATGATTTACCTAAAAAAGTGGTCCTAAAAAAAAAGAGAGAAGAAAAAAACGTCGGCAAAACCGCTATAGCCCAATAAAAAGAAGCCCGTGATTGCTGCTAGTGGTGTTCATCCAGGTTGATCAAATCCATAGAATGAAGTTTTCTCTTAGCCCTACCAGTCAAGACACTAGGCCATAGACTGAGACTTAACTATGATTTGCTAATTATTTTTATCCCTACAGCATCAGCCAACTGTCTGGAGTAATTAGCAAACCGGCCACTAGCCATACTCGCAGATAACCAGCTACTAGTCACTATAAAGTACTCCTTCAAGAATCGTTCGTCAGTGGCAAAGACTTCAGAGGTCATCCATACAGAGATGTGCAGAACCTTATAGAAGGGCATTTGCGAAGTTATCATTGGCCATACAGTCATTATCCTGTGGTGAGTAAGTTTAAAAAACTTACATTAACCAAAAAGGGTCTTGAAAGCCATGAGTATTTAAGGGAGAATAAAAAGTATAAAGAAAAAGAAAAAAGAATGTATTTTTATATTTTTTTGTTTATCGGCTCTTATGAGAATAATTTTAACTCCCGTATTTATCCTTACCACATTTATCATTTCCTATCTATCTATATATTCTTTGGTGATAAAATGATATAAAGGAGTAAGAAATAAAATAAAACATGCTCATCACCTTAAAATGCAGACATTCTTCTCTTTGCTTACATTTTTGAACTCCTTTTCCCCTTTCTTGCATAACAAATATACTTGAAAGTGCTTTCTATTTTAGTGAATGTATTCCAGTGCATATTTATTTCTAAAACGTCTTCTTAATCTGTAGAGGAAAATTCATTTGGATAACAGTAATTTAATCAAGAAAGCGTTTAAATGAAAAATGCTGACGTTTAAGGGGTAATTCATATGTTGCTGGGCGCAACAAATAAAATTGTATTTGCAATGTCAAAAATAAAAAGGAGATAAAATTTATGATCTAATTCACTTTTACGAGTTATAGCTTTTCATTTTAGACTTAATCAAATCTGTTAGCCTAACCAGGCATTGACTTTATCATCGTGAACTTGCATTACTTAGGTTAAGGAAGATAGTGATAGACTACGTCTGTTTCTGCCATTATCCAAAAGATTCAAATGCTGTATTATAAACGAAAAAACAATTTAAATAGAGCCAAATGTTAATATAATGTCACGCCTTGGTAATTATTCAACAAAGATTCTTTAATTTCACTACAATATTACATGATACTAAGGAAGTATTAAAAAAGAGTTATCAAACATTTAAAGGAAGCTTCATTGTGTAAGTTATGAGCCAAGGTAGTATTGGGTATTCCTTGTTTTCTATATCATTTTTTCATGACAAGCTGCGAAAACAGAATGACTACCTGGCAGGGTGAGGCCTTTTATTTCTTTTGAACGTACTCCAATAAAAAGGTACCTTCAATACACACGTTCTGTTGTCAATATTAACTGTTTCATTCATCTTTCATAAGTTTGCAGCATGCATATTGCATACTTTTTTATTAAGATAGACGCATTTGAAAATAAATTAACTGCTGGATTATTTAATAAAGTTTGTTCATTTAAATTGATATATTATCATCAAATATAAAGATTGGAGAAAGGGGAAAGGTGGTAGAAATAACCATCTCGATTTACTCTCTCCTCTTTTACTTTACCTGTGTTTCAGCTCCTATCAACTATATTAGAAACAATAATAAAACCATAAGCAATCAAAGTTATGCCTTTACTAGAATAAGCAACACTTTCTCAAGATACTTTTTATTGATGCTTGCAAACCAAAAGGCGTACGTATTCGAAAGGTTATCTGCAAATTACCCAAGCACGATACTTTATGGTCACTGAAGTAGCTGTTCAAAGATGCATGTAATAAGTAAAGCGAAAGATTATGCAAGATGGGAGTAGCAGTTGCATAACTTGGACGATACATATTTGCTGCCTAGTCAGCCTGGTAAGCTTGAATAAACACCTTATAAATCAAATTTTTATCTACTTAGTTAATTATCTTTACATTGATTTTTCGCTTCATTAAATGCTTTTTACAGGCTCAAAATTACGCTATTAATAATTCAACATCTCAATAATCAAGAAAGGTGCTTAAGGTAAGATAAAACGATATCCATTTCTCTACTATTTTAGTGACATATAAACGGAAGCTCTTACTTCATTTCATCTTCAAATCTTCCTCAGCAGCAATCTCACAGAGTGATCAGCGTTTGATTAAACGTAAAGCTCACAAATGTTTAACAGCGTACCTTGAATCTACCCAAACGTATCTTCTTCTGTGTTTTATCCATCAAATTCTTAAAGTGTTACCCAGTTGAATTAGACTCTATCTTCAATTGCGATTTTTGCAATTGCTTTTGTAAGTGAAACAGTAGACCTCACATTTAGGAAGGATGTTTTTAGGGGAATGGTCCGTCATTGCAGACAAAGTGGCTAATTGAGTTTGGCTTATTTGAATGGAATATTCTTGAGCCTGATTGCTGTTACAGTGGCTATAATTGCCATAAGATAGTTGTTGTTAAGTGTCCAACTTGTTCAACTAAAATGATAACAATACTAACATTTGGTACTCATCAAGAAAAGCTCATTTTATTGGGTCTGATTTTCTTTGATGTCTAAAGAAAAAAAAAAAAAAAATCCCCAAATGAATGAAGAAAGTAATAGAATCATAAATCTAAACTCAGACTCCTTCAAATTAACGTGCAAATTTTTTAAGCTTAAACTCTTTCCCCCCTTCTTTCCTCTTTCCTCCCTTTGCACTTTTTAAGATGGCTTCTGCAAGAATTGATCCCAACTCTGCTGTGTACGCAACTGATGAATACGGTAGACCTTTTATTATTGTTCGTGAAGGACAGCAAAAGTCAAGATTACACGGATTAGATGCTATTCGAGTAAAATAAAAACACATCATACACGTGTTATATTTATTAATCATCTGTTCTTGTTAGTCTCATATTTTAGCTGCTAAAGCTGTAACCAACATTATCAAGTCGTCACTTGGACCCAGAGGCTTGGATAAGATATTGATATCTCCTGATGGTGATATCACAGTAACTAATGATGGTGCTACTATTTTGGATCAAATGGCAGTTGAACATCAAATTGCAAAGTTACTCGTTCAACTTTCAAAGAGTCAAGATGATGAAATTGGTGATGGTACAACTGGTGTTGTTGGTAAGTAACTTGCTTGGTGTGTATGTGCAATGTAGTCTTATCTTATATAGTATTGGCTGGATCTCTTTTGGAACAGTGTGAACAGCTTTTGGACCGCGGTATTCACCCAATTCGTATCGCTGATGGCTTTGAACGTGCTTGTAATGTTGCTGTTGAGCATCTGGACAAAATCTCAGACACGATTGAATTCAGTAAAGAGAATCTCGGCAACTTGAAAAAGACGGCAATGACCAGTTTGGGCAGTAAGATGTAAGTTGATGGAAAGAGAGCAAAAGAAATGATACTTACAATTTCTTCTAGTGTATCCAAGTGCCACGAGCAGTTTGCCGATATTGCTGTGAATGCAGTTCTGTCCGTTGCCGATCTTGAAAGAAAGGATGTTGATTTTGAATTGATCAAAGTAGACGGCAAGTTAGGTGGATCATTGGAAGATACCCTCCTTGTTCGTGGTGTTGTCGTTGACAAAGACATGTCTCACCCTCAAATGCCTCGTGAAGTCCATGATGCCAAGATTGCTATTCTAACTTGTGCCTTTGAACCTCCTAGACCCAAGACTAAGCACAAGCTTGATATTACAAGTGTAGAAGAATACGAAAAGCTCAAGAATTATGAAAGGGAAAAGTTTGAACACATGATCAAGCAAGTCAAAGACTCTGGTGCCAACATGGTCGTCTGTCAATGGGGCTTTGATGACGAAGCCAATCACTTACTCTTACAGAACCAATTACCTGCTGTCCGTTGGGTAGGAGGCCCCGAAATTGAATTGATTGCTATCGCCACTAATGGTCGCATCGTACCTCGTTTTGAAGACCTTGCACCCGAAAAGCTAGGCCATGCTGGTGTTGTACGTGAATTGACATTTGGTACGACTAAGGATAGAATGCTGGTTATTGAAGAATGTGCAAATACCCGTGCTGTCACTGTCTTTGTCCGCGGTGGCAACAAGATGATCATTGATGAAGCCAAGCGATCCCTCCATGATGCCATGTGTGCCGTCAGAAACTTGGTGCGCGATAATCGCGTTGTCTATGGTGGCGGTGCTGCCGAAATTAGCTGTTCTTTGGCCATTTCCAAGGTAGCTGATGAGATCTCTACTATCGAACAGTATGCCATGCGTGCCTTTGCCGATGCTTTAGATGCTACACCATTAGCTCTCGCCGAAAACTCTGGTTTACCACCTATCGAGACTTTAGCTGAAGTCAAGGCTCAACAAGCCACAACAGGTAACCATCAGTTGGGTGTCGACTGTCTGTACAAGGGATCAAATGACATGAAGGAGCAATACGTTTATGATCCTCTCATCTCAAAGCGCCAACAATTCTTGTTGGCTACTCAATTAGTCAAGATGATCTTAAAGATTGATGATGTTATTACCACTACTGAAGCTATGTAAAATTTTTAAGCATTTTTCTCCTTAATTTACCCTCTTCTCTGCTTCCTCTCTTATTTCTCTTTTGTGTGTTGTGCAAAGCAAATAAAAAAAGACAAGAATATATGTGAAATGAAGACATGCATTATCATTTATTGATGCTTTTTATATTACAAGGATTGTGCTTAATTAGTACTGTACAATTTCTTTTCAAAAGAATGAAGACCGTGAACACCACCTTCCATCTGGGCAGCAGCAGTTCTCTTTTCAAAACGAACCTGACCAGCAAAGACCTTGTCCTTCATTTCATTCACGCTGTGACAACCAATGTCTTGTAAAGAGTGTTGAACACCAGTGATGAGGTATTGCATGAATTTACGAGCAGAGCCCTTGTCGACGACCTTACCAACAACACCTTGAGCAACCTTGACGGCATCACCTTCAGAAAAGTAGCGTTTGGTGGCAGCATTACCGTCCTTGCCGGTAGCACTCTTTTGGCTCATAGCGTCAATGGAGCCCATACCACGGTAGTGCTTCAAACGTTGACCGTCGTGATAAAAGTATTCACCAGGAGTTTCGGTTGTACCGGCCAAGAGACTACCCATCATGACAGCACTTGCACCCAAGGCGAGAGCCTTGATGATGTGACCGACGTTAGCGATACCACCATCAGCAATAGTAGGCACACCAAATTTGCGAGCGAATTCAGACACACGGTAGACAGCAGTAGCCTGAGGACGACCACAGGCCATAACTTCTTGTGTAATACAGATTGAGCCAGAGCCCATACCGATACGAAGACCATCAGCACCAGCTTCGATCAAGTTGGCAGCCTGTTCACGAGTGACAACATTACCGGCGATAACGTCCAACTTGGGGTAGTTTTGCTTGATCCAGCGAATCATGTCGATTTGATAGATGGAGTTACCTTGAGAAGAATCCAAGACGACGACATCGAGACCAGCCTCGACCAAGAGAGTCAAACGATCCTTGTCATCAGGACGAGTACCAATGGCGGCACCAACCAAGAGTTGCTTTGATTTGGAGCCCTTGGAAGCATTAGGATAGTTTTGGTTCTTGAGCAAGTCAGAGCGAGCCAAAAGGGCAACGAGAGCACCATCAGCATTGACAATAGGGAGCTTGCCCTTCTTGGAAGAGCAAAGGATTTCGTTGGCTTCCTTCAAAGTAATGCCTTCACGGCCAACAACGAGGTCAGTTGTCATTACATCTCTCAAGGGAGTAGTGTCATCCTTGTGGAATTGAATATCACGAGCAGTAACGATACCAAGTAATTTGCTGTGCAATTTGCCGTTTTCTTTTTTATAGTTAATACTTTTTTTCCCCACGTACACATGCACACACACACAAACATACCTGTAATGGGAACACCACAGAAACCAGATTTGGCCTTGATAGCCTTAACATCGGCAACAGTGTGGTCAGCAGACAAGACGACGGGGTCAGTGATGAAACCATTTTCGAATTTCTTGACGGTACGAACCATCTTGGCTTGCTCTTCGGCGGAGCAGTTGTGATGAATAATACCAATACCACCCATCAACTATGTGTCATGTGTTACATTACGCTGCATGAAATATAAATAAAAAAGACTTACGGCCATGGAAATAGCCATCTCGGCTTCAGTAACGGTATCCATAGGAGAGGAAAGGAAAGGAGTCTTCAAGGTGATATTCTTTGTGATTTTTGATTCCAAAGAAGCCTTATCAGCAGAGAAATCAATAAAACCAGGCAAGATCAAGAAATCATTATAAGTCAAGCCACCACTGAGTTGCTCATCCATCAAAGCTTCAACGGAAAGGCCATCATTACGACCATATTCCTTCAAGACAGCATTTGCAGTAGAACAATCAAGAAAAGTAGACATTTTTTTTGAGTGAAGGAGGTTTTATTGATATAAAAAAAAAGGGGGGATTATTACCCCCCCTTCTAACAAAGGGTGAAAGAACGAGATCCTTTTATACTTTTTCAATTCGTGACTTTTAAAAAAAAATTTTTGGTGAAACAGATGTGACTCTTTGGCTTACACAAGATTGCCATTTTGTATATCTTTTCAACTTGTAAAAACAAAAGGAAAGGCTCCTCCATTCTAAATATGACGGATGATGTAAGCAGCTCAATATGAATATATGCTTGTATTTAATCAAGGATGTTTTTGTGTTTGGATATGCATATGCCCTTTTTTAGATTGATGATCAAATTTAAACACAGATCGATAAAAATAAGCAATTGATTTTTATTTTTTTTTTTTTTTCAAGTTATTCAATGATCTTAGGATGAGCTTTACATTCCTTACTTGAACCCTCTCTATTATTATTGTACCTTTTAAAAAAAGTAACCAAGAAGTATATTCTTTGTGTTTATGTCGAAAGTGTACATGTTTGTGGTTTAAGATGGCAAGTAAAGCAATGATTATAAACAACAACTAGATTACCATGACAGTTTAAATTAGTTTTGAGAGATATAATTAAGGGAAAGAGAGAAGAGAAAATATATGATGACAATAGACAGGTACTTCTGATAATCATGAAGTAAAATGAATCAACACACACGAGGAAGAAAAGTCTGACGTTTTTCTTTTTTCTCTTGCGCCCACATTTCTATTTGTTTTGCCTCCCCCTTAAATTTTGACATAACTTTATTTTCGAGTGAAATAAACAGAATTTATTCTCTCTCTCTCCTTTTCTCTCTCTTTTTTATTTATTTATTTATTTATTAAAAAGATGCATTATAATAGCAAAGTAAGGCCTATCATATAAAAATGTGCAAACATACGGAAACTAACGATGGGACATAAAGAATACATGGAAACCACCTGGATTTTATGAAATACCAAACATCCTAGGCAGCGCCTATCTGAGTCCAGATCCACCTGTTCGATGGGATCTTCGTCCACTTGACCTTTCAAAACAAATTACCAAGGTAATGTTGAATCATTTATGGTTGAAATTGACTCACGTTTCCATAGAGGCCGTGGTATCCACCCAACCCACATTATGAAATACCTCCTTTACCACCTTTATTGAAACACAAATCATTAAAATGTATAAAAAAGACGGAATAGTAAAAGACAATAAGTAGATGTAACCAATCATCATTCTCCGGAAATGATGGAGAATAAAGACAAAAACTGAATTTTACAGGTGCATCTGCGCTGAGCGGAATAAAATATGTTGGCTGATGTTGAAGCAACCTTACACTAAACTAAAAATAAATTTGCATAAAAAGCAAAGCAGTTATATAATGTTTTTTTTTTTCTTTCTTTCTTGACATGAGCAAAGAATACTATTGTTGTGTCCTATTCTATAAGCATTATGTTTCAGTTGGACAGACCATCTGTGACCGTTAGAGAGGACATTGAACCTCAACCTGCAAGATTCAGTGAAATGATTAAAAAAAAACTGGAGAGACACAGTTTAATTTCCATTCTGTGTAACAGGGCGTCTTGACAATTGTCCAACCTTCCTTTTGTCCTTTTTCCTTCTTTCTCCTCTTTTTTTTCTTTTACATAAATGGGTAACCAGTCAAGTAAAATTAATATACAGAATAAAAAGAAACAAGACGCAGTGATAAAATCATCGACGTCTATTTCGACCAATATTGGTTCAATTGCAAGTAGTCGAAGGTCGTCTATCACAGAATTCTTTGCTAAGCGAAAACAAAGTATTGCATCTATAATGAAAAAAGAAGAAGATATTAAGGAACACGATAGAGAACAGAGACAAGTAAATACACAAAAAAAAAGGCTTACACAAGTCGGTAACACTTGAGCTTTAGCATTATTTATTAAAAAACGTACGCAAAGGCAACACACGTACCTTATTAGACTCGCCTAAGCGAATTGTAGAATCAGGAATAGGAAATGGCATTTGGGTACTAGAAATGGCGACGCAGTACCCTGATGCTCAGGTGATTGGTTTAGATCTTAAATTACCTGACATTCAGTTATCAAATCAAACTTTCTATCGGGCTAATATCATTGAAACTTGGCCAATAGAGCCAGATTCAGTGGACTTGTAAGTTTCCTTTTAAAAGAAAAATGTGCCTTATAATAATTACCTATGATGTCAGCTTATTTCAAAGAAACATGGTCACCTGTCTGCAAAAAGATCATTGGATACATGTCTTTTCAGAAATGTTTCGTGTCCTCAAGCCAGGTGGGTCATTAGAATTGATCGAACAAGACCCTTTACATCATAATCCGGGCCCTGTCCTGCAAGCACTCCATGCTTTCTACAAGGAACAATTTAACCAAACAAAGATCGACTGGGAGTTATCGACATTACAAGACGCCTTATCTCAAATAGGTTTTATAGACATAGAATTGATAACAATAGACATACCAATTGGTGAATGGCCAACTGAATCAGGTAAGCAAAAAGAATGACTTTGGCTTATTTTATTGATATATTTTTATTAGATCAAAAGCAATTTGGTTTTATGAATAAAGATATTCAAAAGGCATTCTTGAAGAACAAAAAGAACGAATATATGCAACGATGGGGCATGTCATCTGTGGATTATGACGTCGCAGTAGGTGAAGTATGCGATGAATTTGAAGAATATCAATCATTTACAAGAGTCAACTGTTGGATGGCCAAGAAACCGGTTTATTGATATTAAAATAAATTTTAGAATTGGTTTAACTTTTCCGCCAAAAATCGCTTTGGCCCTCTACTATTCTCTTAACGTTAACACATGCATCGGGTTAGAAAAGGATCAGCATACCTCTTTCGAATATTATACGCGTCCCTTGCTTTTCTTGACGATCTGCCATCTTCTTGAAGAACTTCATTCGACAAGCTATGACTGCTCTCTCTACATTCCTTCCTAATATCTTCTATCTGTCGATTAAAGTCAAGTTTGGCCTGCTGATTTGTCTGAACTGTCTCCTGCAGATGGGCTATATTAGCATCTAGATGGGCAAGTGTCCTGGCTGTCTGTGCTGACCATGCACCCAATGTCTCCATCATTTCGTCTAGCTGCTCTGGTCTCACATCACGTCCGATCGCCTTGGTCACCAAAAGTTGTTGTTGGCGTTGATCTAATTTACCTGTCAAGAGACCATCATACATGGCATCCATAATCAAATCCTCCAGTTCTCGAACTGTGGCTATATTTAGTTCATTTAATAAAAAGGCATAGTCCAATGTCTATACATACAAACATCAGTTATTTCTTTGTAAATAGCGGGTATCATTTATACCTGTGTGTGTTCTGAAAGAGAAACAAGGGTTAACTGTCTAAGCTTTTTTATCTGTGTTGTTGATAATGTTGGTAAATTATGTTTTTGTTGTTGATATTCTTTAAATGTGCCATAGAGGAAGATGCGTAAAAGCTGGTAGTAGGGTATCACTTGGGGTAATTGTGAGGCCTACAAAAAAAAAACCTTAGCACCTGATTTTAAAAGTGCATAATTACTTACTTGAACAATGTTGGGTGATTCATAAAGCTCGGTGAATACAAAAACACCGGGCGCATTTAAAGCGTCCATTATGAGCTGACAGCAGGCTATACCTTTGGCTGACTTTGATAATAAAAGAAAAGGTTCAAGCTTTTGTTTTGTGGATAAATTAAGATTGGCTTCATTCATTTTCTTTTAAGAGAAAGAGAAAGAGAGAGACAGAATTATGCGCATTCGTAAAACCGTTCCATAGGAGGGTGCGCATAGAGCAATCATAAAACAGTCACAATATCTGGATCTGTCCACACACAAATATTGAAAGAGTAGACTTTAATATTTTATTTCTACAAAAAATAACCCCTTTATCCATTCAATGTACACATCTCTTTTTGTTTAAGGAATCTCTACTTTTTCCATAGCAAAGCTTGCCACGTTTCGAGCAGTACTTGTAGTAGCAGTAGAAGCATAAGATGAGATCGAAGGTGATTTGTGAATCCAACTGGATATACTCTTTTTCATCTTGCCTAAAAGAGTTTTATGAGGATAGTACCGTATGCTAGGTGGAAAGGCTATCTGAGGTACTTGAAGAAGCGGTGGTGAAAATGTTGTGGATGACATAGGATGGACAAGAATAACAGGTATGTTAGCCAACATGACGTCTTTTTTGAATCTTTGAGAGCGTGTAAATGCTTGTACTTCAAAAGAGACGGCCATACTTCCTTGTTGTGAGATGGTAAATTCATTTGCCTATGCAAAAGATGAGTTGATTGTAAGTAGAATTCTTATTACTTACAGGTGGTTGGATTGTCATCAGGATAGTATCTTGTTGCTCTGGTTCTAAAGGTTGCCACCATCCTAAACTTGAACTAGTTGCAATAACTTCTTTATTTTGCTTAAATCGTTTGACTAGTCTCAGTTTAATTTCATTAATCTAAATGTAGATGTAGTTGAATAAATAGAATAACGTAAAAATAAAAACTTACACTGTGGTCTAGTGTGTTGTTTTGAATGGTCAAATGTATATAAATAGGTGTATTGTCTGTTATCCAGACAGTACGAGGCATATAAAAGTCAATAGACACGTCAGGATGTGCGGATGAAAAAGATATAGGTTTATCCACATTCATGTAATGGCTCATGTTTGAATACAGCTCAAATCGTTTCTTTACTCTCACTCTCTCTATGCTACCCAAACGTGTATACCAAAGCTCACTTTAAAAAAAAAATTAGCCTAGTCACACATAAATATAAATTGTTACCATTGAATGTAGTACTGAATGGAACCCCTTTTATGCGCATAGGTACCACTCAATAGATCCGACAGCCTGTAGTTGAATGGCAGCGTCAATTTGTGTTCCATATCAATAGAATCCAATTGAAGAATGGTGTCCTTGAGAAAGACGCGACTCTGTTTGTTGACTACATTTTAATATATATGAATATTTTCTTTGTATACCAATCATTCCCCTTTTACCTTCCTTTCCTATCACGTTGACAGTGACACCAAAGATTGTACTCTGGTAATGTTGAATGACGACCGTGCCTGAAATATCTTGACCTGCGACAATAGATGGTGATTTCATATAAATCTGGATTGTAGGTGCACGTAATGCATGATAGAGAAAGAGTGTCCAATGTTTATAATGGTGCACAAGCGACATCAAGAATAATTAAATAAATGAAAAGGGAAGAAATCAAAAGAAAAAGGAATGTGTCTATTAGTTTTATTTTTGGGTAGGATCAATAAGAGCCAAAAATGGTAAAATTTGCATATTTTATGCTTTCTCTTGTGCCTCTGGAACAAGTTCTATAGGTACTTGTGGATTGATAAACATGAGACATGATTCAATAATAAACAGTAAACTGATTATATACTTTAATCCATGTGCCAACATGAACACACAGCAATCATCCGTCATAGTCTTCAAGTCAAACAGGATGGCAAAGATCCAACTGGCTGCTAATCCGAGCGGCATAAATACCTGACAAATCTTTTCTGTGATAGAAATTGTCTGTGATGGAGGTATCAACATGATAAATAGAGGACAAAAAATAGAAGCTTGTGATGCAACCAGAGTGGATATAAGACGACGATCAAGAATGGCTTGAGATACAAGCAAGCGTGAGTCTTGTTCATGGATATAGATTGGTTTTGATTTTGAGCTATAATTTATCAAAGACAACAAAATGATAAACACAGTCAGGCATAAACAAAGAAGACGGTGATGGTTTAAATAAGTAAATGTCATTTCTAAGAAAGAAAGAAAGAAAGAAAGGATAAAGGGAACAATAAAGGATCATGGAATTATTCTCTCTCTGTATAAAATTACAATCCAAACCATTCTACACTAAAAAAGTCACGTCAACTCATTTCCTTCTCTCTTTTTCTTTTTTTTTTTTTTTTTTTTTGTAATCAACAATGAGTACAGAAGCACGTCAACCAACTAGGTACTGGTGTCATATCTGCAATACTGAGGTTCCTATTTACATGGCGCCTGACCCTACTTGCCAGCAGTGCAATGAACAATTCATAGAAGAAGTAAGTAAAAATATACAATGTATATGCATCGTTTAATTCGTCTGCGCGGCAGTTACAAGCTGACGACGATCCTCGAGAATTTTTGTCGGGTGATAACCACCAACATAACGACGAATCTGACGCAGGCAACACCTCTACTAGAACATTTCGAAGACAAATATTTTTACCTGACGGAGGATCAGCTCAACTGTTTTCGATTTCACATGGCAATCGAGGTGAAGTAGGTGATGACATTTATCAGTTCTTTACTCCCAGAAATGAAGCAAGCAATGAACAACAGGAACAACCAGAGCCAAGCATAAATAATATCGTACAGGCATTACTAGCCAACTTGATGAACCAAGCTCACACCGAAAGTAATAACACCAACAATAATAATAACAATAATGAAAACAGTCAAGAAAGTACTACGGATAACCCTCAGACAGCAACTGGCAATAATGAAAGTGGTAGTGGTAGTGGTAGTCGACCCATCGTCTTTTATGGCAATATGGTCAACGGTAGTATTCGCTTTCAACCGTTCTCTCCAAACAACAGTAATAACCAAGAACAGCAACAACAGTCTCAACAAGGAGATGAACAGAACAATAACAATAATGATACCCGAGGAAACGTTGCCAGGTATATAATGCATATTTATTTACTTATATAGATAATGAAATTAAACTCGCTTTGCTCATACAGTAGCATCCTTCAATTCATCACAGCCATGACAGGTGGTGCTTTGGGAGAGGAAATAGTCGGCAATCCAAATGATTATGTGTTCAGTAGAACAGCCTTTGATAACATCATTACGCAACTGATGGAGCAAGCAGGAGGGTATGAAAGAGAGAAATAGGAGAAGATGTATATTAACACTATTATATAGAGGATCAGCGCCACCACCTGCACCTGAGCAAGTGATTGAGACGCTGCCAAAAAGAGGGTTAACAGAAAAAGAAAAAAGTAATGAAAACGTCATGTAGGATAATTAGAGCTCAACTTATGATTTTATAGGTCAAGAAGCAGATTGCGCTGTATGTAAAGATGCATTTGAAGCAACTGAACAAGTCATTCAGCTTCCTTGTGAACATATATTTCATGATGATTGTATCAAGCCATGGTTAAAACTCAATAGTACATGCCCAGTCTGGTAAGCCATTCTTGCTGGATCTTTTTTTTTTTTTTTCTAAACCTTATCTAGTCGTCACTCTGTTTTGCCTGATCAACAAGAGCATAGTCAACAAAGCGATCTAAACAATAGAGAACAAGGACAGCAAGGAAATAATGAAGAACGTTTAAGAGAACAGCAACATTCATCACAGCATCCTGACGATATCGATCTTGATTAATGTAAGAGTTTAAACTTGGATTTGAGTGAGAGAATGATGATGGATGAAGAAATTAAAATGATGAATAAACAAATAAAGATTGAGTATATGCATCCGTATTTGACTGTTGTAGAAGAATTCAGGGTTGTCTAAGGTGTTCCATGAGTTTTATATTGTATATGCTAATTGTGATATCTTACTGCAAAGGAAGCACCATAATGGGATAGGATGACCCAGAGGATTTTGCAGTATCCTCTTGGTTTTGGTAGTTCACTGTATCCTTCAAATGAAATCATCATCCAACCAATATGTAAAAGTGAAAATAAGCTTGTCGTGATGGCAGATATAAAATACAGGGTAGCCTGAGGACAACTCTCACACATCAGGACACCAGGTCCAATCGATTCAACCAAGAGAGAGATGTATCCAACCAATGCACTCGTCAAGGCGTATCCATATCCAAATACTGCGGGATTGTTTGTATTAGTTTAGATTAGAAAAGTATTCAATATTACCAAAAGAGAATATATGTTTGTTGAATGGGAACATTGGATTGGCTGATATACTGTTTAACCCGTGTTCTGCTCGTCTTTGTAACAAATAAAAACAATATCGACATATTTCTTGTATGACTATACTATAAAGTATGCTTATGTAATAGTTTGTCCTGGATGCATACCAAATGACACTTGACAGTAATAAAGCAATTAAACAAAAGAAGGCACTAAAGACAATTAAGACAAAGTAATTCGACGTGACGCGCGAATGCTTCTTTACCTTGCCACAGTTAATAGGACATATTGTGCAGTAGGAGCTATAAATAATATAAAGATGGACAAGATGGGACCATAAGCCAAAAAGAGACAACCAAAGAAAGACAATAGGCTCATTGATAACAAAGAAAAAAAAAAAAAAAAAAAAGAGACAAAACGGGGACTCAATTGTCTAATTTTGAATTGACACACATATTTGATATAGGTTTTGTTTCCAACCTTTATCATCTATTCACTCGCGTACATTCCCTAGTCTAAGCCCTAAACCCCTCCCTCCTTTTAAATATGTCTCTTTGGTACTCCCATCATCCTTGTTTCAGACATGTTAGTATTTAGAAAAAAGCCTAATGCAAAATATGACTGTTTAAAATTTTTAATTTATACGTAAACAATTCCATTTCACATTTTTTTTTTTCTTTTCTCTTTTCTTTCTTTCCACTCAAATAACTTTTTGTTGAGAGATCTTAAATATGTTTCAAATGGAACCTTATGACACTACTGATACAGACACTACAGCCTCACCTATTTCTAATCAACGTCGTGATGATTATGGTCGTAATAGAAATAATGGCGGCAATGGTGGTGGTCCTATAAGAGATAACCGAGGAGGAGGAGGAGGAGGAAGACGTGAGAGATATGACAGTAGACCACCTTACAATAAGAATCGTCCTAATCGTAATTCTAAAAAGAATGAGTATCAAGACGACAGATTTGGTAAGCTAATCACATAATTTTATAAACACAAAAAAAAAGTGCAGTATGTGTGTGCAGTGTGCGGCGTGTGAGCGGATAGAGAGAGAGAAAGAAAAAAAGGAAAAAAAAAATTAGAGAGCATCAATATGCATCACACTATGTGCGCTTTTTTGTGTGTGTGCGTGTGTGTGCGTGTGTGAGAAAAAGAAAAGGCATAATAACTGAGCTCTCTCTCTTGTTATAATTGAACTGATTTAGGCTATGATGATGATAAGTCTCGTTTACCCCCTCATATTGAGTCAAGAGTTGCCCGTGAGAGACCATGTAGAACACTGTTTGTAAGAAATGTTCAGGTAATATAGACATATTTATGCGCCCAACTGTATGAGGACGATAGTTGTTAATTGTACTGTAGTATGGCATCACTGAGAGTGAAATCCGTAATTTATTTGAAAAGTTTGGTGAAGTCAAAGATGTCTTCAATCTGATCGAAAACAGAGGCATGATCTTTATAACTTATGTAAGCCATCTTTTTATTAGCTCTATCTATATCTCTGTGTCTCTCTCTATATATATATAACCTCTATCTCTCGTTAAACATTTCTTTATTTTCTTTGACCACTCACTATTTATATATATAGTACGATGTTCGCTGCGCAGAATCAGCAAAGAACAATATGCAAGGTGTCATCTTACGTGACAGACAGATTGACGTTCACTATTCTTTGCCAAAAGAAGAGGAAGAGAAAGCTAAATGTGACAGAACTAAGAATCAGGTATGTGTTTATATCAATCAACCAGCATGATCTTAACATTCCTTCCTCACAGGGCACTCTTCTCTATACTCTGAAAAATTCATCTTCACCTTTAGATGACAATGAGCTGCATCAGTACTTTTCACAATTCGGTGAAGTTAAGGCCATTCGTATACCTAACTTTAAGAAGGCGCATCTTGCCCAGAATTACGACAGGTACACTGTGGACGAAATTCTTAATACCATTCTTTCTCATTTCATTGTCAGAAACCAACGGCTGATTGAGTTTTTTGATTCAAGAGCTTGTGTTGCTGCTTACGATGGTACTATTGATAAAGAATACAAAGGAGGTCGTTGGGACGTTGCATTCTTCTGGGACCATCCGTATAAGGAGCGCATCAATGCTGGTAAAAGAGAAAGGTTGGATAGAAAAGAGAGGGAAAAAGAAAGAGATAGAGATAGGGTCGTTAGACATCGTCGTGATAGTTACGATCGCCACTATACTAGTTCCTCCGCTCCAGTTCATCATGTACCCATGCAAGCTTCACCCATCCCTCCTACACCTTCAACCGCCGCCAGTTCTATCCCTCCTATAACATACACTACTCAGGGATTACCTCTTGAATTAAGCCAGAGATTAGAACAGGCACAAAAGGCGCAACAAATCTTATCCATGTTGGCTACCCAGCAGAGTGGTTATCCTAGCTTGAGTGGTTCACCTATTTCTGTTGCACAGCAACAGCCTCAGTTACTTCAGCAACCCTATGTTCAACCACCAATAACTCCTGCTAGTGCTGCAGCCAGTACTAATACTTCCAGTACAGATGATCAAGCAAGTCAAGTCCACCAATTGTTGGGTCTATTGGTAAGTTATTATAAACCATACTGAATCGTATCTCCCACATTCTCAATATATCCTAGTCTCAAGCAGCTGCTCAGCAGCAACAACAGCATCCTCATATGCATCAACAAACGCAGCCAGCCCTTCAAGATGTTCAATATTCACTTTATTCACAGCAAGCTCAACAGCAACCGTTAGTCGCTGCTGCCCCCATTCCTGGTATGGATGCTGCTACTGCCTTATCCAAGTTGGCACAAATACTTCAACAACAACAACAACAATCTCAAAATCAATAAGAAAGAGGCTGTATGTGTGTTTCTTTATTTTTTTTTTTTTCTTTCATTTTCCTGCAAAACTCGTTATTCAAAACAGCACTTTTTTTATTTAAATAAACACTGAACCATTTATGGCAAAAACCTAAATGAAGCCAGGAAATAACAGAGAAAAAAAAGAGGAAAAGGTCATTTATTGTCTTGGCTGTTCCAAAGTAAATGACGTATAGTTTAAAAATAGTAGCATTGAAAAAAAAAAGATATATAAAGGCTTGCCCTTTTATTCTTTTCTCTTTCTTTAATACATGACGACTTCACCATCACTACCACCTTTAATACCTCCACATCAGTTAAAAGCCAATCATCGACAGTCATTTTGTTCTTCATCGGATGATGACGACAGCTTCATGATGGACGAGCATAAATTTTGGCAAGTTCACTCTAGTACACTGATCATTTCGCCTCCATTGAAATCACCTACCAAGAAGAGGGTTCCATTAAACTTGGCCAGTCAAGTTAAACAGATATTAGGTTCAACCATAGATCAGGTGGATGAAGAAATCGAACAAGAATGGAATCAACGACCACGTACCTTTCTATCTGAATTTTAATTGATACAACAAAAAGATGGACAACATTGTGTAATTATATCCATTGTAAACACCTATTTTTAGTACATATCCCGCAGATTAAAAAAACCCATAAAAAGTAGCCTATAATATCTCATTCTATTTATATTTGTATGCATTATTAAATAAAAAAAAATAAAAATCAAAGTTTATCAGATTATTGATAAGAATGAATAATTTAATGTGATGATATCAAAAGGGGGAATGTACATGTTTCTATAGTTTTAAACTTTACAATGCGTGTAATCAATTAATAATGACGATCTATTTTATGAAGAGGGTCATGATGACTACTCTCATGATGCTGAGAACCGGTATATGTTTGTTCTGTCAGAGGCATCAGATCAATTCGTTCACTGGATGACAAGAATGGATTATGTTTTGTCATAATCTTTTCCTTGACTGCCTTCATCATCTTTTTACCCAGGTTATCCTTCTTGATGCCAACAGGCGCGGTATCATAATGGCGAAGTCGAAGTTCGCCCAGGGGCATCCAGTCCTGTCCTGAACTCTTGGTCGCTTTTTTATCAACAGGCAAGCTTATGACAGAGAGTCGAGACGTCTGGGTCGTTGTACGGTAAACAGACTTTCGATAGTCGTCAAAGACCTGATGGTCGTCTGAAGAATAGGCAAATCCAGTAAACGAGGTACGTGTGCCGGTTCGCATGTTCATGATCTCGCTTCTACCAGACAAGGTGCGTGATAGCCCCAGTTTTGCCTTCAGGTGATCTCTCTTTCGTTTGATCGTACTCGCCATCGAGTGGTCACTGTAGCTGCGCGCCATCGGTATCTGCTCTTCGTCGACATATCTGTACTTGGTTTTCTTGAGTCCGCTGTTGCAGAGAACGATTTCTCGAATGATGTCATTGTCATAAGGACGGTACATGTGGAGGTAGTACTTGGTTATTACCCGAGGTAGTAAACAGACGGCAAATGTGAGCACAAGGCATAACCAGAAGCTAGCCTCTCGAAAGATGATGTCTTCTCCATAAAACTGGAATGTGGGCACGTTTGAATAGATACCAACCCAGATGAAGAAAGTAGCGGATGAAAGTGAAATGCAAAGAAACATGATCCAAGTCCAGCTAAAGATCGTGAAGCCCACAAATGCGTTTGCAACGACAACAGCAATACCGGCAATAAAAGTACCTAGTTCAATCACTCCTTCGGTGTCATATCCTTCTCTACTTGCCTTGGGGCCAACAAAGAGCATGTAGGGTAAGCCAAAACAGATGGCACTTTGGTAGATGGCGTCAAATACTGTCAAATAGAATCGAGATGTGGTGAATTTGTCGTTTCGGATGCCCATTAAGTAAAGCTGTGGGTATTTAAATGAATACTCTGCCTTAAGATCTTGATCAAAGACACCTGAATAGTATATTAGCTTATAAGCCAAACTCTCTCGTCTGTAGTACTTACCGGCAAAGATACAGGGTAAAGATGTAAAAACAAGGTTATATAAGGTAATGTAGGAATAATCAAACATCATCGTTCCAGAGAACCTAATAGAAAAAGCGTATGATTATCATCTTGCGTTTTCAAACAACCATCGATGAACTTACCCACACATCAGTTGGTACCAAAACAGGACCAAGGTCCACATGATGTTTTTATAAAAGAAGGTCAAGATCATTTCAGACGTACGTAAATAAGACCAGCGACCATGTACCAAGAGAAGCTTACCCAGGTATCTAAACTGAGCAATGGCGTAATCAGACGCCATCACAGCTTGACGTCCTTCTTCTCCAGAAATACCAATGCCCACATTAGCCTCTTGAATCATCGAGACATCATTAGCACCGTCTCCAATCGCGAGTGTCATCACCTTGAGCCCCTTCTTGACAAGATTGACGACTTTTGCCTTTTGCATAGGGCTCACACGGCAGCACACGACTGCACGACATTGTGTACCAAGTGAAAGCAATTTGAGTCGACAGTCATCTTTTTCAAGCGCGTACTTGAGTGATTCACCATCGATGATCAGCGCACAGGGCTCTGATTCAGATTTTTCTCGAACCTCGAGCAATGCCTTTTGTAACTGGTCCATAGTATCTTCTTCGCTTTTGGCATTAATGCTAATTAGCAGCATCTCATGTGTAAGCAAGTTACAGGCAAAGCCAATATTGATTGCTGTCTCTACTTTATCACCTGTCAAGACCCAAATCTTGATGCCTGATTGAGCTAGTAGAGCAATGGTATCTGGCACGCCCTCTTGTAACTTGTCTTCGATGGCTGTACCACCAATCAGAGTTAACGACGATTCGATCTCTTCGCATACTTGCTCAATCTGTTCTTCTCGGTTACGTATGCTGTTTGACGCAGCCTTGTACCGAGCCGCCCATTGTTGGTACTCATCTTCTTCAATCACTCGACTTGCAATACAGAGAGTTCGTAGACCTATTAAGCGATTGGTACATTGTTTCTTTTTTTTTTTTGGTATCCATATATTACCTTCATTAGCAAATGTTGCTAAATGCTGCAGGGTTTCTTCCCTCACTTTCAGTTGCCGTTTACTTGCTTCATCATCCAATTCTTCCAAGCCTTTAGACAATCTTTCGTAAATAACAGAATCAGCACCTTTACATAACAAGATCACTTTGCCATCCTGAGGCGACCGCATGATCACACTCATTCTCTTTCTTGTCGAATTGAATTCCAAAACGTTCAACAGGATCATCGTTTTCTGTTCGCCCATGATATCTACGACCACATTATCCTGTTCTCTTGCCACAAAAGTAAAGCCAAGGTCTCTTGCCGTAGCCACAAGCGCAGCCTCATCCGGCGACTGAGCCTTGTACTCAATCTTATCGTTCTCATCCAATTCGGGAATCACCGTGTGACAAAGAGCCAATGCCGAAAAGAAATGAACCAGGCTTTGAGATTGTTCGTTTTGGGCACAAATGTCGTCAAAGACTTTGGGGTCAACAAAGGTCGAGGCTGGATTCATGTATTTGTGATCAAACAGTGCGCTCTGTTTCTCAAGCATCTCAGCTCGTGCCTTTTCGAGATCAACTTGGTTCACAATCTTGGCAGAGTCAGCCGCGACGGCTCCATCTCTTAGTTTGGCACCTACAGCAGCTTCGGTTTCGCCCAAGCCGTAACATACACCGTTAACAGTACATCGTCTGAATTCCATAATGTTTTGAGTGAGCGTGCCGGTCTTATCAGAAAAGATGTATTCGATTTGCCCAAGGTCGTCAGAAATGTTCCATGTCTTGGGAGTACATGGTAAGTCGAGGCGTTCATTGTAAAGGTCAATGTCAGTGTGAATAAAGTAGGCCTATTGATATAATTAGTTCCAATGTCTATGTGTTTAATTATGCACTTACTGCGGCTGTCTTGACAATTTGCACCGAAATGTAGAGAGAGATAGGAATGATGTTTTGATAGATGACCAAGGTTATCCTATATGCAAATGGTGAAAATTACGACTAATTTTTATAAAGAGTAACTTACCAAAACATGATAAAGCCTTCCATTGTCCCATTTTCAGCATCTGGCACTTCAAAAAGGTTAGATGACGATGGACTATCATACAGGATACTCGCAGCAATAGAGCAAATTAAACACAAGGCTAAAAGTATTATAAAATTGAAAATGACCTAAAAGAAAAATATTTGGGTTTGTACATTTAAATGTATTATAAAAAACACACGAAAAGTAAAGATGCTTTACATAAGGATTTGTCTGCTTTTCCATCTTGCTTCGTTTGCTTGGTGTCTTGCCAGAATTGAGCATGATTTTTGTTTCATTTCCAGTAAACAAGACGAGTCCAATGACCCAGCCTGTATTCCTCAAGACACATCCACGTAATAAAATCGAACTGCCTGTAATCGCCTCTGTCTTTTCATGGGATACTATATCGTCCTCGTCGTCGTCTCCATAGTCTGCAATCGTTTCCAGTTCTACCGCTGTTTCTTCCGATGCTGTATGCGTAGAGAATGAGCTCTGTCGTCTTTCTGGCGTTTTATCTTCTGTTATCTCATCTTCTACTTTCCATTTCAACACACCATTATAAGAGTACAGGTTGGCATGCGGTGGTTCACTTTCGATATAAAACTTGGACTGCTCACAATCTTCGGGTGTTCTGATCTCATTTGTGGCCTGCAGCGAATGCTTAATCTTCAAGTTTGTTTCACCGTCCAAATTTTGTGTTTCTACATAACAAAGCCCGTCTGGTTCTGATGACGATAAGACGACCATATCGGCTGGTACTGCATCATTGTTTCGAAGAAAGACAAAGTCGCCCACCTTCACGTCCTGCCAGAGCGTTCGTTTCCATCGCTTATCCACTGGCTGTCGTATGCTCGTCGACTGACGCTTCAAGGGTTGTGGTTTAGGATCAAGCATGGAACGTCTCAAGACCGAGTGAGGAACTTGGCCTGGCCTGTAACGCATCTTCTTTTTATGAAACACAGCCGAAGCCTTTGACCGAATAGTCTGTCGAAGGGAAGTTTTGCTGTTCTGACCTGTTTCAAGCCTCATCAAGGTCTCCTGATCATACCCTGTCCTAAACAGGTTCTTGATTGAATTGAGCCACCTTTTCCACCGAGCCACTTTGTAGACAGGTGTATTTACATTTTTCCAAGCTGATAAGGTATATGTGATGGCCTTATTTACACTTTCATCCGTGTGAAATCGTCTGTTGTCCTCAACTGCGTCCTTGGCACCCGTCAGGATAAGAATGGCGGCCAAGGGTAAAATGACCAGGACGGGTGAAGCTGAGGTGCTGAAGAGAGGAAACATTTGAAGAATGACAAGAAATAAGAAATAGATGTTGGCAATGCCTCTGAACTGTTCAAAGAGGTTCTTTGGTAAAAAGGTGTACCAAGTATATTTGGCTGTACGAATTCTATTTGAAATGTAAGAATGTGTCGGTTGGCCGTAATCATCTAACTCCTCGAGCGGAAGGTCCATATTGACATATATGGTTCGTTGCTCGGTTGAAGCTGTTGGAAATGCATTCTTCTTCTTCTTTTGTAGTTTCGAATAGAATTGCTTCAGCATAAAAAGATTTTTTTATGAAAAGGAAAGGAAAGGGCAAAAGAAAGAAAGGAAAGTGGGAGAAGGAATATTTATAAATGAGGGGAAAAAGAGAAAGACAGTAAGAAGAGAAGTGATAGTCAAATTAAATTTTGGTAAGCCGAGATTAAATTGGTCTTCTACTTTACTGCTATTTATGGCATATTGCATGTTACAACAAAATGGATCTCAATAAAATTTAGCACGCGCCATCGTTTAAATAGGTAATGAGGAAGTATGTCCTTCTTTTCTTTATACAGTTGCGTATTTCAAAGACATTGATAATACATGAAGAAGACTAATTAAAACAAAGAAATTATGTATGACAGCACACAAAGGATCGCCTTGCAGGTAAAGTTAAGCCCCGCAAAAAGAAAGAAAAGAAAGAAAAGCCAAGGCTAAAATGATTACACATGTCAAAGTCATACAGACTAAGAAAATCCAAGCCATTTTTCTTAGCTTTAATGGCACATCTTTTTACTTTATTCGGTCAATAGACTAAGCATGTAGAGTTAACATCGTGTAACACTATAAAGAAACATACTGAGCCATAACAAACTGCTTGACCCATCCTTTTTAAACTTATTTGCTACAAGACATTGACAACTTTTTTAAAGGATAATAGGCATCTTGTTACTATTTCAGGTCGCTACCTACGTAACCAATATCCAAAAGAATTAGTATTATGAATACAAAAGGTGAAAACCATTCTGCTTGGTTCGTTAATGTATAAAGAAAGGATAGAGAGAGAAAGAAGTTGATTTGATAAATCATATTCATGACAACTGAAAACTACCATGGAGACACCATGGAGACACCATGGAGACGTCAAGGATATATATTCATTCCGTTAGTTGATTGTTTACGGACAAACTGTGTATCCGTTTGTTACACACGGCAGCTTTATTTACACACACAAAAAAGGGTCCTGTAATGCATATGTACACCTGTATATTTTCAGTAATAATAATAATAATAATAAAATGGGGGTATTAATGTACAGGTATTAAAAAGAAATAGTCCAGGATGAGTATCGTTTATCGTTTCTTATTAAAAGGTTTTCTTCTAAAACAGTTCGGCTAATCTCCCAATCTTTATCGATCTCTTCGTCAACCTCTTCAATAGCTGAGCCTAACACTTGATGAACTTGATATGCTAAGCTATTCTTGACCTCTTCTTTATCAAATGATTTTATTGAAGGTGTAGATGGTGGGGTTAATAATGCTGTCGTAGTATGATCTAAGATGGTATGTTCGTAGGGTTGACCAACAGTCATGGGACTGTCGGTAATGATATCTTCTTCAACAAATGACCTCCTTTTCTTGTGAAATGATTCCTTTAAGCTCGTCACAACGGGCGAAGAGGTAAACAAGGATGTCATCTTTTGTTTAAATGATGTGCTGTTAGGTGGTGACGTCGTGATTTTTAGTGAATGTCGCCGAGGTGCATCGTCAATACTCTTACGAAAGGGAAACGTAACTGAGTGATTATTATGTCTCATTATCATCCTTTTTTTTTTGTAGTGGAAAGAAAAAGAAAAAGTATGATCAAAAGGCGCATGATTCAGTTTATATAGCACTAAGCCCTTCGCTTTACGTCAACAATGGTAGCGGCGTTTCAAGTTTCACTCGGCATGAAGGCCTAATAAAGTGATAAAGATAAATTTAGCTCTTCAAAGTATTTTATTGGTTACGGCCTTTTGTTTGCCGAATAAATCCAACTACAAGGCAAAACTATATTACCTTGTAAGCGATTGCTAACATTGATAAAGGAAAAAAGGAGGGAGATATTGCTTAGCAACAAAATAATGACTCATTGGAATAACCTGAATGTCGGGAAAATCCAGTTTTAGTTTTTCCAGAAAAAAACAAGAATATCCAATCAGTGGGTTGGATCATTACAGATGGATATTCTCTCCCAGACTCTGACGATTGTTCTCACCAGCAGAACATCTTCAAAATACAAGTTTGGGGTAACTTTTATTGAACAAGTAACGCACAAGCTATAGATTAATTCTTTCAAACAAATTCTCAGTCTGAACTGGAAGCGCTGCACGCACTTGCTGCAGAATTAAATGTTAGTTAAATAAAGGGGGGATGATTTATTGTAGATGCTGTACTATTTCTATCCAAACTAAACGGGATAAACTTTATATTTGAAAAAGCAAAATTTCTTTATACTTCTGCATTTATTTCAACATAATAGCTACTACTAACGAGTCTAATATTCTTCACATTTTAAGATTTTCCTGATTTGATCCACTGTGTCGTGGTGTACAAGTTTGAACAAAGAATATCGCTACGTTAACGCGTCGACCAAAAGCACGGGCAAAATATGTTATGATAAACAATATATTTGGTCACTTCTTTTATTTACACTAGATAGTCTCTTTGGTCAAAACATATCTGCAATATTAACAACAATGTCTTTTCTAAATGCAATGTGTCGACAATTTAGTGATATCGAAGAACCGGAATGTCAAAAATTGAAAAAGATGCTGTGTGTCACGGTTGAATCAATCCGCATACTATAAGATAAAAACTAAAAAACTAAAGCTACATAAATGGAATAGGAACGATTTTACAGATAACGATGTTGCCTTTTTGCTCTAAAGTTATACTACACCACACATTGGACAACATGCTTCCATCGCTTTGCTTTGAGTTTTAGGTTTTATTAAAAAAAGGTGTGCTCTCTGTAAATGTCATGCAGTGATAAAATGTCTAGAGAATGATAATGAGCTCAAGTGGATGCCAAAAATTTGCGAAATGCGCGTAGTTGATGTAGTTGGTATATTGAAATTATCACGGCAGATTAGAGAAGAGAGGACATAAGGTCATGTGCATAGGCATTGGACCTTTAGGTACGTTATGGGGTGTTGTCAAGACAAATTATTTCCATATAAGGCCTTGCTTTTTTTTTTCTATTATTTGGAGATTATTTAGAAGAGGATCATAATAAGCACTGACTTGTTTATTAATTAATGTATTAATCTTACCCCCTTACATATTCTAAGTTAACCATGTAATAACCTCAAATACAGGATTTCAATACTCTTGTGCGATACAGTTGTATATATTATTAATATTTATGATAAATAGGACATTTAAAATGTTATGAATGGATGCACGAGAAATACTGGCTAGTCTATAAATTCTAAGGTTTAAGCTATCTTTAGTTCAAGTCAAGAATGTGTCTAAAAATAATAAAAGAGGGAGGACATGGTTTAGACTAACTCCTTTTTTATTTTTTAGATGCAAGATGCAAGATGCGTTATTCTTCTTTTACTTTTTCAGCCTTCTTCTTCTTTAATTTCTTGATTTCTTTTATCAAGGCTGATATCAAAGGAACAGATGTAGGCACAAACAGTGGCATATAAATCGCATACTTGTGTTCATCCGGAAAGTAGAGCATAGACACCATCGTTGGGTCGAAAAATGCCTTTTCTGCCAACTCGATAGCTTCGATTGAATGCCTCAATGCGCCCATAAAATCCTCGTGCTCCAGTGATTGACGTACGGCATCAAGACAGTTCAAGGACTGCTGCACTTTACTGCTGATGTGATCTTGAACTACCATGTTGGGTATCTCATCCACAAGCTGACCAAGCGATTTCAAAGTAGATATCGTATTGGCAACATTTTCGAGGGTTCTTGTACGTATTAAATTATCTTTCTCAAGTGCTGTAATGCCTGTTCTCTTGGCCGCTTCAAATTCAACAGGAAAGCTAATTGACTAACGATGCAGTTAGCTTCTTACTTATTAGCCTCTTTTTTTTTATAAGATACCTTTCCGAGCGTATCCAGGTCCTTGACACCAATCAAGCCTCGAAGCTGTGATAAAAAAGTCTTGATAATCGGTTGAAGATCTGTTCTAGTCAGTTTGTAGCTGCCTACTGCTGATCTGGGTGGGTTCTTGATGACAATGCCGCCCCAGCGAGGAATCAAAAATGAATTTGTAAGTAATGGCTGACCTAAAACATGATTTTTTTTAAAAACAAGCACAAGTTATATAAATGATGTCTACCTTTGGTGTCATGTATACGTAGCGGGGCCTCTTCTTGTGAAGGAATATATAAAATAAAGTTGATATTAGGAGATGATGTCACAGTTGATGCTATCAATGAACTATGTGAGCAAATAATCTATATATAAAGATCTGCTCTCATTTACCCAAGTTCCATTCTGCTGAATTAACAAAATGAGGTAAATGCTGAGGCTCAAAATAATAATAGCTTGGTTTTCCAATTCTCTCCTTGTATTTGGGTTTTAGTGAAAGTGGTGCATAATTTTGGATCTAAAAATCATAAATATCAAAAGCTGGCTTACATTTTCTCTTACTTGTGAATTGATGCTAAAGTTGGACAATTCTGATATTTGCTGTAAAAAAGGATTTAAATATCCATTCAGTGCTTCACGTATTTCCCAATCCATCTTCATGTTCTCTGGGTTATTGTTCAATAAACTGACCGTGATCTCATATTCTGGGGCATACTTTAACGTCCTCATGCTTGACACATCATTCTGAGAAAAGGTTGTTAATAATCACTTAACAATCAACTGGACTAACCTTTTTTTCTTGACCATGGCAGGCTATCCTTTGTAAGTTGTCATTGTCGCTTAAATAAATGGGAGGTATCACACTTTCTAATGCATTCACAATTGAGTCTATAAAGGTTGTAAGTAACATGCTGAGCTGTATATTATTTATATGTCCACCTGCGCTTATATCCACCAAATCCAAATAGCTCACTCTCTCACTACCAACATAAAGTCTTTCTTTGTCGCTTTGATTGATATAAATCAAGTAATTACCAACCGCTGTCCTATTATCATAGCGATCTATAACTCGTCAGTTTCTTTTTCTTTCTAATCAACATACGCAATATTCACCCTTCTCAGAATCATAAATATTAATATGAATGGGAAAGTTCTGCTTGTATTGCACTCTATCCAAGATTCTCTCTTGTATTTGTGTGGAAAAATAGGCTTTCTCAAGTTGAGAGGGAATATAAATATTGAATCGTGTTGGCACCACAAAGTCGCATGCCTATATTTATGAGTAACTGCAAGAAAAGGGCTCATAGCATGCATGTTGTACCTGTTGACTATACCAAGCATCTATTTCTGAAAAGGGAAGATTGGCTCTATACACTTCTGTCGTCTTCCACCAAAATGGAAGGCCTATTAAAACGACGATCCAAAAGGAAAGTACAATAAGCCTAGACTTTTTCGCTGTGCATTGAATAAAAAGAAAGGAGATCAGTAGATTGTTGTGATTATATACTTATAAATGTACCTTTTTCGTCATTCATATTTTTGAAAAAGTTAAAGGGAGAAGAAAAAGAGAGGGCGACTGTAGGGCGTATTTATCAGATAAATCTCATTGGATCGTTTATGTCACACAATATGCCTATAAACATCATACACAACTAGGAACCACATTGAAAGGGGGATAGAGATATAGTTACGGGATGTGTGTAATAAAACATCCTAATATGTATTTCCTGACTGCTTTTATTAAAAGGATTGTCCGTGCAGCGTTGCATACCTGCAGTTGAATGCAGTCTCTCTTCTTCATTATGAATTGGCTTTTTGCTGCATAAACATGTTGTCATGGAAACCAAACGGGTTCTTTATGAAACATGAGACTAGATTGTACTACAGTTTGTTATTTCTTTTTTATTTTCCCTATTTTTTATTTTATTTTTTTGCCTTTTCTTTTTTTTTTCCTTTTTTTTTATTATTTAAAATGGTAAATCCAACGACTTAAATCAACTAATGGTACTCATTGTCTTTTTTTAGATTCCAGTCATGCCAAGGCAATCAGCGGATGAAGACAGTAGACCGATTGGTTTAAAATTAGCTCGAAACAATTTTTTCAGCTTTCCAAAAAAAGAAAACTCAGTATTTAAACGAAGTTCAGTAAAGGAAGAAAATCGGCAATCGACCACTTCTACGACATCACCTACCTTACCTGCTCGTTCACCCTTTCGAATAAGAGACTCTCAAGCTTCTCGTAAAAGCGCACAAGGTGAATAATAATAATAATAAAAAACCACACATTCGTGCTTATGCTTTCTGTAGAAGTCAAAAGGGTCACACACACTGAAGAACCTTATTCTTCTCTATCTTCCTCTACTTCTTCTATTACAACACTAGATGATGATCTCAGCCAGGAGCTTGAAAATATTTGGAAGATAAAGTCACCAAAGCATCATCAGATAAAATCGGATGTTCAGCATCAAGATCTATTTTTGCAGTTATTGGTGTCTCAGGCAATGATTGATGCTCAAGATTATCAAATACTTTCATTTGAAAAACTAGAATCACTAAAAGAGGTATGTGTACATGAAAAGGATATTTAACAAAAAAAAACTTATATACAGCATCCAGCGCCATGATAAACTAAAAGTTCAAGTACGAAATTCGGTATCAAAACTTGAATTAGATAAGAAAATACAAGAAACATCTCATTCTCTCTCTCAACTCGCATCGAACCGTCAATCAGTACTGATATCTCGCGATGAAGCCATGGCAGCTGACCGCAAAGTGGCTGAACTGTCTAAACAGTTAAAGGATCTAAAAGTTGAAGAGAGTGAAACTCAGTACAGGATACTGGAACATACCGCGGGCGTCCTTCGACTCGGCCTGCAGCAATTTGAAAAGAAGAAAGCCAGTTACCCAAGTAGACCGATATCAGAGATCAAATCAGACATTGAGCAGATCACAAATACCCTCTTGACCATTTTGAAAAAACACAACATTCAGCAGCCGTCAAGAACAGATACCCTTGGCTTACTCCACTGCCTTGAGCAGCATATGGAGCGTTACCAGTCGCAAACCAAGGAGATTCAGTCAAGACTGATCTCGATGGAAGAGGAACTAGGGGAAAAAGAGACATCAGAAAAAAGACAACTTCAAAATGAATATATTGAAGTGGCCAGACTAAAGGCGCTCGTTGCCGGCATGGAGATCCAGTTTAGCAAGATTCAGGCACAGACGGCTGCGTTTGAACAACGAGAACAGGATCTCAAAAAAGAAATCGAGCAGTACCGTGAGCAGGTCCTCACGCTACGAAATGAAAAGGAGCGTTTGGAAAGAACGGTCAAACGACAGACAATTGTTCTTGACACAGAAGCCAAGTTTGAGCAACAGCTAGAAGAACAGGAACAAGAGTATCAGGCCCAGTTAAAGGAGCAGGCTGCTTTACTGGACAAGACAGCACGTGAATGTGAAAGGATAAAGGAAGAACACGACAAACTGGCTGCTACCTGTCAAGACCTCGAATGGCTCGTCGAAGGCAAGTCGAAAGGACTGGATGATCGTGACGTCCAGATTAGTCGACTGGAGGCCGAACTGAGACAAGGCAACATGGGCCAGATTCAGTCAGAGTTCGCTCTCAGGGAAGCGGCATGGATCGAGCAAAGTGCTGCAATGGAAGCTAACTTTGAAGGCATTCTTAAAGAATTTGACCGTCTGACGGGTACAGCGATGGAATTCGAGAATGACAAGGCCAACTATGAGAGGCGTATCGAGATGCTGACTCAGGAAGTCAAGCAGCTGGAAGCTAGTCTTCAAGAGGAAAAAACAAAGAATTTAGGTTTTGATAAAGTCACTGATACACCCACGACCGCTTCATTGCGTAAGGAGTTTAGAAAGATGATAAATGACATGCAACTAGAGCATCAGCGTGCACTAGAAAAGGAAGCAGAGGAGAAGAAGCAGCTAGAGAAGCAATTAAAGGATTTGAAGCATGAAAGAGAAATGGCTAGATACGAGCGTATAAATAAAGGTGTGCAAACCCCTCTTTTCATCTCTTAATTTTTATTTTGTGCGCATGTAGTAAGCAATTGAGGGCAGTCTACATTATCACTCTATTCGAATTACTTGACGAAGGGTTTGATGGGCCCTGTTGCTGTTGACTTGGTTGAGATCTTTCTTCAAGAGCATCCCAAGATAATGTCCACTCTCTTTTCACTTTTTGCCAAGTTGTTGGGTCAAAGAAGACATACACACCACGATCCAGACCATTTGGAGATGTCCTTCGAAAGCTTTGTACAGGTCTACCATTTTCGTCTGTTTCTTTTGTTAACCATAGCCCTAATTCCTTATGATAACGCCAGTTACGTGCATATCTAAAGATCAATCAATAAATGTAAGAGATTATCTTTTTCTTGCTTACAGTTCTTGTGCTGCTGCCTCCTGGGCGATGTCTTTTGGCATACAATAAAACACATAAAACAGGATTTCATCAGAGAATGTTCTCATGCGCTGATGTGCAGGCGGTGTTGCTTGTACATGACGATAGCACGGAGGTAAGTAGTAGCCTGGTTCAACATTGAGTCCTGGTAAGCTTTGTGTATCTGACCAAGGAGATATAAATGTTGAATATATCGATCTATATAAACATATGAATATCCCTAATCAATAACGCGCTTTTTCTTTCTTTCTGAATTTACTCTGCTGTATTCAAATCTAAGCCAAGTGTGGTTAAGTCACTACCCAGCGCCAACATACTACGATCGGGATCAGTCATCCGAATGACTCCCAAGAGTCCTAGTAATCCATATGGATCCGCTGGTTTTCCATCACTTGATAGTTCATCTTGTTTTCTCGCCTTTTGTAATCATCATGAGCAATTGTTTTTTCATGTATAAATAACCTTTTTTTTTACCCAAGAATCTGATAATTCATTCTTTTCTGGAAATGGCTTTCCTCCTTTTTCAAAAACGAGTAAGAAAAAACTAATGATGCAAAACATGATGAACACTACAGCTTACCTTGTTGTTGTTGTTGCTGCTGTTGTTGTTGTTGCTCTCTTAAATTAGCATAGTCTAACCATTGCTCTGGCTTTCCAGATTCTCTACCTATTGAGTTATCAAAAGGCGAAACGGCGCTACGTAGCGCTGGGAATTCATCCATTGAAAAAGATCTCGGCGCAAGGTTTCTGCTTGATAGTTGATCTGCTGAAGGAGCTACTCCATTAAAATTGTTTCTATTCGAAAAGGAGCTCAACTTATTAAAGTCACTGGTTTCGAGGGGCTCTTGAAAACCATTGCCAGCTGTAGAAGCATAGCTTGCAAGTCGATTGGGTACAGCTGAAGCTCTATTCATCGTTGGTGGAGGGGTTCCAAGAACAGGAAATTCGTTCAAGTCTGTCGCTGCTGTATTAGGACGAAACATAGATGTAAGATTGTTAATATAAAAAACAAAAAGAGAAAAAAAAAATGTCGCCTATAAAAATTCTTAAACTTCAAAGCTTCACAGAGAAAAGAAAGCCCAAAAAAAAGATGACGTGAACGGAGCGTCGGCTGTTGAAAGCTGTTAAAGTTTTTATAAGTCCCCTTTCTCTTTTTTTTTGTTTTTGTCTTTTGTATACACTCACCACACACACACATACACACGCACACATATATAAAACGACAACATGTCAGCTAATAATTACGGTGTATATCTGTTTAGACATATCCAAACCAATCAAATCTTGGTCAGTTTGAGACAAAACATGAAGGTAAATATACATGTTAAATAACAACATACAACTCACCCTTGTCGATTAGAATAAAGCTTTACATCAGTTAGGAAATACCAACAGACCGGTTCGATTAAGAAAAGACTTGTGGCGTCCATTAGTTGCATTGACAGGATTCAATACACCTCAATCAGCACAAGCAGTCTCTGATGCATTACTTCATCGTTCTAAAGCAAAAAGAGATGATTTGAGATCAAGCTCTGAATATCTGTCAAGACCTAAACGTCTGAGAATTGTAGATGAAATGAACATGGTAGAGAACTCAGTTATCTCATTACGTGAAGCACTTGAGGCTGTTGGAGCCAAGAATGAACAAAAACTATTGGCACTTTGGGAACAACCTCGATTCATGGAATTAAAGGGAGATAAAGACTGGCCATCCTTTTTAGAGCATGGACAGTTAGTATTGAAGAATAATAGATTTGTAAAAGAAGAAGAAGCAGCAGTTGTAGAAGAGAAGCAACAAGTGGCTTAATAAATACAATTTGACAGCCCCCCTTTTACTTTTTCATTTTCAAATTCCTACCTTCTTTCTTTTTTTTACTGTAAAATGACAAACAATAATAATAAAGCAAGAGAATTTATAGAAACTTATGTTAATCAATCAACTGATGAACAAGATTACTTGCTAAAAGAACAACCGCGTTATGATCCAACAAAGCCTATTCCTAATGTCAAAATAGAAGAACAAAAGAAAGAACAGCTACCAGAAAAGACTGAAAGTCATTTCAATATGCATGCACAAACAGTTAACCCGATACCTACTGGTTCATCAGATAAACCATCAATGGAAACATACACATCAAGTAGAGAGCAAAGAAATGAAATTCATGAAACAGCGCTTACTGTCTGTGCTGATCTTCATGAAAACTTGATGACCTGCTTCCAACATGGCAGTTGGTGGGATAAAGCAAAGATGTGTGAGGAACAAAAACAAAAGTTTTGGGCATGTTATAGCGCACAAAAGCAGTTTTTAAAAGGAGTTAATTATAAGGGACCAGGAAATACAGAACAGGAAGATGCTCGTATATTAGTGGGTGCCTATAAGCTTCGAGATAAACTAGGAAATAATTCAGAAACAGCGTAAAATATTTGTCACGCATTATTAATCTGTTTGTAAGCTGTGAATAATAAATAAACTTTTTCTTTTTTTCTCTATTTCATATGACTCTTGATTCTCATATGCGTGCACCTGTATTCTTTATCTCTCATGGAGGTAAATTATGATATTGGGGGGATATTCAATAGATAATAAACCGTTTGCAGGTCCCAACTTGCTGGATAACAAGGAAAAGCCTGGAGAGTTTTATACTTGGTTTGGTCAATATATTCAGCAGGAACTGAAGCCAAAGGCTATTGTAATCATCAGTGCTCATTGGCAAGGTGAAGGCAAACATGGCATTTTCGGTATGATTGTAGATATATGCATGCATATGTATACTCATATGTCTTTTGCAGTGGATACATCAGAGAAGCCCAAGTTAATATATGACTTTTACAATTTCCCAAAGCATTACTATGAAGAAACTTGGGACCATCAAGGCTCGCCTCAATTAGCGAATCGTGTCATTGACCTCTTAAAAAAGGCTGGCCTTAGTCCATCAGGGGAAAAGTATGGCAATGATCATGGTGTTTGGGTTCCATTGAAGCGGGCAATGAAATCTAACCCAGATATTCCAATTGTTGAAGTATCCACATTTGCTCATGAAGATATGTCAATGCATATCAAGGTGGGTGAAGCATTAGAATCACTCAGGTAACAGAGGCAATATATATCATGCTTACATATTCTTATGAGCGAACATAGAGATGAAGGTGTTGTTATTATTGGTAGTGGAAGTGCAGTTCATAACCTACGAGAGCTCTGGAGTTCGATGAATAAGCCAGTACCAGGTTTTGTTTATAATTTTGATAAAGAACTGGATCAAATAGCTTGTGAATTAAGCGTAAGGAATATATATATATATATATATATATATATATATATATATGGACCAAACTGGTTTCTAATGTGTTTATTCTTTTAAAAAAAGGGAGAAGAGCGTAACCAAAAAGCAAATGAATTAAATAAGCATGCTGATTTCAGAAAATGTCATCCCACAGCAGAGGTACATTATCTTTAGCTTATAATGCTGTATACTAAACACTTTGCTTGATAGCATTTGGTTCCCTTTCATGTTGCTATAGGTGCTGCTGGTAATGATAAGGGTCGAAAGTTACTGACTGATTATATTGGTACATTAAGTTGGTCATGCTATGGATTTGGATTATCAGAAGATATCAAGCTGCCTAATTTCTCCTAAGTGCTTATGTGTAATAAATGTCCTTAGTTTATGCCAAGGCTATTGTTATCTATTGTTAGAAGGGTATTATTAAAAGTGTTTACAGAAAAGGGATCTGCTCCCCACTCGTTCGGCTGAGTAATATTTTGTCGAACGATAGCTGTCTTCACTTTCACGTCTGCTTCAACTGTATCAATCTCATAATATCTTAACAGATCCTCTATTTCGCTTTGATTTGTCCTTGGCCTTTCATAAACAAGGTCATCCTCGGGTATAGGTGGTAAACTATTGAATACCTAAAATAGTAATGAGCCTTTTTCTTTCCTTGTTTCTATACACACAACATACTCTTCTTGCGAGTTTATAGTCAAATGACTTTTGTGGAGCGTATTTGGGATTGATTTCATCCAGTTTACCCAAGATATTCTCTATACTCTTGTACTTTTGTATATACTGTAGTGCACGTATAGGGCCAATACCTTGAATGGTCCCTGAAAAGTCTGTTCCACACAAGATGCAGAAATCCAAAAATGAGTCTCTGGAAAGCTTGAGTTCTTGTCTGGCAATAACGGGATCAATATAAAGAACGGATTGTGTGCGAGAAAAGAAATAACGCAAGAGAGGTGTATCACCAAACGCGAGTGTATCAAGATCTGATCAAGAAGATGTTGGTCAATGCATTTGACTTTCTCTTTTTACCTTACCTTCCGATATAGTAGCTGTCGTTCTTTTTGCTTTCCCCAAGTGCGCACACATCGCCTCTGCTTCATGATTATCGCATGAAAAGCAAATGTATCCCAAACACTCCAAGAACTCTTGACATTCCTTTCTTAGTGCCTGCGTGATCCTTACAGACCTTTTTTCTATAAAAAAATTCAATGGCTGGCCCTTTTAAACAACATCAACACAGTACCTAAAGATTGTCTGTTTATCTGATTATCGTCACTGAGCGATTCAAGTGAGGATTTTACATCTCGTAATCTGTTAATAAGCATTTCTGTTACCAAATTCTTTTCTCGACTGGCCAGTTGACGCGCAGTTCTTGTATATTTTTCAGTATCCTGCACTTGTATCACTGCTTCTCTCAGATCTTGAGCGACGTGACTCAACTTGTTGGCGATAATCGCCTGTTCGACCTCTGGAGACACACCATGGTCACTTACTGCGTGATCCATCTCTGATAATGAATCTCCTAATTCAGTCAAGATAAACGAAGCCTGGTCGTTGGGAATTCGACGAACCATATCCTCAGTTATTTCTAACCAAGCATCTAATCGTGCTGCTTGTTCTTGTTCAAACAGTAGAGTATGTTTCACTTTGGATCGTTGTCGTTCTCTCTTTTCATGTTCTAATCGTTTTGCCTCTAACCGTTTTGAACCGTCAAATACAAAGATTGGATTAATATTGTTCATATCAAAGAAACGAGAGAGAAGATAAAAGCCGTAAATGTGTTTGTATGGATGCGGTTCGTCTCCATATACAAATTTGTTCAAGTGACAGCTGGCGTCTACAGCGATTGTCTGTTTGGCAAATAGACTAGGACTGATTTGACGAATTGAATTAGGAGCAAATCGTCTGAGTATTCCTGTTAATCCATTCACCCCCATTCTTTAATATATAAAAAGAAAAAAGAAAAAGAGAAACCTGTGTTTTTTGCTTGACATGAAGAAAAGCAAATAGTTAAAATATTTTGATTGTCCGATTGCTCTTTCTTTTTTTATTAATCTTTGGCTTCGCATGGATTGAATGTAGAGTATTTAGAATGAACATTGTGGCCACTCTTTGACCAATCAAGTGCATATCTTGAATCAGGAGCTTTGTAATTCTTCAATTCGTCTATAACTTGATCAGATGATTCACAGGAAACAAAGATATGTCTATTATTGGGTGAAATGAATTGTTCTACATAAAACAAAGGATGTCAATGTACATGTAAAAGTGTAGGAATGAAACTTACGTTCTATAGTATGCTTGATCCAATCTAAGAAATGACCAAAGAAGTCCTTGATATTTACTAGGACCATAGGTTTAGCATGAATGTTCAATTGTGACCATGTTATCATCTCCAACATTTCTTCCATTGTTCCATAACCACCTGGAAGAACAACAAATGCGTCGCTCTATTGATCATCAGTTACTGCATCCTTGCGTTCTATAGCACATGTTACCTCATCAGCCATTCGTTGCTTACGAGTATGCATATCAGGTACAATAATGGCTTCACATATCTGTTTGCTACCATGTCTATAGAGTGGTTCAGGTACTACAGCAAGAGCTTGTCCGCCATTATCAAGCACTGCTTTTGCTACGGTGCCCATGAGACCAACAGAGCCTCCACCTATCGCTTGTGTTAATAGATGTACTCTTTTTTTTAAGATAATTCTATATACCATAAACAAGTCTTATATTGTTTTCTGCCAACGCTTTGCCGAGTTCTAAAATAGTTCATGTATAAACGTTATATTATCTAGTTCTCTTCTCACTTACTTTCAGCTTCTTGAGCATAAATGGGATCAGTACCCATAGAGGATGCACAAAAGACACATACACTCTTGATAGCCGCTGGCTTGTCAGAGGCTTTTGTTAGCTTGGGGAGTGTGTTGTTCATAGAGATATAGAAAAAAGAAAAAGAAAGGTAATTCGGAACTGAATCAAAAGGTTAAAAAATTAAAGCGGGAAGAAAATTGTAACTGAGGTTTAAAAGAGAAACATTCAGATTTTTGAAAATAGGGCAATGATGACTTCAACTTGGAAATATGGCAAAGAACAAGGGCAGTACTCTGTCATTACTATATATCCTCTTTTCCTTATATTACTAATAGTCCCTTCTTTTATTTAAAAGATAAAATAAGGCCGTGCTTGATATATAATCTAAATATGACATTGGATTGATAAATGATGCTGTTTGTCTCTTCTTATTTATTGCACTTGTTACAGCAATGAATACGTTGTATAGATTGTACTTTGACATATTTGATCAATGCTTTACACAAATAAAAGCTCTATTGCTATTTTACATTAGGATCACGCGTTAAGCTTCTTTTGATGAGTCAGAGTTAGTTTTTCAATCTATATGTGAGTCATTGATTGAAATTTTAATAAAGTATCAGAAATGTGAATCATCAAAGCGTGTCAAAAATAGCAAACAGATCTCTCTCAAGATTTTCAAGCTATATATTATTGAAAGACCTCCTTGAGGGTATAAGTCTTTCTGTTGTATATTTCACACTGGATAGCAAACTTAATTGTTCGAATAAAAGCAGTAGGATGTTATAGATCCGCTAAAACGGAGGGGGTAGAAGGAATCTATCTTCAATGACTTTTCTTTTGTTTAAGAGATCTTTGATCTCAACTATGCCTAAGCCTATCAGAGAACTGAAAAACACAAGACAGTTTAAATTCTCCTGTTCGTATCATGGTAGTCCAAGGATAAAAGGAGAGATTTGGTTATTTACTCTTTATTGAAATATACAAGTATACTCTCAGAGGATCAAAGAAGGTTAATAGCACTTGATACACGTTGTTTATTTAGTTATAGCTATAAAAAAAGAAGAAGTAATACCCAGTACCGTTTTCTCTTATTGATCTTTACTTGTCATTCTATGCCACCACCATTTTCTCAAACATGACAGCAAAGAAAGTTTAACAGGTAAATATGCATCTGGCCAAGTTGCTAATGCATTGTCATAGGCTCTCTTTGCTAAAGGAAAATCCTGTTTTACGCCAATACCATTTTCATACATCCACCCAAGGTTCCAATAAGCTAAAGACGAACGACCATTTTCTGCAGCATTGCGATAACAAGCTGCTGCTTTTTCGGGATCTGCCTTTGTGCCAATGCCCTTGTAATAGTAATCACACATCTTGACACGAGCATCTATGTTGCTTTGATGAGCGGCTCTTGACCAATATGTAAATGCTGTGCGTTCTCCTTCAATATCTCTGGGCTTTTCTTGCTTTGTAAACAAGGATCTAAAATCCCAGACTCTTTTATCTGTGATGTCCTTGTTAGAAAAGAATGATGTAGATTTGCCCTTTTCTTTCTTCTTACCAGGGTCTAATAGGTAAGCAACATTAGACTGTGAAACCTCATAGCCTCTCTCTGCTGCCAAAGTATAAAAAAGTAATGCACTTTCATGATCTCCTTGTTTATAGGCACTGTAACCTTCCTCTACTGTTGGATATAGCCAGTCGCCTATTTCAGAGATCGCCTTATAGTACTATATTGCTCTTGTTTTAGAAGCAATGTACATGATACTTCTTCTTCTAAAACTTACATGTACTGCGACACGGCATGAACGACTTGAACTATAACCTTGATCATTTAATTGACCAAGGTACCAATACGCGAGCAAATGCTCCTTTTCTGCAGCCTTTGTGAGCAAGTCGATGGCTGTCGGCAGAGTTATATCGTCTTGCGCGTACTCAAGGGCTAAGTTGACCATGGCATCTGGATGATTCTGACTAGCAGCTGCTTTAAAGTAATGCAATGCATAACGTTGATCTTTATCAATACCGATACCGTTCTTATACATGAGCCCGATAGCATTCTGGGATGCTGGATCATCAAACGTGAGGCCAAATTTGAACCATTCATAAGCATGCTTCACACTCGCAGGGACGCCTTCACCACGCCAATGCATCAGGCCCAAGTATCCTGCAGCTTGACCCAGAATTTTGCTCTCCTCCTTCTTTCTGTTGGCTGACGTCAAAAGTTTTTTATCAGCGATTTGCTTAAAGTACTTTATGGCTTCCGTATAATCCCTCGGAATATCCCGAGTACCAAAATAATACACTTTGCCCAGCATCAACTAAATGAGGCATTTAGTAATTATCTCATTTATGTGCTTATATCTGTACCAATGCCTCTTTATCGTCTTCGCTCTCAGCAAGGTATTTCCAGTACTGCATCAGTTCCTTCATACTTGTCTCTGATCGTTGAACTCGTTTTTTGTCTGCTATCGCACTGGCCGTGAATCCATATATGCCGCCCTGTTCGTCTGGTAAGCGTACCTTGGCAAATGGCAAATGACGGCCTAAAGGTGGTCCTGAGAGATAATGGTGAATTGCTTTCTCTGCCACGTTTCTATAGTAGCGAAGGGAATCCTCACAATTTTCGTCAGTATGAATGCCATATAGGTGCCTATAGCCCAGTGTCATCTCGGCTAACGTGTCTCCTCCTTCAGCTGCAAAGGTATAATAAATCGATCCCTTTGCTTCATCCTTTTGCTGCACTCCAATGCCTGTTGTGTGCATGAATCCCAGCATATATTGCGCAGTTGCGTTACCTTTGCTGGCTAATTCGTTATAGTATCTAAATGCTTGCTGATAGTTTCTTGGATGCGCGTATTTTGAAAACTAGTATAAAATGTAAATGAGTCGTGTCTTTTTTTTTTTTTTTTTTTTTTTTTTTTTTTTTTACAAAGTTTAGCTCGGCCAAAAGAAGTAAAGCATCATTGTTTTGAAATGTGGTTGCTGCTTCTTGCAAAAGGGCGATGGCATCGTGATATTCTTTGCTCACCGTACTGTCTTGGTGACTCTCCTTGTTGAATGTTGTTGTAATTTCTGTTGTCTGCTCGAACAGAGAGAACAGATACTGAAGATATCCAGTAGGTTTATTATTGTATGTTTGGGTATGACTATGTCTCTTTTCTATTTCTTTAAGTTGCTCTATGGCTAGATTGTATAGCTGCTGACCTATGTATTAAAAAGTATAAGCTCCAAAACTATTTCTGCATGCTGTTTAGTATACCATTATTGTCTGTATTCTTTTCTACTGAAGTCACTACAATCTATTATTGCACCCATTAATCTACATGCAGTCAATAAATTCTTTAGCTTACTTGATTAGCCAAAGTATTCACGACAAGACAACTGCAGCATAGTGTAAATAAAGCTACATGTATTCAAATATGAGAACGGCTAATTGTTTATTTTCTCTCTTTTTTCTTACGTATAATGTGTTTTCGACCTAGTCGAACCATTAATAAATAAAAAGAATAAGAAATGCGTTTGTTGATCATGATTGGTTGATGTTTAATTTATATGTCGGACAATGAAATACATGACCATGATTACTGTTTTGTGAAATCCCCATTGACATATTAGGTGTGTGAAAATAGCAGATAGATAAAAGATAGCCTTCCTCTTATTTCACAATCGTATTTTTTTTCTCTCTATCTAGTATGAATACTAAACTATGGTTATTGTCATTGATGGCTAGTGGATGCCTTGGCCAACTTGGACAGGTGCCTTTAAACGCGCACGAGATCTTTGCATCACGACCTACACTTGAAAGGGATGTATATGTACCTTCCTTTGCAGGCATTTCCACATTTGCTCATTTACCTCATGTTTCATGTTGGGAAGAAGGTTCAAATGAGGATTATGATATAGCCATTGTGGGTGCGCCTTATGACATAGGAGTCACTTTTAGAACGGGCGCCCGATTTGGTCCATCAGGGATTCGAGAGGGATCAAAAAGGATCAAGGTAAAGCCAAAGAAAAATGGGAGGGCAAGAATAATTAAAAAGCGGTTTTTATAGGGGTACAATAATGAATTGCATGTTCATCCGTTTCAATCATGGGCTAAAGCTGTTGATTGCGGAGATATTCCGTTTGAACCGTTTGACAGTGAGCATGCGATATCACAAATAGAAGCCTATACGAAGTACGTCCTCACGCGCCCGCCTAATATGCGTACACCCATTCCTCGCTTAGTTACTCTAGGAGGAGACCATACGATCCTGTTGCCTGTCCTGAGAGCCATGCGACAGGTCCACGGGCGTCCAATCGCGGTCATTCATTTTGACTCTCACCTAGACACATGGGCACCCGAGATCTATAATGTCAAAGCAAGGCAAAGCAAGTTTAATCATGGTAATCCTCTGTACCACGCTGCCAAAGAAGGTCTCACTACAAATGGAACGTCGATGCATGTTGGCATTCGCTCGACATTATATGATAAAGATGATATAGCACGCGACCAAGCACTTGGGTTTCAAATGATCAAGGCAAATGATATTTTCACGCTGGGTGTTGAAGGTATTGTCGAACGCATGAAGCAGATCCTAGGAAACGATAAAGAAATGCCAGTGTATGTGTCGATTGATATTGATGTGGTTGATCCATCGATGGCGCCTGCCACAGGAACACCCGAGACAGGAGGATTCTTGACTAGAGAGATGAAATATATCCTTCGAGGATTGAGTGGATATAATATTATTGGACTGGATATTGTAGAAGTGTCACCAGCATATGATACGCAAGCACAATTAACTACATTCTTGGCGGCAGATTTGATATATGAAGTGATGTCAATGATGGTTCAATATGGAGAATCATAGGAGTAAGGTAATAAGATGTTACAAATTAATATGCATTTCTCCTGAACCTTGTTTTTTTTTTATATGTAGAACCTCGAGAAATTTTTAAAGACATGTCAATATATAAACAAACAAGTTTATTTCTATAAAAAGCACATAACCTTTCTCTTCTTTTCTTTCCTTCTTTAAATCACAAATGAGATTGTTTTTTATAAATAATCCACTTTTAAATGATAATAAAAGTAGAATCTCGCTTAAATCATTACATAAATTGATAAAGAAAAAGAACACTCTATCAAAAACTGACACTACAACAACAACAACTACTACTACTACTACATCAGCAGGGTCAATAGCCAAACCAGCCAAGTTACCAGTAAATAGTTATAAACAACAACAATGGATAGAACATCGAACGACGAGTGATGATACATGCCCAATCATTTATTCAACCCACAGTTATATAAGAAATAAACGATCAAATCCGAATCAACTTAGGATAATAGCAGCAGCTAATAAATCCAACTGTGCAGTAGCATTTCCCAAGTGCTTACACAAAAGAAACGATCAGTTTATTTGGGGTAAGCAAAGTCAATTAAGATATCAATTATAGCAATCGTCCTTTACTTGTCATCTTCAGCATGTTACCCATTGTACCTATTGAATATCTATTTTATGTTATTATCATTGTAAATTTATGTAATCCTCAACCTTTCGACTCTTCCACTTCCAACTAAATCATGTATCAGAAAGTCCATGTTTAATATGGTTTTATGCAGCTTTTTTGCTTTCAACAACTAACAAAAAGAGAGAATGAATAAACACGCTAATGATGTATCATATCTGTTTACAGTTTCCATTATATCTTTTGTTGGTCTTTTCGATATCATTCTCAATATTTCTGTTCTACCATGTGTGATATTGGACATAAAGTATCCTTGTTTTCTTATTGAGAACCAATATAGATTCACTTGTAAATGAGGTATTAATAATCCATTGTTCACCAGTTCTCTATAAACATATTATATAAATATACACACATGCGTATTAATTTATATACTTGATTCCTAAATCATTCAAACCAAATTCATTCAAACCATGCGTGGATATTGTCACTTGGCTAAAATATCGCTCATCTTGTATTATTGACATGTACTTGGCTATTTTTATACATATTCATTAAGACATCTATTTATAGTAATCATCCATACATACATATCACATCCTTCTCTTCACTTTTTATTTCCTCAATCATCTTACAATAATCTTGTACTTTCATCATCACATATTCATCTTCTACTGAACCAATGATATGAAATTTTCTCCATTTTCCTGATAGAATAGCTTCTTGCTATGCAATTTTTAATATAAAATATTGATACCTCTTCTCTTATTCATACCAATTCATTATCAATCGTGGTCGGATTAGGCAATATGCTGTAAATCTGATGTACAAAACAAATAGGTATCCCCGTATTATTCAACCGAATCAAATAGTTGGCTGCATTTATACTGTCGGATTCGATTTGTGTAGCGACAATGTCATTATCAAAGTCATCATCATCCTCTTTATTATTATGACTGTTTATCAATTCATTCTTGATCTTGTTTACTTTACGTCTTTCGATTCCATAAGAATCAGGTTTATGAATGGTTTGCTGTGTTCTATATAGTTTTTGCTCTAGATCAATTCGCTTTCTATTCATTTTTATAAAGAAGAAAAAGAAAGACATTTTTATGCGTAGTCAATATTGAATGTTTAAAACTGCGATGTGCTTAGAGCCGCAAAGTGAAAAATAGATCTCTTTTTTCTCTCTACTTTATTTTGAATAAAGATACACACAGTCTCATCGTACTTTCACTTAATCTAATTCTATTATAAAACTCAAATACAGAAACGACCAAAAGCGATCAAGAAATACATATACCCTCGCCAGAAATTCTATGAATCATCATCCTATTATAAAGATTATCCCTTGTATTGCAAACATACCATCTCTGGAAAGACTTGAATCAAAATTTTTACATGCTAAAAAGCATGCAAAATGTGCTCCAGAGGAAATAAAAGACTACTTGGAAAAAAAATGCCAAAAAAGAATGTAGCATTATGGGTTGACTTTGTTGGTGTGAGCTTTGGTCATACTGTGAAGAATCTTCTTAATAACCCTACACTTGCTGATACTTATATGGATTAAATTCCCTTTGCGAAAATCACTGCTAGCGATGATGCGCACATTCAAAAGGACTATCGAACTTGTCCTTCATCTATAAACAAGATTATTCGAAAAGATATACCAGCTGAAGCAAAATATATTATCAAACAGAAACTAGATGACACAATGATCAAAACTTCTAACTGCGTATCCCAATTTGCATCTGTGGCTTACATAATGATGATCGAATTAAGGAATTGTGTGTTTGATGTGGATCATAGTACTGGTAAACTCAAGCTAACAAGATCCTCGAGATTTAATATTGGAAGCATATTACCAATTGATTTCGCCTGCCGATATGAGCGACAGATACAGTTTACAGTGTCTGCAGTGTTTGAGGATTTCCTAGATTCGTCCGTTTTTATTAAAGATTTCAATTCATTATTAGCCAACATTACATGCACCATAAAATAGGCTAATGCTAGACGCTTCTTCTTCTAGGCACTACCTGTAAGACTGCCCAGTGAAATTTCCTTTGACACGAGATAATTCGTTATAATTACACGTGAGTTAAGTGGTCTCTGTTGACCAAGCTGACAACCTAAAAAAAGACTCACTGCTCGAAGTTGCACGTTAAGGCGAAACGTTCCATTTGTTTCTCTACAAATGTCCCTGTTTTAAGCTTCCACATCTTTTCTTCATTCATATTACTGTATAGTTTTCTTATTTTGACTTTATCCACATCATCAAGCTTCGTTTGTTTACTATCAATTGATGATGAAGCGGTGGTTGAGGATGTGAATGAGAATGTCGTTGGCTGGTGATTTGTCAGTGACCAAATCGTTGGCTCCGAGTAATAAATTATTTTCTATATCCAATGCTTTATCTTGAATGTAGCAGAAAATTTTCTCGAAATTAACTTTACTTCCTGACTAAAGAAAATAATTAACGCAAGGCAACGATACTTTGATTTAAAAAGAATAAATTTACAAACGCTGTGTCAGTTAATTGCAAAGTGGTAATGATTCTTTTGATCCAATCAGCCTTGTAAACGAAGAATGACACGTTATTGTAACTGCTCACTATAAAATGAGTCATTTGCTGAACAATTGCGTTGACAGAAACAGCCTTGTCTGCTGACTGCAAAGCAAATACTGCGGACATGTTTTCTATAGTATAGTTAGAATCGATGGTTAGACAATAGAAGATACTTACCATATTTAAAACGTGGATCTACATCGATTTCGGAGGTAGACATATTGAAGATATTTTGCCTGATATTTTGTTTCCAAAGAGATTGAGAATACTCTAGTGGGTTTTGGCGATAAACTCGAATTGTGTGGCCGGAAATAACTTCCTTTTTATGGCTGATCCTAATAGTCAAGACATACTCTAAATAGTGTTAAACTATTCTTCTTTTAAGGGGTGAAGGCCCCCACTATTTTCCTTGGTGGCCCGATCAACCTTGCACATGGCTGAATGAGATGGTGAAAGTAATGTGAACATGTGAAGAAATGTGAAGAAGTCTGTTGGTGACCTGGGTGTCGGTAGCGAGTCGGTGACGTGAGTAAGAAATCTGGGTCTGATTTCAGTGAAGTCCCGGTGGAGCTACAACAGCTTCAAGGTATTCTTATTTTATGCTTCTATTACTTTACCATCTTTGTTCTAGTTACGCCCCTGATGATGTTTGACGCTAATTTAGTCGACTATGGTTGTCTTTCCCTGCCACAAGATTTAGTTTACCTGCATTAATATTCATTTTACATCATTTCACTCCTTTTACGTTGTAGTTGATATCAATTGATAATTTAGTTTAATTTCATGAATGTATAAAAGAACAATTGAAATGAATAAAGAATAGTAACTTGATCTTTCACGGTCTAAGTTTTGTTCTTTTGGTTATTGCCTGGTTGGCACAGTTCTCTAGTGTTTTCTCATATTGCCATTTTGAAATCTTTAAATCTAACAACTTATCAACTCCTCGTTGGTACTTACACTCGTGTCTGACTATTACCCGCAAGTCCTTCAATTTCTATAGTAAACTACCGCGTAATATCTCAAGATAGCATAAAATCTTCAAAAGCAGTCCCGATGTAATTTCAATCTTTTTTTTTTCCTTTCCGTTTTTCTTTTTTTTTTTGCTCTAGCTTTTTTCTATTATTGTTATTCTTGCCCTTTTTCCTACATTTTACTTTTTTTTTTGGTAGTCGTTGCCTATGAGCGTAAATCGCTCAGGGAATGTCGTCTTCTTGGAACGTAGATCCGTGGCAATTGAATAGATGTTTGAGATGACGGCTTTTTTTTTTTGGGAGTAGAATAATCTCCACCTTCACGTGGTTACTCCTGTTATTAGAAGCGTTTTGCTTTGAAGCCAAGAGAGTTTACTTTGTATTAAGAATTGAAAAATAAAGCTTCTGTATTTAATGCTAAAACAAAGTTTGCCAAAGCTAAACATAATTTAACGTGAGTTGATCTAAAAAACAAGTAATATAGGCCAGTAGTCAGAAGAAATTGAATTATCTTGGCCCTAAAAAAGTGGATTCCACATAAAAAGCACTGTATAAACAATATAATATCGAAAATAAAACACTATGGATATGTCTTTGAAACAAAAACAAGTTTAAGCAAGAATAAAGGTAATTTTTGTTAGAGTAATCATATTGAGCTTTCATACACTTCAGATTCGGTTGTAATTCATAACTGGATAAAATATAAAGTGTATCAAGAATAAAGATGCTCTCGTCTTGACGATCTTTTCTAAAAACATACGACACTGTTTTTTTTCTTGCGATATCATTTTGGCAAAAGGTGTAAACAAAATCTCACTAACTCACTGAATGTCAAAAAGTATACTGATCATCCATAAATTTTTACTGTTTATTGATGAAATAGCGATAGTACTGAATAGATTAGGGCTAGAAAATATGTATACTGTGATGGACAACGCTACAATTCACAAGACATCTGACGCCCTCCGAGCAATCCATGAGTATGGTCACACTCCCCTCTTCTTGCCCCCTTATTCTCCAATGCTGAATCCCATTGAGGGATGCTGAGCAAAAATTAAGCAAGAAGTACGCAAGACGCCTTTAGCAAAGAGCGAAATTATAGCTGACCGTATTGAAGAAGCAGCAAAAAATTACAAAAATTGTACAGGATGAGTCCGATATTCCCAGAAGTTTTTCGCAAAGTGTTTAAACATGGTAAACTTGTAAATATTTTACCATTAATAAACTTGGTATTTCTTTACACATAAGCATTATAAATATTGTAAGCGTTTTTTTTTTTTTGATTCATGATCAAAGGTATTTGCATTTGGATTTGATTCACAGCTATTATTGTGGATAGTGTATGGGTGAAAAGCATCCAAACCAACTGTTTCACGAAGGTCTGTTCCGTTCACTGTCTAAATATGCATGCTCGCCTCCAAATACCACGCACTGTTACAAACACCCTGTCCTTCCTTTTAAACCTACTACTGACTCAAAAACTACGTTCCCTCTCTCATGCTTCTTCCTGGTTCTTTCGTTGGCCACTTATATGCACCATTCTTTATGAATTTGATCAACTATGTCACAGACAAAATATGCCACCTTCACCATTTGACTTAGGGCGAAAGTTCCTCCATTGGCTTCCACCTCTCCCTCTCTCCTCTCAACATCTTTCGACCTAATCCTTGTTCCGTTCCCTTCTTACTTGGTTTCCTTCGCTTCTTTCCTTCTTTTTTCCTTTTGATCTCAAAAAATTTCTTAGCTTACATGTACTTTTTTAATCTGACCCAGACGGGGCGAAATTATATTGTTCCAATGCGCCCATGGTGGTATTTTATTTTCTTTATTTCTTTAATAAAATATTTGTTTAATCGTGTGGGTGAAAAGAAAGAGAATGTCAAAATATCAGCCGGAAATTTAAATTTCTGATGACGTAAATTTTGCTCTCCGGTGCAAGATTTTTTTTTCATTCTCTCTCTCTCTTTTTTCATATTCTCCTAAATATACACCCATTCATGATATCCAGTATTGCTCAAAAGAGACCATTTGCTAGTATTGTTACTGAAGATGAAGAGACCACAACTAATCAACACCCTTCTGAGAATGAAAGAGAGAAAAAGAGCCTGTAATAAGAAAGGGTATTTATACGTGTTTCTTTATTAATTATCCGTTTAGTGAACGCATGTCACTTCAAGACAGACGTTTATGTTCAGAAACACTCAACAAATTATGGAAACACCCCTGCTCATTTCCCTTTCAGCAGCCTGTAGATCCTGTACTTTACAATATACCTGATTATTTTGATATCATTAAACATCCAATGGATTTAAGTACGATTGAAAAGAAAATGGATGAATACAAGTCAAAGGAAGAATTTATTGCTGATGTTGAACTCATGTTTTATAATTGCTTCTTGTACAATAATCCAACTGATCCAGTTTGTGATCAAGCAAGAGAGCTTGAAAAACTATTTAAAAAGCAATTACCAAAACTAAGAGCTTCACCTGTAAGAGAAAAGAAAATGAGACAAGGCTTTATTTATCATTTCGTTATTTTTATAGGCAACAGATAAAAAAGAGAAAGTAACAGCTACAGCCATGCCAGACGAGGAATACAAACACTGTGAATCAGTTGTTAAAGAATTCAAAAAGCCAAAATATGCTCACCTCATCTGGCCATTTGAAAGACCTGTGGACGCAGATGCTTGGGGAGCTACAGATTATTATGATATCATCAAACGTCCGATGGATCTGTCAACAATTGAAAGAAAGTTTAATGAACTTGTATATAATAGCGAAGATGAACTCCATGATGACTTTAAGCTCATGTTTGAAAACTGTTATTTATACAATCCACCACAGCATGAAGTTCATTTATTAGGCAAGAAATTTGAATCAGCATTTGATAAATTTTGGAGTAAACTTCATGGAAAATCAAAAGAAAGATCTGTCAAGAAACAACGTGTAGATCAACACCAAGGTTTGTCTTTATCAAAACGACCTTAAAAATACTCATTGTTTTATTAAAGAACTTATGATCACGCCACCCACTACACAAGATGATTTGCATTTAAAATCTGACAACAATCACACTACATCTACAGTAACCAAGCCTGTAACACAATCAATCAATGCCAGTAAAACAACAACGGCACAGACAGGAACACAAGCAACACCTCAACCTTCATCTCAAGCAGCAGCTGCATCAAACGGTAAATGCAAGATGTGTATGTGCAATCTTGTATATACTTACCATATATAGATGGAAGAAACGTCTTGAGGATAAAATTAAATGTAAAGAAACCAGAAGAGGCAAAGGTAGGCTCCATTCTATATAAGCCTAGTTACAGTCTTTATATTTCTATTCATTAGCCTACATCAACACCATCAACTTCAGCGCCACATAAATCTACCGTGAAAATACCTGGATTAGCTTTATCTAAAGAACCACCCACAGCTGCACCCAAACTAGCACTGGATCAGCAACCTCCTTCACCGCTGGAGAAGAAAGAACAAAGACCGGCTCTAGTGTTACAAAATCACGACAAGTGGGTAGCACAGGCAAAACAACATGCTCTTCAGCAGCAGCAATCCTATAAATCTACAAATAGTAATAACAAACCTGTAAACATAAAAAGCAATACTGTGCCAAGCGAACGAAGGGCTTCTCTCTCAAGGCCTCCTGAACAACCAAAACCATCGATGTTTGACATTGGTGAATTATACAATAAAATCAATGACGAAAAGCGATTAAGGCAGCAACAGGTAATAGAGTAAACAATCACAAAAAAAAAAAAGTATACTGAATCTTGTAAAGTTACGAGAAGAGCAAGAAAGACGAGAGAGAGAGGAGAGAGCACGAAGGGAAAGAGATCGATTAAGGCATGAAGAACAATTAGCAAAGAAGAGAGAATTCCTGAAGCAGATGGCAAAAAGAAAAGAAAGAGAGAAGGAACAGCGCTTGGCCGCTTTGGTAAAACATATGACTATCATCTACAACACTCACTTATCCTTTTATATGTAGAACGAACGTGTTGTAGATATAAGTGCACAGAAAATGATTTCACATAAATTTGAATCAAATATATTAAGTAAAGACCTAGACTGGAGAGAACTCATCAGTTGGCAAAGAGATACTGTGGATTATCGACATATACCTGTACCCGCCTTCATCCGTCGATCCCATCTCAACTTGCAAGAGCTTCGATCAAAGCTTTTAAGTAAAAGCGTCCGTTTAAAGAATGCTAGACAGCAAGCAGAACATGGTCAACACTTTGAATATGCGTCAAATAATGGTGGTCATCACAGCTCAGGTCAAGACTCTGATATGGATGTAGAATAAAGTAGTAACAATATAATAATAATAATCATAATAATCATGAATGTATATTTGGAAAATAAATTAGCTGTCAATACAAAGAACTCTACAAGATTTATATGCGAATTGTTAAAATCATGTAAAAAAACAAATAAAGTGAATTGGCATAATAACAACATGCCCTTTAAAAGCTTCTGTTTTGTGTGAAATAAGCATTATATTGATCAAATTGAATGAATCATACAGGAGTGATGGCAAATAGCAGAGTGATTATTACCGCTATTGGGACATGAAAAAAAAAAAAAAGACAAGCCAATGTAAACATTAATAAGATCTAACAGAATGAAAGCTATCAGAAACTTACAGTGTCTGACTATGAGACAAGGTCTTGCATTTGGGCTTAGGTCACGATAAATACGCAGCAAATTTGCTGCGTGAATGCCATTAACTTACCATTACATAAAAAAGCATCAATGAATGTATCAATGTATCATACCACACATAACCAACTTACAGATGAAAAAAAATCAGCAACAGTACATACGTTGTTGATGCAAACTTTTAGGTGTTTTTTTCATTCTTTTCTCGTTCGACGCTGTTTCAGGATTTACATATTCAAAATAGAGTTGGTCTATCAACACAGTTACACCATCAGTCATAGTCTTCTCAGGTCTTACAGATACGCTTGATTCAGAAAAAGGGGGAAAATCATTTTATTTTGATAGGTTGTCAATCAGAACATCAATCTATAAAGACGCATCGTTCTACAATACATTGAACGGTGCCTGGATCCTAAAGTGTAACACCCCCTTCCCTTTGCAGCGCATCCGGCCGTGACATACACACGGTCTATTCTAGGTAAGCCACTTTCCTAAAGTTATTTTTAGTGGTAAATTTTGATTTACGGAAGGGGGCCCATCCGCACTCAGCGAAAGAAATGTACGACTAAGAGAAAACATGTGTGTTATACAAGGTTTTTTATATAGTCTACAGGGGAGGCTAGCATCTACGTTTGACAACTGGAATTTCGCTCAAGAGTACAAAAGAGAGAGGGGGGAGTAGCAACATTAAAATTTTGTAATGTTTTAATATTTCTATTCTGGATATATTCTCCCCTTGTCTATGTATTTATAGATCAAAAGAAAGAAGCACCTCCTGTTAAACAACTCTTCAGTTGGCACAGTTGCAAAAGGATAAAGCTATCATCGCTATGATTATAAGCCTTCTGAATAATGAGTATAACGTCTTTAGGGAGAAAAACACAAGCAAAAAAGAAAGAGAACAGAAAACGCGGTTTAATGTTACATGGTGATTTGCCTTAGTTACATCAAGAACATCTGTATACAGTGCCTATCCGCCCGAAGTAAGGCCTGATTCCTAAAAGATGATTCTACGCTTTCGTATAGTCACCAATGATGATCATAAACTCATTCATATATCATAATTTATTTTTGTGTTTTCAATGATACCACACATATGTAAAGAAGAATATACATAGATTGTTTCAGTAGCTTAGTTAAACATGAGTGTACTGCCATAAAACATTGGATATTGTGTAGCCGCTGTTGACCCAGTAAATAAGAGTGGATAATTGGGTTTATAAATTTCGTGCAAGCTCGGTTGCTGTATGTACTGTTGTGATTGATATTGCTGTGGTTGATATTGCTGTGGTTGATATTGTTGTGATTGGTGATGCGAATGAGTATAATAATAGCTGCTATAATAATATTCATAATCATATAGTGAGGATGATGATGATGATGTGGTGGTATAGACACTGCTATTACTACTTGTGCATTGCGCAGTATCCGAAGTTGTTTCAGGGTAAGGCGTACCTGCAGATAATTGGCTCGATCGACGTCTACCGCTTCTCTTGGTCGTAGGCGCTTCAAGATTATCTATAAAGGCTTGCTCTTTTCCTGGCTGAATAGTCCAATAACATCCTTTTCGAGATTGGCCAGGGTCAGAGGTTTCTCGCTGAATTTTAACAAATGCTTTATGCAAGGATAAATTGTGTCTAACCGAATTCTAGATATTTTTTAACTACTTCTGTGGCAATTTGGTAGTGTGATAATGAAATACTTACTTGCCAGCCTAAGTTGCTATTGGTATAATACGGATAATGCTCTATTATCCATTGGTAGATCTCGTTCAGTGTCAGTTTTCGTTCCTTGCTGCTCAGGATAGCATGGCCAATGATTGTCGCGTATGAGTAAGGCGGTTTTTCTTTCTTGTTGATTGGGTTCCAGGAAGGCACGATGTGAATAGGTCCTAATGGATAATAGTTTTGGCTACTTGTATCCACTTTAGCTTGCTCTATACTACATGGACCTCTTTTTTTGGCATTTCTTGATCGAATGGCTATTGTTGATGATGTTCTTGAATTCATTTATGTACGATATATATTTAGGAAGAGAGTATGTATATATATATAATGTATGTATATTTTACAGAACAGCGGGAAAAAAAAAAGAAGAGAAAAGAAAAAAGAGAAGAGCAAAGATATATATGTGCTATATATACGTGTGTGCGTGAGTAAGAAAGAGAAAGGGAGGTAATTTATAGATAGTCATTATCCTCTCCATCGGAACTAGCGAAAGTTACACCACAGCAGCAATCTGTCAGTTCAATGAATGAGAAGAAAACAAAGGGGAAAAGAAAGAAGAAGGATTATATATCTTTATTGATGCTATTGTTGGTATTGTTGTTATTGTTGTTGTTATTTTATGTATTGTCTTTAACTTTCTAACCACTTTGCTCTTTAGCGATTACCCTTTCTCGGCATATAAATAACAAATAACTAAATTAAGGAGGTGCGGAATGGGGTACATATGGAATCTATGATTCCGAGCGTGACAAATTTTGATGTGATACGTGCCAATCGTGTACTTGGTTACACATTCAACAGTATAGTAATTGGGTACGGTGTTCTTTATTAGGATAAATGAAAAAAGAGTGAGAGGACTTGTAGCAACAAGGGAATGAGCCGAAAGTGTATTTTAAGGTTGATCACAACACCTAAACAAAAAAGTCCGATCTGCAATTTGTAAAACAGGAGAAAAAGGCAAAGCTATCATACGATCACTTCTTGTTCACTTGTCGTCTTGCTTTATCATTTTCAAATTGAAGTTATGTAACAGATTGACTTTTGGATCTAAACTCTTCTTTCTTTTCGTAAAGGCGAGTAACCCTCCGTGCTTAAGACATGAAAAATAAAGTTAACTGCCTAAAGTTTCGTTGGAGAAAGCGAATCCAAATCTCGCTGGTACCAGCTCTTTGGGCACACTTTATGCAAGAAATGATTCACTGTGCCACTGTGTTATGAACCATCATATGACTCATCAATAGGTATTCTAGGCAACGTAATTACCCCATTTTGAACTACGTTGTTAGGGTTGTGCTTGTAACCTAGTAACAATGACCTCCTCCTTTTCTCCTTTATGAAAAATTGGCAAAACTACAAATACTGTCATGGTATTAACAGAACTTTATGCAATCATAGTGTTCACCGGCATAAAAAACTTGGCGTTCTCTATCCTTTTCCTTTTTTTTTTTATTTTCATTGTCTAAATCATTAAGCTTGCTTAGGTGAATTGATGTTCAAGAGCAAAGTATCAGCGTCAAGCATGACCTTATTTCCAGATCTAGAGATGATGCTGGCAATTTCACGAGCTGCTTCAATACGCTTCAACTCAAGGAAGCCAGGCTTGTTCTTGATCGCCTCACCAATCAATTCAGCTGACTTGGCCTCACCTTGAGCACGAACAATGACGGATTGCTTTTCTTGTCTTGCTTTATCTACAATGAAAGCTGCACGTTGAGCTTCTTGTTGAGCAATTTGCTTGGCTTCGACGGCGCTTTCGAAAACAGGTGAGAATCCAACGTGAGTAATAGAGACATCATCCAAAATAATGTTGAATCGAAGTGCACGACGAACGAGGTTTTCACGAACCAATCTTGACACACGTTCACGTTGAGTAATCAATTGTGAGGCAGTGAATTGTGCTACAACTGACTTGAGCACTTCATTGACGATAGAAGGTAAAATACGTTCATCGTAATCTTGGCCTAATGTACGGTAAACGGTGGCAAGTTGATCAACACGAGGTTTTGAAAGTACACGACAAGTAATGTTGACCATTTGTAAATCTATTCACCAGCTTAGTATGACATGTGGCTATATATGCAATCTATGTAATACCTTTAGTGCCTGTCAAAGAAGCAACATTACGAGGCTTTGCACGAACATCGTAAATGATGGGTGTTTCAAACCAAGGAATCATAAAGTGAGTTCCTTCGTTGTAAATATTATCTTGAACACCAAAGAGACGGGTGTATTTGATAGCTCGGTGACCACCGTCAACTAAAAGATCATTAGTCTTGTAGTTTCAACAAGGGTATTATTTTTGTACCGTTGAAAAGAGAAGCATTCACACCATAACCCAAAGCTCCCAAAACGACCAAGGCACCAGCGGCAGAGCCAATGCCCTTACCAGAACCACCGGGGAACATGCCTCCTAATTTCTGTGCTGCTTGTTTTGCTTGCTGTGCCATTTTTATTGACAAGAAAAAAAAAAGAAATTTTACCTGTCCATCCCCCCGCTCCTCGATTTTTCTGCGACATGTTTACCCAATCGATTTTATTTCTGCTGGGAAAATTAAAGACTACGCTTTTTTATAAAAAGAAAATGCTTTATTTTTACAAGTGAGCACATTTTTTCATAGCTTGGCGAACACCCAAATCAAGCATAATCTCTTCTGAGCCACCAGGTATAGCATACGCACGTACTTCACGGTACAATCGTTCTACTTTTTCAGCTTGACCACCTCGAGTATATGCGAGACCACCAAAGATCTGAGACGCTTCTCTTGCACAATATTCAAATGTCTGTGTACTTTGAGCTTTAAGAAGCGCGATGGGCCCACCTAGCAGTGAAGGCTGGCTAGATTCAGGTAATGTCTTGACTTGATAAAGAATCGACTCGAGCCATGCGTGCGTTGCTTCACATTGACGGATCATATGTCCGAGCTTATTACGGATCACGGCATGATCAATAAGCCGTTGTCCGAATGTCTTGCGTTTTAAAGCATACTATGAATCAAAGTGTAAGAAACATCACATTGCCTATATTTTCAAGTAGTACCTTGAATGCTTCTTCAATACACACACGGGACAGACGGCTAGCTTGCATGACAATACCAAGTCGCTCATGATTGAAATTATGCATGATATATTTGAATCCTTGGTTAAGCTGTCCGATAAGATTTGCCTTGGGCACTTTGACCTATAATAAAGACAGTTACATGTGTGTTATTAAAAAGCAAAGAATCTTACATCTTCAAAAGTAATGTAGGAAGTGCCTGACCCCCACATACCCTGGCAATCCATCTTTCTCGCGCTGACTCCAGGCATGCTTCTTTCAATTAGCAATAATGAAATGCCTCCCATACCAGGCCCACCCGTTCGACAGGCTACCGTATAATAGTCAGCAAACAAGCCTTGCGTGATCCATTTCTTCTCTCCGTTGACCAGAAAGTGGTCTCCCATATCTTTGGCTGTGGTTGTTAGATTGGCTACATCAGATCCTGCCGAAGGTTCTGTGATACACAAGGAGATCACTTTATCTCCAGATAAGCATTCAGGTACAACGCGGTTTCTGATTTCATCGCTAGCAAAGTTAATGATGGGAGGAAGAGCAATGGCAAGGCCGCCTTCCAGGTACCAGATGAGGCCACCAGAACCGGCACGAGCTAGTTCGTCAACACAAATAAACTCGTGAAATATATCAAATTCTGAAGCAGGTATGCCTGCAGGAAAGCCATAGGGTAGTAACTCAGGGTACTTATTTGCACCATTTGGCAGAGCAGAAAGAAAACCTACCTCTGCAGCTCGCTTCAAGACAGAACGAGGAAATTCTTTTGCTTCGCTCCATTCATGGCAATGAGGAGTCAGTTCCTTATCAACCCATTCTCGCATGACTTTTCTTAGGCGAATATGGGATTCCTGATAGTATGGACTGGCAGTTGTGAGTAATAAATAAACACGTTGATAAAATACCAATATTACCTATTCCAATCCTGATACCAAGTTGGATCGCTGTAAGGAATGTTTTCTCCAAACCGTTGGGTTATGTCAGCTTGATCTTTGGATTCTGATTGCTGTGACGGTGATTGATGAACATCTGTGCCGAGAACACCAATCTGCATAGGCTGACCAATACGCTGCATGATAGATTCATTATGGAACGTCTTGAACTCTTTACTAGCATCCTTTCCTGCCTTTTTCAGCAGCACCTTCTTTCCTCCCGGATGTTCATTCACAAATTTTGTTAGATCAAAAACTTTGCCATCAATGATGACCCACAAGTCATCCACTTTATTATGTTTTGCCACTTCCTCTTTTGTATATGTCTTCATTTAATACAAAAGAGAAAAAAGAAAAAGAAAAAAGACAAGGCGCGTAAAATGGACAATGACAGAATTCACATTATCTAATCTTTTTAATTGTGGGGAAAAGTAGGGGAAAAAGAAAATCCTGTTTCTATTTTCCGAAAGCGATCCTCTTTATCTCATCTACTTTATTACGATGAAGCATAAACGTAGGCGTAATCCATCGTCCACAGGAGCATTGATCTCCAGACCAGTTATAGTTGCCAATTTTACATCGACATTTTGGACAGTCAATACGACCCTGTACGTCTTCAACAAAGCCTTCCATCCACTGCATAGGTTCGATAAAGTAAGAGGAGCAGGTATTGTTTTTGGCAGCCAGTGCGGCAAGAAGAGGATTCAGTGCCTTATTTGCCTCTAATGGTTCAGTATCTGTTGTTGTGGCTGTTGCAGTTGTTGTTGCGGAAATGTCTGCATTACGTTTATGGTATGAGAATGACATTTGACCCTTTCCGGGTTCATGATCAATAACATGTTCAGCTCCAACAAGCAAACGTCTACATTTGCGACATCTTAGACCTCTGAAGGGCTTTTTACTATCCTCAACATTGCTTAAACCTGAGTATTCTGGATCGAGTGCAAATTGTACTTGTTCTTGATTTGACATTATTGAAAATAAGAAAAAAAAAGAGTCTTCTGAACTGTAAATAACAGCACTCCGCGCGTACGCCACGTCAAACTCATGATTTTAAAAAAAGACAAGGTTTTAAAACAATCTATTTATTCTAGTGTTTAGCTCTCTTTTGTTTTCGCCATTTCTCCACAATATTCTGTACTCGTTTGCTTGAATGTTTAGATCCAGTTATATCTTTCACAGGGCCTGTGGTTGGACTAAAGAAACTATTGATAGTTGATTGTTCACCAACAGCCTAGAGCAAATCAATTAGAAAAAGAGAGGATCAATCATTGTCTAATAACTTACAGTTCTTTTGTTCATTTCTTGAAGTACAGGTAATAGTACTTGATCCGCCTTTTCTTCTGGCCAGCCAAATGCCTCCATCAAGAAGACTCTTAAGGAATCAAGCTGAGGTTGTCCCCATTTGAATTGCTGCTTGGAGTTGTCTACAGTAGGATGAAGATATGCTTCCTTGACCAACGGATTAGGAAAGTCAGCTGGTATTTCCAAATCCTTGTGCCCTTTTCTCTATTATGTATATAGTAAGCAAACGGTATTTTTGATAATCAAGGGATCTTACAAACTTCTTTTGAAAATCTGTGGTATCCTGACCACTATTATACCAGTCCTTAAACCGTATTAAAGGAGTTTCTACTGACTCATCCTCATCATCAACAGATGAAAACTCTGAGAGAATTTCCATAGCCGCAACAGGACCAACCCCGGGAATTCCTTCTGTATAATCACTGCCCAACAAATAAGCAAGTTGAATTAGCTTTGTTCTGCTCAGCATCATTTCTCTTTCAATATCTTGACTTTTGTAGAATTCTACAAAGCGTTGTTGATTGAACATATTTTTATATACACGTGTTGCTCCAAACAAAAAGACATCAGAGTCATCTGTGATCGTTCCTTCAATCAGGTTAAGACGCTCCAATTCGGCACACTGTGCTTCAGCCTCCATAGGCGAGACAATATAAGGAATACCAAACAGTTTTAAAAGCTCTTGTATATCTTGAATCATTTGGTCTGTTATATCATCTGTATTTCCCTTTTCTTTTCTCTGTCGAGCATTCAAGTCCTTCATGTCTTCATATAACTCTCTTTTTACGTCTTCTATATTCCTTGATGCAATATTAGAGATGAAGCGAGCATACTCATCATCTTCCCCTTGTACATTATCATCCAATTCTTCTTCTGAATCGTAGCCTTGGCCATTAGTCGCTACTGTTGCTGCTACAGCTTCATTTTCAACCTTATCACTTCTTTGAGATTCATCATCAGCTTCTTTCTCTTTTGAATTATTTAGATTGTCAAAAGTATGTATGGGTATAACTTCTTCATATTCTATTGATATGCTTTCATTATCATCCTCGTCCTCGTTGTTCTCAATATGCCCATCATGGCTAATCTTTTCCAGCGACGAGGTGTTTTTACTAGCTTGTGTATCCTTTTCTTGTTTCCGATTGTCTTCATTTTCGCTTAGCTTATTTACACCAGATTTCTCATCTGGTTTTGTATACAGTAATGACTGTGATACATTAATATATACAGGTTCTCTCAAAGGAGTGACACTTTGTGATGGTTTATCATCAGTTTCTAACTTTTGGCTAGATCCAGCTTCAACAAATTGAATAATCTCGTCATCGTCATCATCAAGTATAGACGTGTCTTGTATGATATTATCTTCAAAAGACGGTTCAACCAAATCGTTTTCAGTCTTTGATGGCAGTTGCTCTCTTGCAGCAGTATCCTGCTGTTGTCGGTTGTTTTGCTTCCACTGAATCACGTTCTCTAAAAATGATTCCTGAAACTGCAACGACTCTAAAGCAAGTTCATCCCCTTCACGCGTTTTTCCAAACTGTTTACGTATGGACATGAGCTGATTCTGTAGTGTTGGAATGTCACTATCAAATATGGCTGATCTAAGAACCCTTTTGTACTCGTCATTAAACGAATACAAGTACAAAAATGCATCAGGAACTCTAGAAATCCAAAGGTTTAGGAAATCATCGGGCCCAAGTGATAATGCAGAATCATCTTGTTCCTTTTTTGCTGCCTTGTTTAATTCCCGAGTATCCTGAGCATAAATCCTTGAAATGACCTGATCTATAGCCTCGTCATCTGCATAAGCGTTCATATCATTCAGCAAATGATCTCTTTTGTTTTCGTTTGGTTTGCTATAATCTATAAACAATGTCTCGTCTTCATCTTCTGAAATTACAGAGGTAAAGGGTCCTTCGTCTGTCTGTCCTTTATCTTTTTCCTGGTCTTCTTCTTCGTCACTAAGAATCCCATTCAATAAAGCAGCAAGCTTTGGATTGTTTGCCACAGCTTCCTTTACTTTATCAACTTGATCTTTTTTCTCTGTTGAGTTGCTGTATACATTTAGTACTTTATCAGCCTCGTTCCTCACTTTCTTACCTCTCAACGTCTTCTGTAGTACCCGTAGGAGGTTGTACAGGATCAATATAGACAGGATTTGCAGCAGAGAGGCCAGGAAGTTTCCACCCCAAGCCTTGTTCTATATTCTCATTCTTGTACAAGATGTATTCTCTACCTCTCTCACCGGCTACACGGGCAGGCTCAGAGGCAACCGTCCCCCCAGCAACAGTGTTCATCTGTATCACTCTTTGTGTCATTTCATTTCGATGTTTTAGCAATTTGATCTGCTGCTTTGAAAAATCAAGCGCAGTTTTAGAATTTCTAACCATTTGATCTAGTCTTGCCCAAGATGTTTGACGTGATTTAAGCTTCAAATCTTGAATGATCTCATACTGTATCTCAGGTGGTAACGACTTGAATGTTTCTGAGTCAATGTCCATATCTGAAGGCATATATTCTTCAACAAATTCCTTAATTTCTTGTGCTGTTGCTAAACGAGGATCTACTTTATCAGGATGGATCTGGTTTTGATTTATCTCTGGTAATTCATATTGATCTAGTTTTCTATTCTTTCGTAAAACATCAACTGCAGCTGATTTTTCAAGTTGTTCATAGTACACATATTCTTCGTCATTAGTTGTCTGTTCTCCTCTTCGTCTAAATAACGTGATTAAGTCTACTACTATTGATGTTTGATCAAATCACCAAATACCCACTTTTTTTCTTCTTCCATTATAACCCTTGACTTAACTTGAGCACTCAAGATCTTTCTTGCGGTGGCCTTCATGTTTATCTTCATCCCTTCTCTTCGTCTTCTTCTTTCTCTCTAAAAATAAAAATAAAAATACAAAATAAGAATCATATTACCTTGCCTGATTGTTATATTTTACTATAGTATTTCGTTTTAATACTGGCGCTCCGCCATCAAACACAAACACAGGTTTAATATCATAGAATAATAACTTGCATAGTCTTCGAAAGAAGCCCAAGAGGTGTCCATTTCTTAGAGCATTTCCTTGCCTGTCACGCATGGTTCGCATAAATTGGTGGATCCAGATCGATGCATCAACTGCAATTCTTTTTTGTCTCAAAGACTCAAGCTGTGTTGGCCTTGCTGCTGGTCCGACGAGTGTCCAAAGTCCTTGAACTCCCATAGGTGATCAGCTAAACGAAAAAGAAAAAAAAAGTAATTTTGCTGCGAAACAGAAGGTTAAACAGTGCCATATAATTTAAATACCGATGCATGAATTGCCGTCAAGACTTTCAAGTGACAACAGGTACAAGAACGTCATAAAGCAATTGTAGTTGATGTTTTATCTTGATGTTAATTTAAATAAACGACTGTTGAAGAAATAACACAGCTTTTTCTTTTTCAAAAGGAAACCATCTCCTCTAAGCTTGTTTTCTATATCTTTAACTCATTTAGGAGTCTACTCCCCTCGTCAGTATCCATCAACTTTTAGCGTTTGGTAACTGATACTTGTTCAGTATAATTATTGAAAGTGAAAAAAAAGTTTTGGCGAGAGTGACCCAACCTTGCTTATGCGCCACTGTGCGTCAATCGAGATACGTCTTGTACACTTATTGCTAATGTTTTTCATTGAAAAGCAGAAATGAATATAAGAACGGAAGTGCATACATTCATTCTATAATGATGATTTATATTAGTAAGCGTTGTGGTTTTAACAAAGAGAGTGATTATTAAGTTTGTTGTTCCTTGTAGATTGTTGTCAATTTACACAAAAGAAAAGAGAACGAATCCTAAAGTGGTCTTGTGGTTTTTATAGAACGTATTCAAGATTGGATTGTCAAACTGAAAAAAAGTGTAAAGCAACGTTTTGGACTTTAATGAAATTAGTCGGTTCTTTTTATTAGTAAATATACAATGTGTTCCCTTTCTTTGACTAATGCCTTAACTATGCCTAAAGATGCCATTTTATGCCAATGATTATTTATGCCCTGTTTATGCTGATGCTATGACGATGCTTATTTTATCGTCTTCAATACCGCGACTTAACTCTAAAGATGTCTCTTCCTTAATTTCGTCATCGTCGTCTTCATCCGATTCATCCTTACAGCTTGCCAAATTGAAGAGCTGTAGTGCAATCGAAGCATTGGATATGCTCTCTTCATCGATTGCCTGGAAGAATAGCCTTGCCAACTCATTCTCCTTGTCAACAAACATACGATCGACGTACTTGGCTTGAATGTAGGCCAGCTTTGCCTCGTGACTGTCTGTAGGGGATACACGAGCAGTTTGATGACCCCAAATAGTGTTTGCTTGCGCGTTACCCATCAAACGCAAGAACTGTACGACTTCGGGAGTGTAGCAAGCCCTGTCTAGCTTCAACGATCGTACTTTTGAAATATGTGTGCCAAGGCTTCTGTGAATTCCTGAACACTCTGTATAAGAAAGAAAGGAGATGAATAAATCAAGTTTTTTAAAAGGAGAAAAAAATCCTTACCGATACACAATAAGACGCCCAGATTTAGCGAGCACCAATCCGGATCTTTGGCTCCACAGTCAGCGCAGGAGTGATTTGATTCATCTTCTCTCAGCATGCTTAGTAGTTCTGCCGTAGGTATAGAGTCATACTTGGAACTAATACTGTTCATTGATGATTTTGTCTTGATACTTCTTGCCTGTGAATGGATGGAAAAAGATAGATGCTTCCTAGTTTGGCCAAAATGAAAACTAGACCACCTTGATCGAAGGCTTGTCGCTGTTGGTTGTGAAGGAACCTCAAGAGATTTACCTGTATCATCATGAACTTGCTTCTCAAGGGCTACAGATCTTAGTACAACGCTTAATGAACGAGCACGACTGGATCGCTTTTTCTTGGCACTACCATGACTCTTGTTACTACTGGATGTCGACGTGGGAGTGGATGTCGAAGGCGATAGAAAGGTATCCTTAAAGTTTGTTGAGCTGCTTGTGCCATTCAGCACACCTTCAATTGAATTTTGTACGGTAGACATCCATTGTTCAGCCTCTTCCTGTGACGTTGCTTGGTACAGTCTCCGAATCTTTGGCGTTATGATCTCAAAGCAGAATCGTCTCTCTGAATTTCGTGCTTCACGTACGCTTGCGAACCTCAAGTCTATCGGGTTGTTATGTGGCTCCAGTTGCTTCTTCCAGTTTGTGTACTCGTAAAACTGCCCACCGCTTACAACACACCAGTATCTAAAAGAGAGAGAGAAAAAAAAATATGTTGGCTCTAATGGAAATTTTTGATATTTATATCTCGCCTTACTTGTGCCATGCTTGAGTGGTATGTTTAACCTCAAACCCGGAACTTTTGGATGGCTTTGAAGTTGCGAACAAGAACCCTTCCTTTTTGCGACCTAACAGAGCATTTCCTCTATTCGCTTGGTGTGCTAGGTCTCTGATACCCTTAAATTTGTCCTCATTGGTGCTTGAAGACGACTGATCTGTATCACAAGATATGGAAGAGATAGCTTGACATTCAGAATTACTGGGCCGTCTCTTCTTATCCAAGTGTTCAGTAATCAACATATTTTCCATCTCTTTCCTCTTTGCGGCCCTTGCCTGAATCTTCAGCGCATGCTGCTTTGATGTATCTTCTAGTAATTTCGATAATAATTCGAGCCCAGGCTTAGTATTCTCAACCTTTTGCGCTATTGATTCGAAATACTTGACTTCACGAACGATATGATCTGTGATGCAGAAAAGAATGTCGTGCTCTTTTTTACCCCCATGCAAATCCAAGAGATACCCCAGGTAGTCGAAACGTGCTAGATCAAACTTTAATTTCCGAGCCACCTGCCTTTCCTCGTCAACATGCTTTCGCTTTAAGTATTTGGCCAGCACAGCATAGTATTCTTTACTCTCTTCCTCAAACTGTCGCTTCTTCAGATCTGCCATTTTAATGTCCTGTTCATATAGTGCCTTGATGGGATCCAGTAGCTGTGTTGATAATGCAGCGTCCAATCGCTGCCTTTCCTCTGTGATCTTTGTCCAAGCATCATTCAGATAATGGTTCATCAAGGGTTCAACACATTCGATATCTTGCAATGTCTGCATAAATTCCCCGTCTGCCATTGCTAATTGTCTTCTAGCTTCCAAGGAGGTAGTTGCTGCCTTGATAATTCGCTTTACTCGAGCTTTCAAGACGGTTGTACGACTTTCGAGATGCTTGATAGTAGCTCTGAATAATGGTCCATCCTCAGAAATCTCCATATTTGTTAACAACTGCATTTTTCGATTAGCTAAAAAAATGTTTAGGAGAGAAAAAGAATAAAGAATAAAGGAAATGAAAAATACACGTTTTTGTTCATCTTGAGGTACACAAAATTCCATGTTCCTGCAGTTCAACGGAGAATTAATTTATTGGTTACATATCGTGTTGCCTGGCAACAATAAACATCCATGGACACGAACACGGCGTACGCCTACCATTCGGGTGAATGAGGTTCTTGGACAAATAAAGTCATGTATATATGTAATTGTCATCATCTTGGTTCCTACAATTGGTTTTTCTCTTGTTTTCTGAATATAAACCAAGAGACGATCAATTATTCTCAGTGTGCACACGGACATTTAAAAGAAGACCCTCAACTTCTGGGACTACCATCGGTATACTGTTACAATAGTTGATTGTCCCTCCTTTATTCAAGTGGTCAAGAATATGTCAGTTTATTAATTAAATCATTTTATACAAGCTTTTCATTGATACACGTCCTTTTGATAGATTTACATTTAAACTTCATTACCAAGTACGACATAGCAGAAGAATTCATGAGGGGGGTGCCCATTTATGGTAGATGGATTTATTACTTTTTATTTCACATGGTTAATACTTTTAATAAGATTCAATGCACTTCCCTTCTTGAACCAACCAATCTGATCCTGACTCATGGTATGCTTAGCATCAATAGTCACTTTTGATCCATCAGGCTTAGTCACGATCAGTTGAACTGGTTTACCTGGTGCAATATCCCTGACACCAACTGTTTCGATCACGTCACCACTGGAGATCTTTTCATAATCATTTTCATTGACAAATGTCAGTGGCAGCACACCTTGCTTCTTTAGGTTTGTTTCGTGAATACGTGCAAATGAACGAGAGATGATGAGGGGACAGCCTAGATAACGTACTTGCAGGGCAGCATGTTCACGAGCAGAGCCTTCACCGTAGTTATGGTCAGCGATCACCATCCAGTCAATGTTCTGTCGTTTATAGCTCTTGGCCACTTCGGGGATGGTATCTTCTTTGTTGTTTGTGATATCAATTGCTGAATTGACTTTACCGGTATCTGCATTCAATGCGCCGATGAGTGTATTTTCTGCAATGTTTTCCAAATGTCCCTTATACTTTAACCAAGGTCCAGCCGCTGAGATGTGATCGGTTGTGCACTTGCCCTTGACCTTGAGCAATACACGAATATTTCTAAACTCATCGCCATGCCATGGCTCGAATGCTTCCAAGGCTTGTAAGCGATTTGATTTGGGATCAATACTGATTTCTACAGAAGGATCAGGAGTGGGTGTAGGTGATGGTGGTTCATATGTTGCACGACCGGCTTCAAATCCTTGGCGAGGAAGATCGTCACCACTGGGTGGGTTGAATTGGAACTTTTGACCATTCTTGTCCAGCAAGGTATCCGTCATGGGGTTGAAAGAGAGTCTGCCTGCAAACGCCATTGCTGTGACAATCTCGGGTGCAGCTAAAAAGTTCATGGTCTGAGGGTTACCGTCGTTTCGGCTACGGAAATTTCGGTTGAATGATGTCAGGATTGCATTCTCTTCTCCTTTCTTTTCTGAGCGCTTCCATTGACCAATGCAAGGACCGCATGCGTTAGCCAAGACTTGACCTCCGGCTTCTTCAAACACTTGTTGCTGGCCATCACGTTCAATCGTCGCACGGATCTGTTCGGAACCAGGAGTGACCAAGAAGGGGACTTTAAGTGGTACACCGGCTGAAGTAGCTTGTTTGACAATAGATGCAGCACGAGACATGTCTTGATATGACGAGTTTGTACAGCTGCCGATAAGTGATGCGCTCAACTCATCCTTCCATCCATTCTGGCTTACAATGTCCTTGAATTTGCTCAGGGGTGTACTCAAGTCGGGTGTAAATGGACCGTTGATATGAGGCTCGACTTCGGATAAGTTGATTTCGATAAGTTGATCATAGTGAGCACCAGAATCAGCACGCAAGAAGTGAGCGTTGCTGTCCGCAGCTTGGCTCACTGCAGATCTTCCAGTAGATTGCAAGTATGAACGCATGCTACTAGTATAAGGGAATACAGATGTCGTAGCACCTACTTCGGCGCCCATGTTACAGATAGTAGCCATACCAGTACATGACAAGCTGTCAACGCCTTCACCAAAGTATTCAATGATATGACCAGTGCCTCCACGAACGGTTAATAATCCGGCAAGCTTCAAGATCACATCCTTAGGACTAGCCCAGGGACCTAATTGGCCTGTCAGCTTGACACCAATGACATTGGGTGCCTTTAATTCCCATGGGATGTTGGCCATTGCATCAACTGCATCTGCTCCTCCTACTCCAATAGCAACCATGCCGAGACCACCTATATGATATAAGTATGACTCTTCTTTTTTGTTGCTTGGTAACTTACCTGCGTTAGGTGTATGACTGTCTGTACCCAACATAAGACCACCAGGAGCAGCGTAGTTTTCGAGTACAATTTGATGAATGATACCGCTTCCAGGCTTCCAAAAGGCAATACCATATTTCTTGGCTCCACTCTCTAAAAAGTCAAAGATTTCCTTGTTGGTGACGATAGACTGCGCAACATCTTTATCTGCTCCTTCATGAGCTGCGATCAAGTGGTCACAATGAATAGAGGTAGGAACTGCGGTTGTAGACATACCAGATAGCATGAATTGAAGAAGAGCCATTTGAGCAGATGCATCTTTACATACATGGGTTAGCTAAATCATATATTATATTTCGACTTTTGTACCTTGCATTGCTACACGATCTACATGCTTAGGTTAATACGTTGTAAATACACATAATTGCTATCATTATTACCTGGAGATAATTTTAAATAAGTCTCACCCCTGACCGGAATGGTTTCTTCAGGATTTGCCAAGTGAGAGTATACAATCTTTTCAGCCAAAGTCAATGGTCGTTGATCCAAAATACGCTTAACAAGATCAAGGTTTTTATTGAGTTTTGCATAAGGTGGAGTTATAGATGAACAATCCTTCTCTGCTACTGGGTTATGCTGTGTGGCTAGTGTACGTTTGATGGCATGTCGAAAAGTAGGTACCTACACATACTGTAAGCTTAATACTTTTTTGGATCTAAAGTGTCACTTACCCTACTACGAGCTAAATAAGCAGAAATCATATATAAAGGATGAATATAGAGTAGGGGAGGGGGGTGAATATAATCAAAAGAAGGTGTGAAAAAAGGGAAAGGGGGTAACAAAGTTTGACACTTTTTTATTATTTATGCTTGAGCAGATGATCTTTTATCTATTACCTGATAAAGAAGGCATCGGAGATAAAAAAGTAATCTTTTTTTATTTTGATTTATTTGCACTGTTTGTCAATGCCTTTTGACGTTTACGCTGTTTAGATTCAAAATCATGCCAATCACCTTGAATGTCTAATAAGCTAAATAGTCACAGTTAGTTATTGATCCTTTGTATGTTTGTTTTTCTTTACTTGGCTGGCATCACTGGCTCTGGCTGTTCAGTTTTAAAGTATGCAAATTCTAGTGCTTCAGCTGCTGTCGGCCTCTTTTGTGGATCCATTGATAATAAGGACTGTGAAAGCTCTAATGCTCCAGGGGATAATAGTCTATTCGTGTGATAGATTAGTTTCCTTTTCCTTGACTCTCTTTATCACTTACGATCCATATAATTCTTTAAATTTAGGCGCATACACCTCGGTTGGACGAACAAGTTCATACCAAGGTAGTTCAGTAAGTGTTGGCCAAGTATCTACAGTAGGTGTGCCCATAATTCTATAAATTGAGTCTAGTTGTGATATTTCATCCACTCCATTAAATATTGCTTTTCCAGTAAAGAATTCAAGCATAATACACCTACGCTTCTATTAATACATAATTATACTTAATTTTTAAATGCTTACCCAACACTCCAAATGTCTACGGCTGGCCCATATGCTGTAGCACCTAATAGCAGCTCAGGTGGCCTATACCATAACGTAATCACTCTATTGGTATAATCCTGTGTCTCATTCTTTTCAAAGACTCTCGCCAGACCAAAATCTGCAATCTTGAGCTCTCCTTTATTGTTGATCAACAAATTGGACCCTTTGATATCTCGATGGAGTATTCCCATATGATGCAGATAAGCTAGCCCTTCCAGCATCTGTTTGACCAATGATTTGGCATGAGAAGGCTGAAAGGTAAAATTAGGATGCCCTAGTATACCAGATAGATCATGATCCATGTATTCCAGCACCATATATACGCACCCCTTTGAGACCATAATTTGCTGTAATTCAATTATCTTCTCATGCTTTAGCTTTTGTAATAGCTTGATTTCTCTCACTGCGGTAATAGGAAACTGACAAGGCACATGAGCATCCTTCCTCTTTGTTAATACTATCACTTACTCCGTCTTTTTCATTCTTCATGCGAATTCGCTTCAGAGCCATCAGTTTACCTGTCTTTCCATTACGTGCTTTATACACCTTGCTATTATATACACAAAGGTTAGATGCGTCGTAACTCTCCATCTCAACTTTACCCATATGTTCCTTCTCCTACTTGGCCAATTTTTTCAAACAATACAGCTGGATCATCATTCGTTTCAAATGGATACCCTAGTTCACTAAACGACTCCTCTGATATGTCCTCCTTTATTGTTTGATCATTCGTTGGCTGTGATATTTGTGGTGATGCAGTGGATGGTGGCATATAGTCAGTAGAAGGGGGTGGAGGTGGAGGTGGAGGTTGCTCCATACTAGATGATGATGGGGGTGGCGGTGGAGGCACTTCTTGTTGCTGTTGCTGTTGTTGTTGATGGTAGTAATTAGGATCATAGTACGCATAATAATATTGAGCATACTGCTGATACTGCTCGGCTGTATATTCTGCTGTTTGATGATAGTTATTATAATCTGTCCATCCATAGTAATTCCACGCCTGTTGTTGTTGCTGTTGCTGTTGTTGTGGATCATGGTAGTAGGATGCATGTGCAGCAGCTTGCTGCTGATAGGTATCTGCTTTTGGTCCGGTAGGTATCGAGTGGTCATGACTATGACTATTATTGCTGCTAGTGACAGTGCCATTGTTGTCTTTTGTATTACGGTCTTTATTATTACTGCTGTTGTTACTATCATCTCTTCTGTAGTAGGATCTTTCTTTTCTACTACTACGCTCTCTACTAGGCCTTCTTGAAGACCAGGAAGATCTCTCTCTACTTCTGTCACGATAATCTCTAGAGGATCGACTACTTCTACTGTCATCTCCGTAATTTCGTCTTTTATCTCGATGGCTACTACTACTATGATAGCGATAGTCACTTCCATAATACTCATCTCTACTTCTTTTTTCTACGCTGCTTTTTCTGTCTGGACTATATCGATCCAGCGATCTGTCTCTTGCTTTTGAATATTCACGACTGTCCATTGTATTGTGTGTATTGGTGCGAACAAAAAGTGGTTAATAGAGTGAGAGTAAAGTCGTACTGTCTCTTTGATTGATTAAATGCAAAGAAATAAATGTTCTTGGAGCAACGCGTAATGGTATTGAAGAAACAGCTGTTTATTAAGACAAGGCCAAAAAAAAAAAATAAGAAAAATACAGTCTTTTCAGTTTACCCAATGAAAATTCAGCTTCAATTGAATTAAGTCACATTATGATTTTAACCACTAACAATACACAGAACATGGGGCAGTAGGCACACCATCATTGGCAAGTGTATCTATAGTATTCATAGGATATCTATTTTTGTAATAAAGCATGTATGCAAATCAGCTTAGGAACTCGCGCTAAGCATAGTCTGAAATGATAAATAGTCTAGACAAGATGGACAAAGATCTTTTGTGTGACAGTGCCAGGCTCACGTATTCTGATCAAAAGAGAGCATACTTGTACCTAGTAGACAGAGAATTTGATAATCACTATTACAATGATGATTAAATGACTTTATATTGTAGTAGAGAAGCCTTTGAACATCCTTATTTTTGCGTACTTGTCATCTTATGATTAAAGCTGAGCAAGTTGAACAGTGTTTGCTACTACGCAAAGCACATCAATGATCATTAGTTTTATACAAAAGGATAACATTTGAAACAAACATGCATGAATATGATCATAAGATCTCTTTCTTTTTCTTAGTCCTTTATTAGTAAAAAGTCTGGACGTTTATCAAAAAAGAGACAATCTACTGCGTTTTATTTATTGATCAACACTATCAAATTTTAGACTAACTTTTCAAGGCGCTGACAAATCCCATATTTTTGATAGTGTGAGAAGGGTAAATAAATCGGCATTTGGATGACTATTGGCAGATGTCATCTTGGGTTCACAAAATGTTAGAAATTTTTATAAAGTTTACAATAAAAATGTGAGAAAATCAATTGATAACCTATTCTATGACAACATTTACTGATTGTATTTTCTAAAATGTGTATAATTCCGCATCTTCGGGTGAGATGAACAGCATCTCGGAGATGCCGTAGGCCGTTTCTATGCTTCATCTCACGTGGATTAATCAGCCAATGATTGGGCTAGATTATGAATCATCTTTTCTGCATATTTTAAAATAACCAATTTCCAAATTCATTACATACCTTCCTTATTTAGTAACATCTGTATTACCACGATTGCATATATAAAGCAAGTAAGAGGGAGCGGGGCGGGGCGTGTTATATTTTACCCTTTCTTTTTCACATCTATTTGTTTTGTTGTCTGCAATTTTATTCAAAGAAGAAGACTATAATAAACGTAGTCAAAGGAACAATAATAAAATGATAGCAAGCTTAATAGGGACAAAGGACCCTACTATTCAATGTGACATCTTATTTTATCCACAATATCAAAATGACCATGGACAGGTTGTCTGCTATCCTGGTTCAGTCTTTGAAGGCGTAGTTAAGATTAAACTACAAAACTCTATGCCTATCCATCATATAAAACTCGTATTCAAAGCAGCTGGTAATATTCATCATTTTAATGTCTCTTTATCTGACTTTACATTTTTATGCAGAGAGAGTAAACTACGATGCTATGGGTTGGGAAAAATTAACAAAGACAAACGACCGTTTATTTGCTGTACGCACCATCCTCTGGGGATTACCTTCAAATGTAAATGTACCAGTAGATGCCTGTCCAATTTTGGAAGCTGGTGAACACCATTTCCCCTTTGTCTGTCAGATGCCCGTCATCAATTTCCCACCTACCTTTCAGCATCATCTTATCGCCACCACGTTCGGTATGATCGTGTCAATTGAGCGGCCGAATAGCAAACCGATCCTTTCTAAGCCTGTACCTTTACAATTTCAACCGATTATTGAAACGATGCCAGTAAAGAATTTGAATGGATTCAAAGAACAAACGAAACTCACACAACAATTGTCAGCTCAGGTGCTGATTCCAAGACTGGCCTATAGTATTCACGAAGATCACTTATCAGTACCACTGACTGTTCAGTTCCTATCACAGGACGAAACCAATCTGACCGGCGTGTCACAGTTACGAGCTTATATCAAATGTTACTATCAAATTAGTTACAAAACCTTTTCAAGAAGTGAAGTGACCACCGTTGCAGACTACCTACAATCCAAGCTGCCTTCTAATTCACTTTCTATTCAGTTAAGAATACCAGACAAGGATAAACTGACGCCTACCTTGACTTACTCAAGACATCTAACAGTTGAATATAAACTTGTTATCACTGTCAAGGTGCGACATGGTCCATTGAATATAAAAAAGAAGCTGTTTGAGGCACCCATCATATTTGGTACTTTACCACCTGGAACAAGAGCACCAAGACAACTGGAAGCTTATTCTCAAATAGTGGACAACACATCTGCTCTACATTCTAAACCCACTTTCTTACGACCTGAGCCTGTAAACGAAGAGGAATTTTTGCCAGCATATGATAGTGAAGAAATCCCACCTGCATATCGTTCTAATATACCAAGCACTATCAACTTGCCAACCACAAGTATTCATGGTTAATCTTGTAAATAATCATACATTATTTATTCTCTTACCACTTCATCTTTACCATCCTTCCTCTTCTTTATTTCCCCCCTTTATTTGTGTTTTAATATTAAATATATCCTTATTGATGTGTACAAGAAACAAAATTGTCACATGAGCAAAGATAACATATTTAGACGTGGTGTCCTCAGTGAAAGGCAAACACTTGTCATCCATCTTTCTTTGTTAAACTTGCACCAATAAGCTCAGCTACCCAGCATTTATCATTTTAACACACAGTTACACCAAATCGTCATTTTCAATCCTTTATCCATCACTAGACTGACCCCACTTGCACATCAATACACTAGAAACCTGTTCCATGCCTGCAATTTCTTCAAAAATGATAAATCAGATCATCATTTGTTGTTTAAAACATAAATAATGCATATTGTAGCATTACTACAAGTGGTAACAATAGTAACAGTAGTCCAGGTAACTGTGGCTGTAAGTACCCCTCCTTTTTTTTTTTCTTGATTCTCCCACTTGACTCAGTTTGGTGAAAAAGAAACTATGGAAAGCCAAGGCTAGATCATGTGTGTGTGTGTTATCATATTTAAGTTGACACAATCTTTCTCTTTTTATGCAAGTCAGTTTACTTTACGTTATCTTGATTTTTACCCAATCAGGAGATATATACTTGTCAAATGACCTCGACTGTTCTCCCCTTTAGTACATGCCTTGTAGAAAGAGTGTCTTCATGATCATACTGACTCCGGTCAGGTATGTTTATATGCAGTCGTCTAGAGCAATATACTATTTTGGTTCATTTTCTCAAGGTATCCTTCATCGCTCTACATCTTTTTTAATAATATTACATTTATAGATACATATACACTTTTTTTTAGAAATTATTCGCACACATTACAAGGTCAATAACAATTAACACTTTAGTTGATTATCAGTCTTTTCTTTATAAATTAAAAAGATAACATAAAATAATACATAAAATGAGCTTGATATTTTTGAGAGATACATAAAATAAACGTGGTCAACGCATAAATAATTCGTAGCTAATAAATTGTTAAAGACTTCATATACATGGTCTGATCTTGATTTCTTTTGTTTTCTTCTTTGGATCAAAAAGTAAGATCAGCTATTCCTTAGATAGCCCTAATTTATGTTATATTCTTTACTCTTGTAAGAAACTGATATATAGTATTATAGATTATGAAATCGAAAACAGTACCGGTGCTAGCTGGGGGCAGCTTGGTTCTTACCAAGCTTTGGTCCCGTCCGCTCTCTTTCTTGTTCTCTTTCTTGCTCTCTTCTCTTGTCTCTATCTTGTTTTCTTTTTCTCTTTTCTCTTCTTTTTTCGGGCTGGTTATCGCCAGCCCTGCCCATGGTGCATTTCGGGTAAGATATTAATAATCTCTTTATAAGCTTACTCATTTTTCTTGCTTCTCTTTTTTTCTCTTTTAAACTCCCTTCTTTATAATGTAAGTATTTAATATCAATGTAATTAACTGATTTACTAAACAGTTCTTTTTATATCTCATTTTTTTGCTTCTTATGGGCTCACTTTTATCGTTATTTGTATCATTTTTTTTTATCAGTGAATAAAGTGTAGTACTATTTATATGTAAATGTAACAAGCCACTTTTAAGAAAAGATATATGATAAATATATTTGAAGATAGTATCATATCATTTCTTTGTTAAGTATATTTAGTGAAAAGCTGATAAACTCAATAGCTTAATCATTTGGCCTTGGTTGGCAGGTTTTTGTAAGGTAGCACTTTAATATTATTGTTTACATAAATAAAAAATACTTTTATCGACTCCATCAGTATCAGTTGCATGCTCCCAGTTCTTAAGTAACCCTTGTAATTACTTCAACAAGACGCATTTGTTAATATTACCGCACCCAAGGCTCGAAATATATATGAACCACGAATCATTTCTACTGTTTGAAAAGTGCGGTGTAGATATATCAAAAAGATACTATAATAGCTACAGGCTCTTTGCTAGAGTTCCTTGGCCATGTGCCCACTCCAAAGAAATCAAAAGATGCTGTTATTAATATTCGAACACATGGTGTGAGACGCAGCTGACGTTGGTGCTAGCATAACGCGCGAAGCTCATATCAGCTGAGCACGGTAGACACCTGTATAGGCCATGCGTTGGTTTTTGAACAGAGAGGGATATGGGGAATCACTATACAAAAGCGTGTCAATTGCTGGGATGTTTTGTTTGATTTGACATATGCCATGCGCAGTCGGTACAACCATTCTACTAAACTCTAGTCAGTTGAATAATGAAATGCGCCTTCAACAATGCATCCCTCCTAACTTTTCGATTGTTTAATTTCTTCAGAAAGACTTCCAATTTTTCTAGTTTATTTATTACTACTTCTTCTATTACATCTTTCACTTATCTACCTAACATGCCAGGAAGGCCTTTTTGATCCTTTTCATCAGCTTGCTGGGCTATTTTACAAGCTGTATACTATCTAAGGTGATGCACCTGCAGATCAGACTTGCTTGCAGTTTTTTTTATTGATAAATCGTGTCTAATGAAAGTCACCAGTTCAGAGCATATGTTCATATTATAGCTAAAGTAAGCCAAATAATAATCAATTTATCAAGCTGATGAGCTTAAAGGCGTGTGCGACCAAGCTATGTCCTATATTACTTCCAGGAAGCTGTCGTCACAAATTCATTCTAGACTATTTGAACATTGGAATCACACAATTCTCTAAAGCAGAATCGCTTTATTAAATACTTCAAGATAATCAATACATTCTAAAATAACCTTCATTTAAAGTCTGCGGACAACCGCTGATTTAAACTTTTAAAAGATGTTGTCAGTGTCATATTCCAATGTCCCATCCGACTGAGCAAAACATGAATTTGTAAATATTTTATATTCAAATCCGTCTCAGATATTGACATAGAAAACCCTGGGTTAATCTCTCTTTATCATGTGTGAGCTACTCGCATCTTTTGACTAGCTAACGCGCGTAGCAACAGAGTGTTGGTTTCCTCGGCAATGATGCTCATATTTGTCATGGAAACCACACATTCAACAACAGAATCCTTTTTATTTCTTTTATAAAGATCTGTTACTCATGAATCGAAATGTAAAAGTATAGAAATGAACTAATTCTCGGCTACAAGAAAAAGAACGCCAAATTTCATTTCAAAATTGACAGTCGCCCTTTTTTTTGCGGCCAAGACGCGTTTCCTATTCGATTGTCACATTTTATAAAAAAAAAAAATGCCAGCGTCTTTTTTTTTTTTCTTCTCTTTTTTCCTTTTGGACACATTTTGATAAAGCAGAATAAAAATGTCAAAGGTAAATAAACTCGCTCTATCTAATATAATTCACGGTTTGTCTAATGCTTGAATATAGAACACTGATACAGAAGCTGTAAATATAACATATACTCACCACACAAAGCATACATTTATACTCATTTACTTTGACCATTTAGTCATCACCTGTTTCCACACCTCAAGCCGATTCTGTAAAATAAGAAAAAAAATTGGGATGGACAATTCGTGGTTGGCAACTAATCTTTTTTTTTTTTTTTTACTAGATGGCTTCTTCCAAGGAATCAACACCACTTCGCACCTTCAAGGAGCCTTCACTCGTAAGCTCAACACTTTTGCATCTATTGTGTATTAACACTCATGTAAAAAAAAGTACGAGACCCGTGTTAGAAGATACAGATATCTGCTTGGACAGACCGAACTATTTGCGCACTTTTTGAAATTAAAAGATATAAAAGACGAAGCTATGCAAGCTGTATTGGCAGAAAAGGAAGCAGAAGCATCAAAAGACAACAAAGAAGGGTAGGATGTTGACATATTCTCGACTATGCATAACTGATGATTTCTATATATGTGCAGATCAAAGCGTAGAAGAAAGACCGAAAAAGAGGAAGACGAAGAGATCTTGAAGGATGAACAGACAGAAAACGAGGATCAACTCACTGTGTTCACTCAATCGCCTGCTTGTAAATATAATAATTTAGTAGAAAAATTTTTTTTCTTACTTATGCATATTATCTGTAGACGTCACAGGAGGCACTTTAAGAGAATATCAGATACAGGGTTTGAATTGGATGATTTCCTTGTTTGAAAATGGTATCAATGGTATTTTGGCAGATGAAATGGTAAGGTTTAGAGATAGAGTCCACTCTTTTGGGGGGAAAAGGCTGAACACACTACCATAGGGTCTTGGTAAAACATTACAAACAATTTCATTCTTGGGTTATCTGAAGCATGTTCGTGGTATTCCTGGTCCTCATTTAGTGGTTGTGCCCAAATCCACATTGCATAACTGGCTGAACGAATTTAACAAGTGGATACCCGATTTCAATGCATTTGTTTTCCATGGTGATAAGGAAACGAGAGTAAGCAAATTTTTTAAAACAATAAGAGAGAAAATTTAATTTGATTTTAGCAAAATTTGATCAAAGAACGTGTCATTCCCGAAGATTTTGAAGTGTGCATTACCTCGTATGAGATCTGTTTGTTGGAGAAAGCACAATTTAAGAAGATTAAATGGCAATATATCATCATTGACGAAGCTCACCGTATCAAGAACGAAAACTCAATGCTCTCCCAACTTGTCCGTATCTTGGAATCCAAAAACCGTTTGCTAATCACTGGCACACCACTTCAAAACAACCTGCACGAACTCTGGGCACTTCTCAACTTTTTACTTCCTGACGTGTTCAGCTCTTCTGAAGTGTTTGATGAATGGTTTGAAAAGCAAGGAGGCGATCAAAAGAAGGTAGTGGAGCAGCTTCACAAAGTGCTTCGACCCTTTTTGCTTCGTCGTATCAAATCCGATGTAGAAAAGTCGCTCCTTCCTAAAAAGGAACTTAATGTCTACGTTCGTATGTCTCCAATGCAACGCCAATGGTACCAAAAGATCTTGGAAAAGGATATTGATGCTATCAATGGTGTGGGCATCAACAAGAAAGAAGGCAAGACGCGTTTGTTGAACATTGTGATGCAGTTAAGAAAATGTTGTAATCATCCTTATCTCTTTGACGGTGCTGAACCTGGACCGCCTTTTACGACAGATCAACACTTGGTAGACAACTCTGGAAAGATGATCGTCTTGGACAAACTACTTAAAAAGTGCAAAGCACAAGGATCCCGTGTGCTTTTGTTTAGTCAGATGAGTCGTGTGCTCGATATTCTCGAGGACTATTGTTGGTGGAGAAATTATGAGTACTGCCGTATTGATGGTCAGACGAACCAAGAAGAACGTATTGATGCTATTGATGAATACAATCGTCCGGGTAGCAGTAAGTTCATTTTCTTGCTTACTACACGTGCTGGTGGTCTTGGCATCAACTTGACAACTGCTGATGTTGTCATTTTGTATGATAGTGACTGGAATCCTCAGGTTGACTTACAGGCCATGGACCGTGCTCATCGTATTGGACAGACAAAACAAGTATATGTGTTTAGATTTGTTACAGAAAATGCTATTGAGGAAAAGGTTCTCGAACGTGCTGCTCAAAAGCTTCGATTAGATCAGCTTGTCATCCAACAAGGACGTATGCCTGCAGGCGGAAAATCCAAGACAGCTAGCAAAGATGAATTGTTGACTATGATCCAACACGGTGCTGAAAACATCTTTAAGGACTCTTCTGATAATACTTCGGAATTTGATGATGATATTGATGAAATCTTGCGTCATGGCGAGGAAAAAACGGCTGAACTGAACAGCAAGTATTCCAACTTGCAAATAGATGACCTCAAAAACTTCACATCCGAGAGCGCCTACAAATGGGATGGAGAGGACTGGAGCCACAAGCGAAAAGCAGATAGCGTTGGTCTCTCCTGGTTAGGTCCTGCTAAACGTGAGAGAAAGGCCAACTATGCCGTCGACGATTATTATAAAGAAGCTCTTCGTACGAGCACAAGAACACCTTCGAACAAGGCGCCCCGTCCCAAGAAATACAATACCGAAGACTTCCAGTTCTTCCCTGCCAGACTCATCGAGTTAAATGAGCGTGACACCTACTATTTGAGAAAGAGTCTTGGCTATAAGGTCCCTCCTGTAGCTCCCGAAGAAGGAGCCTCGGAAGAGGAAATCCAACAGCTCGAGAAGGAAAGAGAAGAGGAACAGAAAAAGATTGACAATGCCGAGCCATTGACTGAACAGGAAGAAGAGGAGCGTAAGACGTTGTACGCCAAGGGATTTTCAAATTGGAGCAAGAAAGACTTTGCCACGTTTATCAATGCATGTGCTAAATATGGTCGAAACAATTTTGACGCCATCACTTCTGATTTGGAAAATAAGACATTAGATGAAGTCAAGAAATATGCCAAGGTCTTTTGGCAACGCTACAAGGAAATAACTGACTATGAGAGACATATCGCCAAGATCGAAAAGGGAGAAAGCGAACTAGAAAAGCAGGCAGATATTCAAGGACAATTAACACAAAAGGTCAAGAAGCACCGTGTGCCACTCCAACAGCTCAAGATCCACTACACTCAGCCAACAAAGGGCAAAAACTATACAGAGGAAGAGGATCGATTCTTGATTGTGATGCTTGAAAAGTATGGATATGGCACGGAGAACGTGTATGATCATATTCGACGTGAGATCAAACAGTCACCGCTCTTCCGATTCGACTGGTTCTTGAAGAGTAGAACATCACAAGAGATTGCCAGACGATGCAATACGTTGATCAGTTTGATTCAAAAGGAAAATAGTGAAGCACAAGAAGAGGAAAAGAAGGTAGTTAAAAATATAATGTTAAGAAGCACGGACTAAATAAAAAACATAGACTCAAACAAAGGGACGAGGTGCAAGTAGCAGCAGCAGTAGTGGCAATAGAAGAAAGGCAGCCACCAGCAGCAACAGCAATAACAACAGTAGTAGTAAAACAAAACGCCGATAGAAAAATAATAGAAAAAAAAAGTTTAATTTATCACTCTGGTCTCTTTCATACTGAGTTTCTTAATAAAAAAATTTTTTATACCTTTTAAAAATGTCAAAGGCAGAGCAGGTGAATCAACAGCTTCATGAGATATTTGATCCTGAGAACTTGAAAAAGGACAACTTTTTCAGAGAGCTTGTTGAAAGAGATCCTGAAGGGTGTACGAATCATATATTGAAGTCAAGCAAAGTTATAAACTTTTGTTTATAGGGGTTCCTATAAAGAAGATGAGCATGATTAAGCGATTCAAGCAGATCATCGAAGGCGATCTCTCTTTATTCGAAGAAGCAATCTCTATATCGCCCGAGGACTTTGAGATCAACGAAGCCAAGACTCATTTACGTTGCATAAAGAAGGCTGAAGAGCCAAAAAAGGAAGAAGAAAAGGATGAAAAGCAATCAAAGAATGAAGAAAAGATTAAAAACCATATCGAAAGTTTGAACCATCGATCTATTTATGCTGTAAGAAAAAAAAATGTGAATAGTGTTAAAATAGAGACTAAAGTTATTTTTTGCAGAAAGGATTCTCGGTGGATAAAGAACCAAGTGAAAAGGACTTGAAGGAATTTTATGGTAAATTTGGACGTGTCTTGTCTCTCAAGTTCCGTCGTGAAGGTGATAAGAAATATGAAGGAAAGTTCAAAGGCAGTATCTTTGTCGAATTCGAAAGTCAAGAAATTGCCGAACGTGTTGTTGCCGAGGCAACAGAGTATGATGGTAAGGAACTCCTGACGATGATCAAGGGCGATTACATTGACATGAAGAAGCGTGAAAAATACCAAGATCAGGAATTCGAGTTTAAAGAAATGAAGAAGCGTCACCGATACTTGGTCGAGTACAAGAATGCAAAAGACACACAATTCTCTGATATCAAACAGATCATTAAGGCAATCACACCTGTTGGCCGTGTGGAAAAGTTAAAGGAAGCTGGCTCAGGCGTGCTCGAGATTTTTGACATCACGCCTGAGGAATTTTTGAGTAAGCTGGGAGAACAGAAAGCGGAAGGTATCCAGTTTATGCTGTGTAGTGCTGAAGCAAGAAAGCATTTCCTTGAATGTCAAGATAAAGTGAAGCATCGTCATGGCAAAGGTGGCAGAGGTGGCCATGGATTCAGAGGAAAGAAGAGACCTCAGGGAAGACAACAAGATGATAGCAATAAGCGTCCTCGAGGAGTGGTCGAAGTAAAGACCGCAGAGAAATAAAAAAGCATACAATATACATTATAGAATGGCATTGTGCATATATTACAAAATAAAGATTCAAAATCACATTGAAGCATGACACACTTATTTGCTGTTCTTTTTCGAGAATTGGCAAGGAAATGAAACTAATTTAGGTTAAAAGAAAACATTGTATACATAAATTTTATTTATAAATGGCATAAAGTTATGTAAAGATATATGTGTAAAATATATAAAAATAAAAAAAAATAGCATTGTTCATATACAGAATAGATTTAGATTCGTGCGACATAAATCATGTGCTTAATATACAGTTCTTAATCGGTCTTGTAGAGATACCTCGTAATAGAATCCGCTGGATAGTCAATACCCAAATTAGGTTTAGCGTATATAAAATCAGAATGAAATAGAAAAGGTTTTGGGTAATCGAAAGTTGGTGACATGGGTGGTAGTAAGACTGGACGAGGTGGAGGATAATATTGATCTCGATAATAGTTGTTGTATCTGTTTCTTTTTGATTTAGTCGACAAGTGTGTTCTATAATGCTGCATCATATTATCTTGTCGTGAGAATCTACTTGGGCACCCTGGATATAGACAGTAAAAGTTCTTTTCACCTGTATGAATTCTAAAATGTCTAGCTAGATGACCACTAAACACTGGGTATGAGCATTTTATGTTTTTCTTGAGGATTGAACAAGTTACCTTGTAGTAAAGCTTTTTTGGCATTCTGTGCAATGATGCTTACGTTTCTTCTTTTCTTCTTTCACATCATCATTCAACAGATTGATTTGCCTTCCTTTTGAATTAGTTACAGATAAATAGTTGGTGTTTGCCATGGTAACGTGAAGATAAGGGGATGGGCAAAAGAGATAATGAAAAAGAAGAATTGAGAGAAAGAAAGAGAGAAGATCTACACCAAAGGGATGCCCTGTCTGATTTATAGTCGAGATCTTGTGTAATGAACGCATTGATCGCCTTTATATTAAAAAACGTGGTTTGTATTACGCCTCAGAATAAGGGAGCCAAATTGCCTTTTTGTCTATATACTTAAAAACCAGAAAATTTAATTTTCTTTTTTTAGATGATGTTGCCAAGCCAACGTGAATACAAACAAGAAAAAAAAGGAAAATGCATCAATGCACGTTTATATACTGCTTGCGGACACTCAAGTCGCATCTGGCTGAACCGAGGTCTCTTTTGATAGAAGAGTGTTCTCGACACACATTGTAACAAACAATGTCTTTTAGCTTTGCGTCATTTCTCTTGCAGTAAGAAATCAACACCAACACCATTCATATCCCCTTAATAATCTTGTAGAAGAACGGTGGGATACGTGTAATTTGTAGTCTCACTAGCCTTTTCCTCTTTATTCACGTCCACCCAAAATTGGGGGCAATTTAATTGTACTCAGCATACTTTCTATAACTTTTTAGCACATTGTGTACACCATGTTGCATTGGTTTCAGTTCGATTCCTCTAATAGTTTATTGCATTTAATAACTCATGTCAACAGGTAGAGCAACGTGGTTAATGTTGCATCGGATATTCCTAATCGCATGGTACGTGAACACCATATATTGTCAACTGTTTATAGCTTTTTTTTTTGTGAATGGAATTGTTACTTTATGAAAAAGTCAAATGTATTTATGATTTTCAGTGTAGGCTTATTATTAACGAGTAATAATAAAGAACCTGTGAGAGCAATTCAGAGTCATGGTTACTCATATTGACAGTTGTACTATCTGTAGTATTGTCCCCATGAACAGATGAGATAATTAAAAAAAGTCTATAGCCAACCATTACTATTTAATAAAGAATGAACACAAAAAAGGGCGCCGACGCTGATCCAAATCAAGATGTATGCAACATTTATCCTGAAAAAAAAATGTAACATCAAAATTGTTTTAGAATGTTTACTTCTTTTATAAACCTGTTTCTAAAAGAACATGTATTCACTTTTGTAGGTAGCCCAGGCAAATCTGATCTAGTGCAACGTTCGCCAAATGTTAGTATGACCTCCTTCCAAGTAATATGGTTTGCTAAAGTGCCTACATTGGTTACAATCATTGCCATACAAGAACATCTTGTTCTACTCATGTTTAATTCAATTTGCTCCTTATACAGAATATACACACAATAAGAAAGGTAATACAAACTTACACCAATAGGAAACTAAAACTAGCTACATATTTATTATATATAATGTATAAGTTTTAAATATATTTGTAGTCATATGTGAGTCTAATGAATGCTGCAGGCACACAGACACATATACGCAAACATATAAGAAGCAGTGTGCAAAAAGTAAGAAAAGAAAAATAAAAAAAAGAGAAATGATCGACAATAGCCTTTCTTCAAACAAATGCCACTTGTGCCCAATTGGATTATTGTTTCCCAAAAGACTGATGATTTCAAATAGTGGAACACACGCTTGAAAGTGTCACTATGAACATTGTATTAGTCTCGATTACTTTTGCACGCCTTGAGTTATTACCTTTGCATCAAGAAAAAAAAAGTTGCTTGCTTTATGTAGGGTTACCAATTAGACTTGCCTGTAGATCCTCCACCTGCTAAACTTCCTCCGCCTGCTACATAGAGCACCTTCTTTCCACGAGTGGTTCCCTTTATCCTATTACGTTCATCCACAGCCGCTAGTAAATAAAAAATCAGTACATGCATACTATGACTCTATATTTTTTTTTTTTACCTTGTCTCGCAGCTGCTTCTTCTCTTTCTTCATAATTCAACACCAGCTGTTTCAACTGCTTTTGTTCTTCACGTTCTGCTTCTTGTTTTGAACGTGTGCTCACTGCCAAGACAGAATCAGAAGGAATTTCCATAATCTTGGTCTATAAAGTATTCGCATTAGCAAAGCCACATGCTTCCATTTCATGCATATTTACCTGTTGGCGATTTCCTTTCTTTGTCAACAAGGTAAATGCCATCTTTCCCGTTTCGGGCTTTTCATTTTCTCTGACGGTTGTACGACGATCTATAGATGACACATGGTCAGGGTTCAGATGATGCACAAAATCATTGTGTACTTACCAAGTGAGCCTCTCAGGTTCATAGGAATAGGTACATCCAACATTGCCGTCTTCTTTTCAAATTTACGTGATTCAATACTATCTGTCATCATCTTGTTAAACTCTCTTTCGAAATCTTCTTCATCTTCTCTTGATATCTGCTCTTGCTTCTTCTTTAGTACAACCACGTCATCCTCATCCGTCTCCGCTGGGGCATTCTGAGGTTCATCCTGTCCTTCCTCATCTTCTTCGTCTAATCGGTTTGTTTCCTCATCTTCATCTTCTACACTCGAGGTATCCGATCCTTCTCCACTTTCGTCAAATCCATCCTCCTGTACTTTATCTGTGCCTTGAATGCTCTTCAATTGTTCCAACAGCATACGATCTACTGCTTCGTTGGCTTGTTCGTAGGTAGGAATGATCGTCAGTTGTGGTCGAAGCATTTCGAATGTATCCGAAATCATAAAGTCAATATCCATCGGAGGTTTAGACTTACTGAGCACATACATCTAATATGTCATATAAGGTTCCTGTTTTTAATCCGTGCAAGAAAGTTTTTACCTGAAAGAATACCAAAAAGTTATCAAGTTTCTTTTTCGAGCTTCCTCGGTCAAAACACATGCCACATGTATCAAGCAGCGTGCAACAAAGACGAATACGGAAAAAGTCATTAGGTGTATCAATCGGACAGAATCTTTCTCTTGCTGGCCTTCCATATTCTACATAAACCAATTAGGGTACAAATAGACGCATATAGATTGATTAAATATATACCATGACCAAAAGTAACAATCGTATAAAGTGTGTCAAAGATCAAGGGTGACTCAATCATACGATAGTTATATAACTCTCCTAAATACTTTACAACTGCGATTCGTCTCTGATTATGCTTAAAGATGTTTTGCTATTCACCAAAAAAGAAAAATTAGATCCTGTGCGCTGGAGCCCTCACTGAATGACTTACCTCTAGACCCAGACGTATTTCTTCTATAGTACCGTCTACAATCTGTACACCAAAGTCCGAATGATATCTGTTCAATCCGCTTGCTAAAATTGCCATAAGATGAATATTGCTAAACTTGATCTTCCAAATCTTTTGAAATATTCTAACAAGTAGCTGACGGATCTTGACATCTTCCCAGTGTAGTTTACGTAGTTGCTTTAATACCTTATCCAGTGATTTCTTGCACAAGTCTTCATGAATCAGTTTACGGATATACAATTCCATGGGCGTCCTTTCCTTAATCTGAACCGCTGGCTTATCTGGTGGATTCGCTTGATAGTACGCGTTTTCAACCATGAGGGAGTAACGGCTGTCAAGATGTTGTACAGTTTTTTTTCTCATTACGGTTTCCAACATGCTGCTCATACGTGCGCTCGTATCAGGTGATCTCAGCAAGAATCGACCGCAGCATTCGAGTAAATTACATACTATATCGATATTATGGCTTGTAAAGTCATCAAGAGCTACTTTGAATGCATAGAATATGGTGTGAGGAGGCGTCACTCTGAATTTTGTTAATTCAGATAAGAAACGAATATTCTAGAGAGAGCATGTGTATGAGCATATATATCAAATACGTATAAATCCTTCTTACCTTCACTCGAGATTCAATCAAATCTTGATTCTTTCTTCGCTGTAAGCCTTTAAATTCGTATGTCAACTAATGCACACCGTGAGCTTTCTTTTTTGTTTTAAGAATATCATTACTTACTGCCGTAATAACCATTTCTCCAATATCTGGGAAATAGTTATTTAAAATAGCAATAAAACGAGAATAGTAGGGTAAAAGATCCAATCGTTGTCTTTGAACTTTCAAAAGTGTCTTGACTAGCTTCTTTCTGGCATTCTTGTTATTCATGTAGCAAAAATCAACAACAGCAGCGTCAATCAAATCACGGTTAGCACATTGTGGTAAACGAGCAAAGAATCCTTCCAACTGAGCAGCCTGGGTTGGCTTCATCGTACTATCTTCTTCTCCCGCTGCATCCTCGACATTTCTGTACTAAGAGTTAGTTTTTATAATTTCATATCATTCTTTCTTACTCTATTGCTTCTTCCAATGGATCCACGTCGTCGTTATTGCTATTTTCTACAATTTCTTCTTCCTCTGGTTGTTGTTGTTCCTTATCCTGATCTTCATTCTTTTTTGCAGGCTGATCTTCCAAAAAGACATCAGGCACAAGAATTCTGAGATCAGGTAGATCCTCATAAAACTTGCGGGCATCGTCGTCTTCCCAAACTCCCTGACCTCCAACATTTTCACCACCATTTTGCTGAAATGCATTTCCACTGCTGGATACCATACCGGACGATGGTTTGTTCACAGCTTCATTCTCTGGAAGATCAGGCATTTCCTCATTCAAGGCGTCGGCCAATGTTTGAGTATGACTCAATAGTTTCTCATAGGTCTTGGATGCTTTTTCGAATCGCTGCTTGTTCTCCTCTGATAACTCACCTCGAGCAAACAGGATTTCATTGTTGTGGCGTTCCATTTTTTTGATCGCCTTGTGTACCTTGGTCAAATGTGTCGATATGGTCTTGTAATAATCCTGCATCAAGGACATCAAGAGAGCGTGTATATCAGGTGTGACAACTGATTCAGGATCAACATCGACAGTAACAGATTCTGAGTGCTGTTCTGCTGCGGCCTTTTGTTTACGAGGGACAATGCCTAGAATGGTTTGACCATAATTCTTTAAAAAGGAAGCAACAAGTGGTAGGTTGACATGGTGATCTGTATCATTCGACAGCTAGACATACATATTAATCATGAATTACGGTAAATGATGATAGGTATAGTTACCAGATCCTTTAGGATTTTATATATGAACCCTCCTTCATCCTTCTTCTTTTGAGATTCCTTTGATGAGCTTTGACTGACAGTTGAGCTTGTTGAGTTATTGACGAACCCAGCAACACCATCACGATGTGTCTCGACTCCGTTCATGTTGGCTGCCAGAACGGACTTTCCATCACTCACCGAGCGCAGCACGCCAACGAGCCATAGTTCACAGGCGATTCTCAAGTAGGTTCTTTGTTTTGTGATACGCGCTGATTCTTCCTTTTCTCGCTGTTCAGCTGAGAGAGTGGCCAAATATTGCTTGTTGGGTGGTTGCAAGCTTTTGCTCAATTGACCAGACAAGAGCAAAGTGAAGGTATCAGGAAATCGTTGGTGTAAAGCTGAAATGACCTAAAGAGTTTTTAATTATCAACCCCATTTCCAATCAAAGCTTGTTCTTACCTCTACGCAAGCAGAAACATCGACACTTGTTTTACACTTGAGCATACCTTCCAACACACTTCCAACGATTTCTGAAATATATTTCTCGAGTGTCAACTTGTTGATGTCATTCAGTAACTGAGTCTTCATGTCTGCACCCAAGGAAGTCTTACATTTCTTGATGAATGCTGTGTTCTTTTTGATGTTGCTGTCCAAGTTCTTGGGTGTCTCTGGTCATACAATAAGATACTACTCTCCTCGTCCATACAACACACACATACCTCCTTTTTCTTTTTCCCAAGCAAGTTTGTTTAGTTGTCTTAATTTCTTTTTAGTGTCGTCCATGGTTTAAAAAAAAAAAAAAGTCAACTATTGAAAAATATGTAAAGGGTTATTTTTGCTTTGACTCCGCTTTTTACACTTTATTCACTTGTAGTAAGAGACTAAGAGCGTGTGTCTGATAAAAATGGACAACTATTGATGAATAAAGCGAGGAAGAGGGTTGAATAAGCGTATAATGTAATCTATGATATTAGACAAAACTAGGCTGAGAAAAAGAGATTAATAAATGAAGGTACGTCTGGAGTGGTTTAATTTCTTTTTTTGGAAGTTAGTCTGGAAAGAGGAGGACAACTTAATTTTTTGACCCTCTTTCCTTCCCTTCATCACTTCTTTTTTTTTTTTCTTTTTGTCATGATTAGTGCTTTTTTTATTTACAATCAAAAAGGAGAAGTGCTCATTTCGAGACTTTATAGACATGACTTGAGGTAAGAATGATAATTTGTTTACTTCTTTTAATAACTTTATTATCCAGACGTTCAGTGGCAGATATATTTCGTATTCAGGTCATTTCCAACACGGACGTACGTTCACCCATTGTCACTATTGGTTCTACTACCTTCTTTCATGTCCGTCACGAAAACTTGTATATTGTAGCTGTCTCCAAATGGAATACCAATGCTGCCCTTGTCTTTGAGTTTTGTTATCGTGTTGTCAATATCGGACGAGGCTATTTTGGAAAGTTTGATGAAGAAGCGGTCAAAAATAACTTTGTGTTGATCTACGAACTTTTGGATGGTAAGCATTAGATCATGAGGGCGTATACTCCATACTTATATTACTTTAGAAATCCTTGATTTTGGATATCCTCAGAACAGTGAGACAGATACATTAAAGATGTACATCACGACAGAGGGAGTAAAGTCGGAAAAGGCAATGGTTGAAGATTCGAGTCGGATTACGATTCAAGCAACGGGAGCTATTTCATGGAGACGAAATGATATCAAATACAGAAAGAATGAAGCATTTATTGATGTTATCGAAAGCGTCAATCTGTTGATCAGCAATACTGGTACTATCTTACGAGCTGATGTCGCAGGTCAGATTTTGATGAGAGCTTATCTTTCGGGCACTCCTGAATGTAAATTCGGATTAAATGACAAGCTGGTATTAGATAAAGATACAGTCAATAGAAATATGTAAGTTTATTTCAAACTATGTGCAGAAACTTATGCATCATTGGTTAGGGGCGCTCGACGAACAAATACAGTAGAAATTGATGACTGTCAATTCCATCAATGCGTTAAACTGGGCAAGTTTGATACAGATAGAACCATTAGCTTTATACCACCTGATGGCGAGTTTGAATTGATGAAATATCGTACAACAGAAAATGTGAATCTTCCATTCAAGGTACATCCTGTCGTGACGGAAATTGGCAAGACTCGAGTGGAATATAATATCAACGTCAAGGCTAATTTCTCACCTAAACTTTATGCAAATAATGTTGTACTCAAGATACCGACGCCATTGAACTCTGCTAAAGTAGAAGTCAAAGTAGGCGCAGGTGGAAAAGCGAAATATAACCCAGCTGAGAATTGCATTATCTGGAAGTGAGTTTCTCTAAAGATGCATAGACAATAGATTAAACATAAATTGATAGAATACCTCGTTTCCAAGGTCAAGCAGAGTTTACTTTGAGTGGTGAAGCAGAATTATCAGCTACAACACATAAACGAGTTTGGTCAAGGCCGCCTATATCCATGGACTTTCAAGTCCTTATGTTTACTTCTTCGGGATTACTTGTTCGATTTTTGAAAGTGTTTGAAAAGAGTGGATACCAATCTGTTAAATGGGTTCGATACATGACAAAGGCTGGATCCTATCAGATTAGAGTAAGTGTTATCTAAAGAATATACTTGTCTTACTAATGCTCTCATAGTTTTAATTTTTATAAAAAATAAAAAAAAAAGGGCTTAAAGAAACGCATAACACCTTTCTGAGATTGTGCTTCTTTTCTTTTTCAACCAAAATATGAGCAGCCAATTTTTTTTTATAAAGGCGAACAAGGCCATGGTGCTGATGAGCATGACTGGCGGAATTCCTTTTCCAAAGTGTTTGAATTATTATTGTGTATTCTGAACAAAACATTGAGCGACCTGCCTGAATTTTTTATGGAGTGCTTCCACACTAAGCGGATATTGAAGAAGAAGACTATTGAAGATAATGAAACTGGACCATCTTCATAATTTTATCAAGAGTGAGTCTAATGAAAGGTTTCAGTCTTGTAACGAAACCAAATGTATGAGCATCAAACTAACAATGTACTCACTTTACCTTTTGTTCGCTTTTTTTTGAGACATGCTGGGAGATTAGATCGAGCACTCTGCTTCTTTTTTCCCTTCATGTTTGGAAATACATTGTATTTTCTTTTTGTCAAAACTATCAGCATGATCATCCATCAAACCAGTTCTAGAAACTTTTTTAGTGTGCATATTTTTATTCAGTTAATGTATTTTGAAAATAAAGATCTTGTTCATTCACTATTGAAGAAACATAGTCTATTTTCGTAGCTATTTAGGTCGTTCACCATAGGTCATTGGTATTTCAACAGCCCACAATTCTTGATGTGTACGAAATCACTTACAGATGATAACAGTTTATAGAAAAAAATAAAAATAAAAATAGGTAAGAATAAATGTCGTCGGTTCCAGTTCAAGTTATTAGAGTAGATTAAACAAAACTTTCATTTTTTAAAATGGAAGAAAGACGATGTTTGTTGAGAATGATGACATATTATCTGATAGCTGCTTACCTGATTCTTATCTCTGCATTATTGGCTTTTGCTGTCGTCCGTAGTCATTCGATGGCTTCTCTATTTCGACATTTATCCTAGCACTTGTTGCAGACTTTTGTAATTCTTTTGATAGTGTCTTCTTGCAAAAATCTACGGCGCTTAGATTTGCTCTTTGCCACTGCACAGACTTGTTCCACAAGGTGAGCTTAGGAGAGTAAGTAAGGAGATACATATATTTGTATCTTGGTTGCTTAATATACCTCTCAATGCTTTTATGCGTGTGAATGGGTGTATTGTTCATGACTATATAATGAGTTTTCATATGCAGTTGCTTGTCCATTTCATTCAGTGTCAATTTTAAGAAGCTGAGCTTATACATCTTGCAGCCTTTCTCTTTTTGTAAGGTCTTGGTTTCCTTGTATCAACTGAAACCAAACCTACAGTAGAGGTAGCGCCTAATATAGGTACTGCGTTCGTTCTCGTTGTAGACCGCGTAGCAATAGTGCGTATACATTTCTTGAACCAAGCCATTTCATCTTAATATAAAAAGCAGATTTATCAAGAAGTTTATTGTATATTCTCATTTACAAACCCAATCGTACCGCTGTTCAATCTTTGTTGCACTGTTTCTTTCGATTGAATGGAAATCTCCTTTTTTCGAAAAAAGGTTGCATTCACTTCTCATAAAGTTATAAAAGGTACTTATGGGAAACTTCAATATCATTGAATCGTTTCAATAAATGCTCTGCCACTTCAACAACAGTAACAGAATGACTAGCATCAATCAAATTGACAGCAGCTGATGGATGTTCGTCGGTCAGGATACGCTTACGGCCTAATCTGTTACAGCTCTTAAAAAATACATTTTATTGCTTAATCCATCTCTTCGCTGCAACTGATACACTTGTATACTTTAGATTAAAAAATATAGCCTTATTCTGGATCGCATAGCAAACATAACCCAGTTCTGTGTTTGCCTCCTCCCGAACGGATATCTCCATCTTTTAATTTTTCTATCAATATTGGGCAAGTAAGAAAAGCCTCACTGGGAGACTTCATTTTTCAAGTAATCAGTATGAGTAGCGATCGTCTTAATAATAACTCATTCTGATAAGCATTTCCATAGAAAACAGAAACGTCAAAAAAAAAAAAAAAATACCAAGTATCTAAATGCGAAATTGAATTTGATTGGCAGCAACATTACTTGCTGAAAACATTGACATTTTTGCTTTTTTTTTTCTTTATTAATTTAATAAAATGGATTTACGCTCATGGGTTTCCGACAACTCAATGAAGGTAAACACCTTTGTTTATTTTTCCTTATTTTTCTAATATATGCTTGATAGTTGTTTGGCATGTCTGAATCAACCATGGTAGACTTCATTATTGCCACAGGTGAGTTTGTAGCATTTTTCATCCATTTCTCAAGCCTAACTATATATACACAAAAATAGCTCAAAAAGTACGTTCATCACAAGACTTGGCACATAGCCTTGTTCAAGCAGGAGCACCCAATGACGATTCTACACAACGTTTTTGTTCAGAATTGTTCAATCGAGTTCCACGAAAACAATCACGTACCGCAGCTACAACGATCGCAGAGAAACAAGCCAAGAAGAAGGAAGCCAAAGAACAAGCTAAATTAAGAAAAGCAAATGAACAATTTCAACTGTTGATGAACGAAGACGAACACGAAGAAGATGACGATCGTGAGATTCGAAAAAAGGAAAAGAAACTGCGAAAAAAGAGAAAGCAAGATGATTTGAGCGATGATGATACCGAAGTGAAAACGACCGAACGACGTAAACGAGGTAATTCAGCAATAATGTTTAAAAAATGAATTGCTCAACTGTGTATCTAGATCATATAGACGAAAAAGGCGAGAAGGAAGAAAATGATGATATGGATGAGGAAACAAGAGCAGAAATTGAGCGATTAAAGGATCTTCGGGAACGTGATGAACTTGCTCAGCGAATTAAAGAAAAAGATAAACAAAAGACAAAGAAAGTGGTAGAAGATAGATCTGCTAAAGAAGGTAGTGAGGCATTTAAGCGACGTAACTTGGCAGATGATAAAGAAGCACGTCAACAGGCCTTACCTGAGCTCCGTGTGCTCTCAAATCAAAAATATCTTAAACTTCGTGAGCAGCAACAGCTGTTGTTGTTGGAAAAAGAAATTGAAGACGAAGAACGCTTTTTCAGTGGTCAAAAGATGACAAAGAGAGAAATTAGGGATTTAGAATACAAGAAGGAAGTGCTGCGATTGGCGAAGGCACGTATGCAGATCGATACCAAGCAAGATGGATATATGTTGCCCGAAGATTATATCACTGAGAAAGGAAAAATTGACCGAAAGAAAAAGGAGGAAGCATTGTATCAGCGATATAAGGATGAAGAAAAGTTTGAGACAGAACAAGAAACATGGGAAAAGAGTCAGATTCAGAAATCATCCGTAAAAGTTAGACAAGAAGAAGAAGATGAGTATGATTATGTGTTTGACGAGGATCAAAAGATTGATTTTGTCTTGTCTGCTAAACTGAATGAGCCTGATCCAAAGGATGCAGAACTGATGGCTCGTATTGATGAAGCAGAGCGAAGGGCAAAGTCTATTGAGGAAATTAGAAAGTCACTTCCTATATACCAGTACCGTGATGAACTGATACAGGCCATCAATGACTATCAAGTCTTGATTATCGTTGGTGAAACAGGTTCTGGCAAGACGACACAATTACCACAGTACCTCTATGAAGCAGGTTATACTAAAAACGGTATGAAGATTGGCTGTACACAGCCTCGTCGTGTGGCAGCCATGAGTGTTGCTGCTCGTGTAGCAGAGGAGATGGGTGTACACTTGGGACAAGAAGTAGGATACAGTATTCGATTTGAAGATTGCACATCAGAGAGGACTGTAGTGAAATATATGACAGATGGTATGCTCCTTCGTGAGTTCATGACCGAGCCTGACCTGGCATCCTACAGTTGTATGATTATTGATGAAGCCCACGAACGAACACTGTCGACTGATATCCTCTTTGGGCTGATCAAAGATATTGCCCGTTTCCGACCTGATCTCAAACTCTTGATTTCTAGTGCCACAATGAATGCCCAAAAGTTTTCAGAATTTTTTGACGATGCACCTATCTTCAACATCCCTGGCCGCCCTTATCCAGTCGAGATCTACTATACAAAGGCACCAGAAGCAAACTATTTACGTGCTGCCATTACTCAGGTACTGACCATTCACGTTACTCAAGGAAGAGGTGACATTCTGGTCTTTTTAACAGTAAGCTTGATAAACCAACTGCAGAGGACCAATGCTCACTATTTCTATAGGGACAAGATGAAATTGAAGCAGCGCACGAAGGACTGACACAGGCATGCAAGGCGCTTGGTAGTAAAATATCAGAGTTGATCGTATGTCCCATCTATGCCAACTTGCCATCTGAAATGCAAGCACGTATTTTTGAGCCAACTCCTGAGGGAGCTCGTAAGGTGATCTTGGCTACTAATATTGCAGAAACATCCATTACTGTTGAAGGTGTTGCTTATGTGATTGACCCTGGCTTCAACAAACAAAAGTCATTTAATCCCAGAACAGGTATGGAAGCATTGACTGTTGTACCCTGTTCGCGTGCTTCTGCCACACAGCGCGCTGGTCGTGCAGGTCGTACTGGTCCCGGTAAATGTTTTAGATTATTCACTCAATGGGCCTTTTACAATGAAATGGAAGAAAACACAGTACCTGAAATTCAAAGAGTGAATCTATCAAATGTAGTCTTATTATTAAAGGTAATTGGTGCTTATAAAGAGAAGAACTATACTAATGCTTAAACAGAGTTTGGGTATTAATGATCTTGTCAACTTTGACTTTTTGGATCCACCTGTGGAAGATACGATGATTCGATCACTCAGTCAGTTGTATGCGCTTGGTGCGCTTAATGATCGAGCTGAACTAACAAAGCTAGGTCGACGTATGGCAGAATTCCCTATTGATCCATGTATGTCAAAAGCTATTGTTGCATCTGAAAAGTATGAATGTACAGATGAGGTCGTGTCTATCTGTGCCATGTTATCCGAGCAAAGCTCGTTACTCTATCGACCCAAGGACAAAAAAATCTTGGCGGACACAGCCCATCAAAATTTAGTGAAACCGGGCGGCGATCATTTAACATTGTTGAACATCTGGAATCAGTGGGTCGAAACGGATTATTCAGTGCAATGGTGTTACGAAAACTTTATTCAAGTGAAAACGATGGAAAGAGTAAGAAATGTCAGAGACCAGCTTGTTCAGTTACTTGATCGAGTTGAAGTCAAGCTTGTGAGTAATCCTAATCCAAATGATCCAACACCCATTCAAAAGGTAAAGAGATGGTTACTTTATATCATGACTAATCAATCACTGTAGGCCATCACGAGTGGATTCTTTTTTAATGCAGCAAGATTGAATAAATCAGGGGATTCATATCGTACGGTCAAACAGAATCAAACAGTTCACATTCATCCAAGTAGTAGCATGCTTCAAAAGAAACCTAAATGGATCATTTATTTTGAACTGGTATTGACAAGTAAAGAATATATGAGACAAGTCATGGAAATAGAACCAAATTGGCTATTAGAAGGTAAAATTAAATAGCCGAATGATCACTCTCACTAACATTTTACCCCACATTTTAGTTGCCCCACATTACTATAAGGAAAGTGATTTGGATAACTTGAATGACAAGAAGAAGATGCCAAAACAAATAAAATAAGCCATTTCTTTTCTTTTTTTTTTTTTTTTCTTTATTCCTTATTCATTTGCTTTCACATGGGAAAGGAGAGCTGACAGCCAAGGACTTTAACTTTATTTTTTAATATATCAAAGATGAACGGGAAGATGAAGGAAAGATCAATAATAAAGAAGGGAAGAAGGCGTATCAATGATCAAGGGAAGGAAAGGGAAGGGGAGGGGGTTGGGACCTGAATATATAAATAGAAAGAGAACTTGTTTGTGTATAATAGACTTTCCCGAGACCATATACTCCTATTGGTGAACTGTTTGTAATTCCTCTCCGATCTTTCCGTGTATTCAGTACCCCCGCCCCTTCCCCTTTCCTCTTTTCTATTATTTCCTTATACGACCTTTCTTCCTCTCTCCTCTCTCCTTTCTCTCTCTTTTTTTTTTCTCTTTTTCTCTCATATTTAAAATATGTCTGCTGTAGATACAGTAAGTCGCTTGGAACAGTATCGTCGTGCATTTCAAAAGTACGCCTCGGTTGAAAAGGACAATGAGAAAGTGATGTCGAAGGAAGATTTCTTGGCTGCTATTGCTCCTCAGGAAGATTTCAAAAAGATACAAAGAGAACAGTACGAGCTACTTTATAAACTAGCCGACAGGAACAACAAGGGCTCGGTTACCTTTGACGACTTTGTTATCTTTCAAGACTTGCTGTCTAAGCCTGACGCGGAGTACGAGGTTGCCTTTCGCATCTTTGACGTGAATGGTACAGGTAAGGTCACCTTTGACCAGTTCAAGCAGGTCCTCTCGAGTCATATGCCCAGTGATGCTGTCCCTTTTGATTTTGACTGCGATTGGCTCAAGTTATATATCGGCTCAAAGGAAGGCCATCACGAGTTAAGCTATCAGGAGTTCGCCCAGCTCATCAAGGGACTACAAGGTGAGCGTCTTCGTCAAGAGTTCAAGCACTACGATAAGGACCAGACTGGGTACATCTTGCCTGAAGACTTTAAGAAAATCATCTTGGACGTGGCCAAGCACAAATTGTCTGACGACGTGATTGATCATCTACCAACTTTATGCAATCTCTACAGCGGTAACAAGATTAGCTTTTCTTCTGTGGTTGCCTTTCATAATGTGATTCGTAATATCGATATGGTCGAATCCGTCATTCGCAAAGCTATTGATGCCAGTAAGGACAAGAAAATTACCAAGGCCGACTTTTTGAAGCATGCTCATGAGGCAAGTCGATATACCGCCTTTACCCCTATGGAAGTAGATGTTGTCTTCCACTTTGCTGGTGTTGATGATGACTCTGGTGTGCTTGGTCTTGAGGACTTTGCTCGTGTGTTGGATCCTCGCTGGACACAATCAAGGTCAACCGAACAGATTGTTCTACCTGAAGAAAAGGTCGTTCAAAAGAGAGGTGCTCTCTGGCAGCTCGCCGAAAGCGCCTATTCATTCACGCTTGGTTCTGTGGCTGGTGCTATTGGAGCCACGGCTGTATACCCTATCGACTTGGTCAAGACGCGTATGCAAAATCAAAGATCCAAGGTTGTTGGTGAGCTTCTCTACAAGAACAGTTTGGATTGTTTCAAGAAGGTCATGAAGAACGAAGGATTTACTGGGTTATATAGAGGTTTGGGTCCTCAGCTTGTGGTAAGTACACTTAAAAGTGATGGAGTCAAGGAATAACGTGTTCTTTAGGGTGTCGCTCCGGAAAAGGCTATCAAATTGACTGTCAATGATTTTGTCAGATACCAGTTTACGTCTCATCAGAATGGCGAAATCAAGTTTTGGCAAGAAATGGTCGGTGGTGGTGCTGCTGGTGCTTCTCAAGTAGTAAGTGTGACAGAGAACAAAAAGGCAATGCAGAGAGAACTAACAGAAGGATAGGTATTTACGAACCCATTGGAAATTGTTAAAATTCGTTTACAAGTACAAGGTGAACAAGCCAAGAGTATGCCTGATGCCCCTCGTCGTTCGGCTCTTTGGATTGTGAAACATTTGGGTGTTGTAGGTCTCTACAAGGGCGTGGCTGCATGTTTGTTAAGAGATGTGCCATTCTCTGCCATCTATTTCCCAGCCTATGCTCATCTGAAAAAGGACGTTTTCAAGGAAGGCCCTGATCACAAGTTGACTATCTCAGAGCTGCTGTTATCTGGTGCAATCGCTGGTATGCCTGCTGCTTATTTCACAACTCCTGCTGACGTGATCAAGACACGTTTGCAAGTCGAAGCACGTAAGGGTCAGACGACATACAATGGTATCATGGATGCAGCAAGAAAAATTTATGCAGAAGAAGGATTTAAAGCTTTCTTCAAGGGCGGTCCCGCACGTATCTTCCGTTCTTCACCTCAATTTGGTGTCACTTTGACCGCATATGAATTATTACATCAATTATTCCCTCTACCTGGTCACGGAGCTGCTGGTACAGCCGCACCTAGCCCACAAAAGGCTGTTAGCCAACTAGAAGCTGCAGAACAGAGACAAATGTTCCGATCGACTAATGCACTAAAGATGCTGTTGGACCTTGACTATAGATTCGGTGTATATCAATTACCCAAAAAGGAAGTATAGATAGATTTACTTGTGTTTTAGTATATGTACGTATCCCCCCTCTTATTATTATAAAATATACTAGTTTATTGTTATTGCGTTGTTTAAATAAAATGAATAAAAAGATTGAACAATGAATTGATCACTCCACTGTACTTACTTTTAGACCAACCTACAAGAATATCATTAAATACCACTTGGAGAAAATGAATTCTACTGTATAAACAGACATATTAAAGTATATTAGTACTCCTTGGCAGCCCTGATTATGAATCAAATAACAGTTCCAAATTTAACCTTGACTTAAATCGTCCTGTGATATTACAGAAACTCAACCTTTTTCCTTTGCAGTAGGAAGGAACCAACTTGATTGTATGGCCTTAGAAATTTCAAGACAGTGACTACCAGTAAGTTTAGAGAGTAATGCAGTGCAGTGTTCATGATAGTAGTTCCTCGTCTATATTGTGGTCTTTTGAGGGTGGTAGATTGACCAACAAGAAATCTGGCCATGATAAGTAGCATTGAGTGAACAGGGGCGATATCATGTACTAAGTATCACACATTCAACAGTAATGGATATTGACTCTAGTAAGTGAAACTGCTATCCGATGTAATTTGCGTTTATTCATGTTTCTTTGGATAGGTGTTTCCAAATCTGATAAAACAATTGTGCAAAAGAAGCGTAAAGCTAGCAAACAATCTCAAGAGGTAACATTGAGTTAAACGGATGGTGTATTTGTTACTAATCACAGATCGCAGTGGATTTATTACTAGGGCTTCATTTGCTTCAAGGAGTATCCCAGACTTGTCCTTGACACCAGAGTAAGTACGCAACGCATGCCTCATTCATCATCTGACATACTTAAAAATGCAATAACTTGCTTTGGAGAAATGGCACCCGATGTAATGGGATGAACCTTGGTTCTCTCTACGTTTTCGTCAATGTCTCTATCCCATAAATCGTTGATGGTACAACCAACACCACGCGTGATTAATGCACCAGTACCAAGCAGGGCCATCATGGAGGCAGCATCCATGACAGAGGCGCTTGTATTGTAAGCAGCCATGGAAATGCCCCAATCTAGATGAAGTGTCAGTGATTTCATTCAATGAACTCAACTGCGCTACTCACCACAAGGTCAGAATAGCAGCCAGGCACCAATAAGATAATTAATTCGAGTCAGAAACGTATAGGGAGCCACTTTTTCGGGTAAATGGTCGATCCAATTGTTGTAAGTAAGAGGCTGTTTGTTTTTTCTCGGTAGGTGCATTTGTAGTGGTAGATACAGTGGATGTCCAATGCTTTTGTCGATACTTGTGGCATAAAGAAGCAGGTAAGAGTTGTGGTGTTAATTTTAGTAATTGAGGTCTAGAGATATAATGTGATTTGACATGGATGAAAGCAAGCGATTGGAAGCTACGAACATGTACCAATGGATTGAGATCTTCTCAGCATGACACCTTTCTTTACTGTTTAATCTTTAATAGCATAAAAAACTGACTTTTAAAAAACGGCAAACACTTCTTCGAGGGCACTGTACAATGAGTCTTTACTAACTTTGTATTCTTTTAAAACGGAGCAATACAATACAACGCCTCTGATACAGCCTTTAGATGCTCGTATCATACGTAGTTTCAAGCATCACTACTAGTAAGAAATACAACATTTATCTCAGTGAATGCAATATAGAATAATGTCAAATTACTAGGGCCCTACAGTTTCGCTTGGCAGGCGTTGCATATGCAAAAGACGAGAACATGGAAGCTTCTGACGGTGTAGCCCTCAATGCGTCGAACGTTTACTCCATCAACCAGCTGACTATCATGAATTATATCTTGCAATCATGGAAAAAGTAAAGCCTACAACAATCAGCAGCTGCTTTCGGCATACAACGCCTCCCGAACCATTAGATAGTATAAGAACTCAGTCGGAAGTAAAGCAATTGGAAGAAGGAATTGCTTCCGTAAAGCAAACTTTGGAGGTTGGGGATGAAACGTTTGTTCTCGGATATTCATCCAGAGATCAACGCGGATGAAACCGACCTGCTCAACTACGACGACGCACAAACGCATGAAGTTACAGAGGTATCTTTGGAAGATACGTAATTTGATTTGCTGTATATGTATCATAACTAAAGTACTTGTAGAAGCAGTAGGAGAAGATCGAGCAGGAGAGGAGATTCCTGACAGAGAAGACGAGGAACGCGAAGCAAAAAGACAGAGGACAGTAGTATGTTAGGCTTGGAAATGGCATTCCAAAATCACGTCCCTATGAATGAGAAGGAAACTCTTATACTGGAATTGATGAGGGAGACGATCGATAGACTGAAGAAAGAAGACATGGGGGCGCAAAAGCAAAAATCAATAAAAACTAAAATATCCATCTAAAGATTTGACACTGAATAAGTGGACCAAGTTTCTTTGTTTTTGGAGTAAGATGGATATCTCGATTCCGTTATTGAGATTGGAATAGTTTAGCATAACGGTAGACATTCTCTTGAGATAATATTGCAAAATCGCGATTATTTGCAAAGTAGAGTACGCCAAAGTCAAGTTCTGGGTGTATTGACTATAAACCTGGTTATTTTGTTATGAAAGAAAAGATGATTATAAATTAATATGTTACCCTACTAGAATCCTAGATTACGCATCTTTTAAGGCCCATAATTATATATTTTAAATATTAAAGTACTTTCCCGAGAGTGAGTGTTGCCTGTGAGCTATCCATAGACTGTAATGAATTTGGCAAAAAAAAAACTGCGTTTGTGATTATCATTTTATAATTTTTAATACTTTAAGCTATGCCCATTGCCCCTTCTATGTAAACTCTTTCTCTCTCTCTCTCTCTCTTCTGCCATACAAACGCATATAAATTTCCTCTTCTATTACACGTTAAACCATGTCAGTAATACGAATGATGAATAAAGTTTCGGAAAAAAGTATATGCACACACACTCTCTCACACAGATGTCATAGGATTCATGTTTTTTTTTTTTTTTTCTTGTTTTTCTTTAATGTATTTGCTTTTGATTTTCCTGGTATTATTAAGTACTAGTTTTGTTAAAAGTGACTCTAGTGTTCAAACAGCTGCTAAACTTGCAAGACAAGTCTTGAAAGATGAAGGTAAGAAAAGAAAGTGATGTGTGTTGGATATTAAGCCGAGCCGAAAGGTATTGGAACTATCATGACCATAATGGACAATTCATCTGAACTTGGTGGTATGTATAATACAACCTGAATGTAAATATATAATAAACCGCTTGTTTATAGGATATCCATTTGGCATCATGGAATACTATAGCGAACAGTGTTTTGATAATGGAAATTTATTGCTTTATATGTCAGATTTGCAAGTAATATAAACTTTTACATCCATATCGTTTAATTTCTCATACAAGAGAGTATAGTTGAGTGCAAAAAACATGCATCATCATCCAACCCGTCTTAGCTTTACTGTACGCGCCACAAAGGAATATAATAAGCCCATCTTTGGTAATAAAACGACACCTGTTGAGCAACCAAGATTTACGCTCTTTGGATCTGTGTCGATTGTTCCCGATGATAAGGTATATATATATTTATGCATATGTTATATCTCTCTTTTAACATTTAGAAAAAAAAAGACAGAGGAGGCTCTCAGGTGCTTCACAGAGATTCATCCAGAAGCAAAACTATGGTAAGCGTTCTAATATGTTTTTTATATAATGACATAATTTTTTTTTTTTTTGAAAATGTAGGCACAAAATGCATGATTTCCATTTTTATGAATTTCATGTACAAGCTATTTATTATGTCGGTGGATTCGGTGGGTTCAACTATATCGGCTGGATACCACCAAGACTATATCAACAACCATCATCATTAACACTCCAAGAAGTCGGCAGTCATGAGAACTTCTAGTACAATCTCTGGGTCGACTTTGAATTCTGGAATCTCTGTAGTTGAACCTTCATAGTGCCATTTATAATACAAGTATCGACAAACGACGTCCAAAATAACTGCTCTATAACAATATTAATAAATTACAGTTATTCAAAACAAACAATCTTGTAATTACTTGATGTCTCTAAACGTCACTTCATTCTCGACTGATTCTCTAAATTGAACTAGTAACAGTTACAAAAACATGTCTTACTACGCCATAACCAAAAAATATACCTGGACCAGAAAGCATGTTTTTAATCGTTCCAGAACGTATAGCAGCTTCTCTATGGATAATAAACTCAAATCCATCACTACTAATCAACTTTACATATTCTGACTCTTGGTTGCTCATATCTAAAAATAAGAAAAAATAAAAAGAAACAAAGAAAGAAAAAGAATATAATATTACAAAAATTTTATTGGCGTGTGTTGATGTGTAAATGTATTCTCTCTTTATGCAGTCTTGGTGTATTCAAGAGAGATGCCCTTTTCTTTTAATGACTTTTCAGCTTCCTTCTTGGCCCAAGTGACAACACTAAGCAATGAGTTAGTTTGTGTAATGAATGTACCATTTGATATATATATTACCTTGTATCAGGCTTATAGTATAAAGCAACAGCAATGGCAAGAAAACCTCCTCCCATACCCATATAGTACATATTCTCCCAGTCTTCCTTAACACGGACCTAACAAAATGTGTCAATGTGTGTTTTCAAGGTTGTCCACATTATAATTGTTCTTTTGTTGTGTATATGTATGTACTTTTTCGTTAAAGAGATATCCTCCAGGTTCGTTGTAAGAAGGAGTACCGTGGCCTCCACGACGAATAAAGGCGGGGCGACAAGAAAGTCTAGATGAACGTGCGATGACTCTAGAAAACATAATATAAGAAAAAAGGCAGTACAAAAAGAGAAAAAGACAGGCCCAGGTTTGAAAAAATAAAAAAATGGGGTGTACATAGACAGAGAGACGTCACAGTGTTTTATGAATTTTAACATTTCAATTGGTGCGTTTTCAGTTGTACCTCTATTGACAGGAAGAGCAAGTGGGTATAGTAGCGTTGTTTTACATTGTTTAAATGAGTAAAAAGAGTAAAGCAATGTCATGAGAAATCTCTTTTATAGGCATACTGATGCACCTTGTTCTCTTCTTTTAAAAAACGATAAGCGTAGAAATGTATACAAGACAAAAGGAGACTCAGGCACTATGAAAAGAAAGCAAGTGATAAATGGCCCCAGTGCCTGATCCTCTGATATATATCCGGCAAATTTTCGTGTTGTATCTTTCTCTATACTCCCAGTGTTTCTTTTTTATTGTTGGGTAATTATGCAAGTGTTAACTTGATCAATTCATCACTCACACCTGAAGGTGTCAAGACGCCAAGGTCTGTCAGCAACAAGGTAAGGTATTGAGGTGGTGTGTAGTCAACAGAAGGGTTGGATGTAGCAAGTTCTTGTACAGCGTCACTGGATGCAGTAAATGACTTTCTTCTGGACGTAAATGTCACGATCTCTGGTGTCTCTGATGGAAGATCGTATTGGCTCAAAGGATACACACGAACGAATTTATAACTTTCGGCTACTGCATATACTGGTTTTCCTAGTGCTTTGGCTACAAGTGCAATTTGAAAAGTACCAATCTAAGAAACATTAGTCCATGTGATTTGAATTAAATATGTCTATTTATATATCTTACCTTATTCACAATACCACCATTCTCAACTACGCCTTCAGCTCCTACAAACACCATATCTACTTTATCCATAATATAACCTACAGCAGAATCCAACACAGCTCGACAGGGAATACCTGCCTTTTTCAAAGCAGCAGCCGCTTGGATACTATGACTGTTAATTGTATTCTAATGGCTTTTTTTTTTTTTTTCTTCTTTCCTTACCCATCACTCTCTGGTCTTCCTTCTGTTACATATACCTTGAACCGCTTATTTTGAAGATTAGCAGCATGATAGAGCAAGTTCATGATCACACGAGAATATCCTTGTACTAAAATAACCGCATCGTCATGAACAAATTGTGCACCGATACTCGCCACTCGTTCTCTTGCCGAGGACGCCTTTTCCAAAATCAAAGAAGCTCTTGATAATAGTGTTTCCTTGAAATCTTCAAAGCTACCCGCTTCTTTGGAAAGCTAAACTGAGGGGGTCAGACATGCCTGTATATAGCAGTTAGTTCTTTACCGAAAAGTCATGAGAGCTTCTGTTGACAAATCGCATAAACAAGTCAACGCCTGCCAATACAGCAATGTATGCCTTATGTTGAGTTTGAGGCCTATCTATTTTCTGTGCTGATTCACGAAGGGATTGTGCTGCTCTTTCTAATGTTTGCATAAATTCAGACATGGTAGGCGCTATTTGTAGAATGTTATGATAAGTTCTACATGAAACCACTAAAACATACCTGTACTGCATTGAACAAAATCTGTCAGGGACTTGAATACAGCCACTGGTGTAGACAAATCCTATATACTTTTTGCTTTAGAATGTTGTCATGTATTTGGTTTTTTTTCTCTCTTGTTTTTACTGTGTCATTTAATGAAGTATGAAACGCTGAAACGACATCATAGGACATTTTTATAATGAAAGAAGAAAAGAAAAAAAAAAGAGGTTTTATTTGTGACTCTTATTTTATAGCATAAATCAATCTGTATCGATTCGACACTTGAAAATGATGTGCGTCTAAAAGTACTTGACCAAGATTATCATTAAATTGGTCAAGAGTAACAGGCGTATGGGAGATCACCATGACTCTGCTGGCAGGAAAAGCTAATTTGAGAACCTCAAGATACAATTTACCGACGTGCCCACCCCAGGAGCCTATTGAATGTGTTGGTTCTAATGACGTTCTTGTTTTTTTTTTTTTTTTTTTTACCTATAGGCACATTGTAATCAATAAACTGAATATCACGATAACCAGTATCTGTGAGATAGCCTGGTATCTTTTCAGCAATGAATGCATCTAAGTTTTTGGTGGCCAATGCTTCATTCACTGTTTTTTAAACCAGATCAGTAAGGCATGTATGTGCTTTTTCTTGTTTCTTTACCCCATGAGCAGAAACGATCAAAGGCGGGACTTGCATTATCAAACTTACTGATGAGTTCCAGTATCTCTATTGCACCACCAGGCTTTAGCAGACGCTTCATCTCTTGGATCGATAGGAGATATTGATCAGTCGGGAAACCCATGACGAGGAACCGTTGAAAGACAAAATCAAAAGATTCGTCTTCAAAGTCAAGGCCTACACCTGCATTCATCTGCTTGAATGCCACGTTGGGCGGAATATCTTGGGTCATAAAGATATCAGCCATGTCAATAGCAATAAATTCAGAGTTGGGATAAAGTTTGGCCATATCCTATTCCATATGTGTTATTTATATACTATCTATATTCTCAAGGAGCTTACTAGTGTCCACCAGCCAGGACCACATCCAATGTCCAGTACACGTATACCCTTTTCTAATCGATCATGAATAGATGACTTGAATAAGCTGTTGATAAGGATTAACAAGAGTCAAAGTCCACTCATATGTTCTTACCCTCCGATGATGCACCTTTTAATATAATTAACAAACGATCACGCACATATATATCCCCTTACTTCCACAACTCATGGTTCATTTTGAGTCTATCCACTTCGAGATCATCTACAGGCAACATGTACGCAATATCCTTATCATTCACGACCTTCCTTCCTTCCTTGTATTCAAATACTGTCATAATAATAAAGAGAGAAAAGAAGGGAAGACATCACTTGGACTTTTAAAGAGTTCTGTCCGACATTCCTATTGGAAGACAGCATGAATACCCTCGATCGAGGAGGTAAGTCAGGAGTCGAGGGTTTAACGTTTCAAGTTGTTTGATTATCGATCTCAACAATGAAATGGGTCCCTTACCTTTTTTTTTTATACACACTGTGAGATAAATTTATACAGCAATGGAACTCTTATAGTAAAATAGTATTCATTCTTTATTAATTAAAAATCTTTTTGAAAAATCGTTTGACGCTTCCATTTCGTTTGGGAGCATCATCGCTGAGTCCAAACAGCTCTTCGACATCATCCACAGTGATCTGTTGTTCCTGCTCCTTCTTCATTCTGAGATGGTATTCCAAATATTCCGTAAAGTCCACGGGTACAACACCAGGCTTGGTAGATGCTTTATGCATCACATTGTTTACTATAGATATGTTACAGCACTTGTTTTTTCGGAAGATTACTTTATTACCTTTCATCTCCATAGCTGCAGCGATATGCCAAGGAGCAGTAGTATTCGTTTTAGGAAGCTGCATAAGCGTCGGATTATTTCTAGAAAAGTCTTCGAGAGCCTTTTTATTCTTGGGCGCATTCTTGCTCAGTCCTTTCCAGTACTCGACAATATCAGCAAAGCTTCGGGTGTCCTCTTCCTCATCAGAAGCGAATAAGTTCTTTGTTTGAAGTGTAACAGTCATTTTCGATAATAAGAGAAGTATATAAAAAAAGCGATTAGGAGAATAAATCGATGGATGCTTGTTGATGGTCTTTTTATAACCTATTTCATTTTCTCCTCGGAGGAATTGCCTTTAGTTCATAAAGAAGAGAATGTTACTTTCATTCGGAATATAACTGTTTGCTTAGATCTATTAATAGATATCCTATTATTCACTCTTCGATTTCGACATTCACCAGTTTACAATATGAAGACGCCTGAGTTAAAGAATTGACCGGTTAGTTTAATTGTAACTAAGAATAGAACTAGGCTTGATCTTTTTTCAGTCAACTCTAAAACGCTCTGATAGCACACTTGATAAGGGCTCTTACATACCTTTTGTAACTCCTCACATGAAAATTCAAGTGGTTGACTAATAATCAACCAATCATGATGCGTATGAAAAAGAAGGGTAGTGACGTACAATATCATTTTTGTGTTGTTTTTCTCTTTCTCATTCTCTTAAATGCAACCTTGGATTCAAAAAGGAACTACAGGCAGTAGTAGTAGTAGTAACAAACAGACAACATTCCATTATGATCAAACATTAAATAATATACCCCAATCATCATCATCTGGACATACCCAGGGATTTCGTACAAACAGACAAGAAAATGAACAAGAAAAAGAAAAGGACCAAGAAAAGGGGGTAGAACCTTTTCCCCAGTATCGTCATCATTTAGATAACCAACATTTGGATGGTGCAGAGGTGCTTTTGTTTTTAAACTCCACAAACTACACAGACCATGTTGATGGCGATGACCTAAGACCAGATTCGATGCGATATAGATCTTTTCAACATCAAGTAGATCAATTCTGGAACGGGTTCATGAATAATGAAGATATCGTAAATTACATCGAACAACAGACCTATATTGACGATATCTATGCGATACCCGTCATTGGTGAAGACATTCGTAGGGTCAAAACAGGGTCTAGTGAAGAAAAGAAAAAGGCAATCAATAGACTGGAAATGATTCGTCAACACTTTATCCAAAAGACTCACGGTGATTCAAGTCTGGCCGCACAAAAGGCAAGCGAATTTGATTGGTCACAGAGTTTCCTTGACTCATTCAAATAAAGATGTAACACAGGACCTTTTAAAGATTTTTAAATTTTTTTTTTTCTTTCTTCTTCTTTTTTTATTCTTAAATTATGAGTCGACATAACAACAGCGACAGTTTATCTCGCACCTCATCGGTATCGTCTACACCCACTGAACGTACACCGTTGATTAGCGGTAAAGAAGAAGAAAATACATGGAAGACGGAAGTCTACTGGCTTATATACAATGCATTTCCCATTGTTTTTACTTATTTGATGCAAAATTCGCTACAAATGGCGAGTATTTTTACATTGGGCCATCTGGTAAGTGTGTAACAAGATTGTGAACTATCACTGGCTAACATCCATCAGGGTCCCACTGAACTTGCCGCAGCAGCATTATCAAGTATGTTTGCTAGTGTAACAGCCTGGAGCATTGCATCCGGTACATCGGCTGCACTCGACACACTCTGTTCTCAAGCATGGACAGGAGCCAAAGACAAGACGTTGGTCGGTGTTCACCTTCAACGAGGACTATGCATTTTAGCACTCATGTTTATACCTATTGCCTTTGTCTGGTGGAATGCGACTTCGTTGTTGCTCGCTCTCAAACAAGAACCTGAACTGGCCTACCTATCCGGACTCTTTTTGCGTTGCCTCATGCTAGGTGCCCCTGCGTTCATTGCATTTGAAGCGATCAAGAAATATCTGCAAGCACAAGGAATTATGCAAGCCTCGACCTATGTGCTCATGATTGTGTCTCCCCTGAATCTGCTGATGAATTATTCCTTTGTCTATCTCGAGCCGTTTAAGCTAGGTTTTGCCGGTGCGCCCTTGGCAACCAGTCTGAGCTACTGGCTGATGCTTATTCTCATCATGCTCTACATCCGCTTTATCCGTGGCAGCGAGGCCTGGGGTGGCTGGACACGTGAGTGTCTGACTGACTGGTGGCCCTTCCTCAAGCTATCTATTCCCTCTCTCTTGATGATTACTGCCGAATGGTGGGCCTTTGAGCTTTGCTCACTTGCTGCTAGTTACCTCTCCACACGCGACCTTGCTGCCCAATCGATTCTTCTAACGACGGCCTCAGCCACCTATACGATCCCCTTTGGTTTCTCAGTGGCTGCCTCGAACCGTATCGGTAACGCTCTGGGTGAACGTGATGGACAAAAGGCACGTTTGTCAACCACGGTCGCCTTTGTATTTGCCGTCATCTTTGGTTGTATGAACTCGACCTTTTTCCTCGTCGTCCGTCATCACTTTGGGTACCTCTTCACCTCTGACGAAGACGTCGTTGCCTTGGTTGCCAAGACCATGCCTCTTCTTGCTCTCTTCCAAATCGCCGACGGTGTCTCTGGTGTCTGCGGTGGTGCTATCCGTGGTATGGGTCGTCAAAGCTTTGCTGCATGGGTCAACATCATTTCATACTATGCCGTCGCTTTCCCCATCGGATACTGTCTTACATTCGTTCTCGATTGGGATCTCGCCGGCCTCTGGATTGGACTGACCTTGGCTCTCTTCTTGGTCTCGTCTGGTGAAGTCCTTTACCTCTTGGCCGCTGATTGGGATGTGGAAGTGATGAGAGCTCAACGTCGTGTTCAACACGATGAAGATAAATATCATCATGATACCTTGTCCGCTTAGAACTTTATATATATTTATTTTCATTCACACATTTTATATTACATTTATATGTATTTACATCTCTGCATTTCCCATAATAAATTATGTTGTTCCTTCGGTCTTGAGAAATACAACTCCTTCTGCGTCACCTACCAATGCTATCATCTGCTCTGTGTCACTCGAGAACAATGCATTGAATGTGTCTATTGTTGGCATTGGATCACGAGCACTGGCCAATGTTTTTAGTTTTATTTTTTTTTTGAAACGTAATGACTTACTTGTTGACCAAGATTCGAAAGTCAGGAGGACCAGGATCTTTCTTTTTCCAAGTCGGTCTTGGTTTATATACATCCCAATCCATCAACCAGTGATCAAATGGCTTGTACCAAGGGTTTCGTAGCACAATAGAAAGGGTAGAATATACCTGATCTATCAATGAGAAAAGATAAGAAACAGAACCATGTACACAAAGAGAGAAAACTTGCCATAATTTCGACACGCATAGTTCCAAACAAGTGGACCCTTTACTCTTTTGATCATATGTTCCATTTTGTGTCCTTGGGTTACGATAGGTTTGGATCTCAAGACGATATAACCTAGTCGTTTGAGATACGCATAGACCCAATACTTGTCTAGGGTCAACCAAGGATCTTGATCCATAACCATACACATATCTTCAAATGATATTGGATGGTTGTCTTTGTCGGTGACCATGAGTGCATTACGAGAGATCAAGAAGGCAGCTTCTTCTGGATAGAGCATAGTCTCGCGCTGATGACTGAATCCAACCGTGTGTAAATGGGTTCCCTTGTTAACTGTGATCTTGGTCCATCCTGTGGAAGTGAGAGTGCCACGACAAGCTGATTTTTGAAGAATGGAAGGCATGTTGAGACATTCAAATAAGGCATCTTGACCACGTTCGGGGTCGATGGTTGATTCGTGTTTTTGATTGCGTTTGAGTCTAAAGAATGAATAATGGGGGTATTAAGCATGCGTGTATCTTATTACTTTTTCTTGTTTAATAGCCGAGTATAATCTGTCAGTTCTTCTTCTTCGTCTTCATCTTTGTTCATTTTAATAATTTATAAAGAAGAGAGAGAAAATTGGACAGACCAGGGCGGACATATAAACGAGGAAGACACGCTAGCAAATCACTGGTATATCGCATCTCTTCCAAATGATAATTTAAATGAATAGACTATTTCTATATCATATTTGGTCAACATCTGTTATAAAGTTGCTCAATGCTTCATATTACTAAAACTTATAAAACGGTTGCTGTTACTGATCATCAAGGCTAGTTTAGACACACAGAAACGTAAATATGTATTATAGCCAAACATAGTTATCACTTTTAAGTGCTGTACTGTAGGAATCAGAAAATAAGCAGTTGCTGTTAGGGAGATTTCATACACACCATACGCGCTTTTTAGTTTTTAACAGATCCACGTCTATTTTATATGCTTCCCAAATGGGTCATCAAGACAATTTCAAATAAATCGAGAACCTTAAAATGTTACTTTGGGAAATATTGTGTGATCTTATTTGTGCTGGTCCGTTTTAGTATGCAGTAGCATATTCATAATTCATGCAGTTCAACCAAGATAACGCATCAATATCAATAAGGCATTCCATTATGCTAAGTCCAGATCACAGCTCCCATGACTTAATAGCAATCAAGTAAACTATAGATCACATCCCTGAGCGTAAGTCCAAGACGATATTTGTTACACTGTCAAGCCTTTCATATGCACAACTTAAGCCAACATCCAAACGTGTTGATTTCGTAACGACGATATCCATTTACAAGAAAAGAACTTCAATTTACCAGTCCTTACGAGATTCATACTAGTGATCTTTGAAAATTTCTACTTATATATACATACGTTTAATTGTTAAAGATGTACTAAAATGCAGTATATACAAATAGAGAAAAAGCTCCCTTTGTATATGATCACATCTGATTCAATTTGCGCAAAGAAGAGTCCAAACAAAGGCTTTGAAATATAAAAGGGAAGAGATGGGCGTCTCCTATTCTTAAAAGTACCAAATTTAAAGCTTTAAACGAGTTTATAAGCTGTACATGCAGAGGAAAGGAGTTATTATTTCGCATGAATTTTTATCAATTTATAATGAGACTTGACAACTTTTTTTCTTCTTCTTTCTGGACAACCTCCTCTGTCTCTATAGAAAGAGGTTAACTGCAATGTTCAGCAACAGAGCCACTGGCTTTTGAACCACGTGGACGTTACGAAACTGTTCTTCCTTTACAGGAACGAAATCACAAACATCACTAACAGCAACAATTCCAGTATCTTCTTGGAATCCCGCGTAATTAAGACTATGGGATACTTCCATATACTGCTCCTTGTCCCTGAACAATTTAGTGATTTGCAGGAAAATGTGTTTTCTGATGCTCTGCTGGAAGATATGTATTGCAGTGAGGTGGAAATGCTCATGTATAAGTCATTGAGACCAACTCGCGATATGCTTTTGAAACTATCGCATGTCACTTGTGATGTTGAACAAGAAAGTATAAATGTTATGACCGGAGCACTTACGCTCACCCAGCTGGCGGGTGCAGCGCCCTATTATGAACAAAGGCTGTTGATAGGAATCGTTCGCATGTAAGTATTTCCTTTTTTTTTCTTTTGGGTACCTTATTTATAGATTTCTTTTTAGGATAGAAGAGTTGCCAAGAAGAACGTCAAGAATGAGCAGCTTGGCGAGGCTGAATTGTGAAGCTCATTCTTCCACCCTTTGCTGGTGAAGGTTCTCTCAGATAGCGAAAGGAATATAAAACTGAGATAGCCGAATAAGACCACCGCTGAGAAAACATCAAGGTAGACCAAGTGCCATAATCTCGCAAGTAGTCAATGGTCAATTTGATGCTACTCTTGGCTTTGATGAGTGTAAGACGAGCAAGTATAGTAATGTTTTATTGTGTAAGGACATCATCAAGCTTACCCAGCTTGCATAGCGAAACATTAACATCAACATCAAGTCCGTGTTCTGTTTCCAAATCCACGGTACGTACACTATGATCATGTAATATGTCCTTGAAAAATACTAATATTCACTACTAGGGTCTGATGTTGCTTTCTATATGGCAAGCCTCAGTCATGAGGGCATTTACACCTTCACTCAGGTGGCAAAGGTGAAGTTTCCTCGCTCCATTGCAGAATTGCCTCAGTTCATCAACATGAGGGCAATCAGCCAGCTTTTGCAAGCTAGCCAGTGCTTTTGAGAGTACTGCTACTTGTAACAGCAGAGTCCTAGTCTAAGGAGCAAGATGGTTCAAGAAGTGAATCACAGAACCTTGGACACTGTCATAAACTGCAAACATAGCGACGCCCGTTTGTGCCTTATCAATTTTTAATTAAGATGTACTTTTTTTTTTTAAAAAAAAAAAACAAATCAAAATACTTTGAACAATCAAGCGTGTAACACGCTCCTTTAAGCATTGAAAGAGAGAAAGTCTTTAGGACATTTAAGTTTTTCAATAGTAAGACATTAGTTAAAGTACAATTGCCTCTACAGCATTGGCAAACAAAGGGTTTACATGATATTAAAATTTCCTTATATGTTGATTTCTGAATTTAGAGAACAATTTCCAGAGACAAATTTCTCTTTCAACTAAAAAAGATATAAAGAGAATGTCGCTATTTCTCAGAAATGGCTAAAAGTTTATTGTGATCCGGGAGCTAAGGATGACCATGATAAGAACAATTGAATACCTGAAGAAGCATTTAGAATATTTTCTTATCAGCAAATCAGAAATCCCCTGTTCCCATTTTTTAATATGATTGATCGTATTGTTTGATCTAAACTTTAATAGTGAAACCATTAATTTGTGTAAGCCTATTTACTTTTATCCGTTCCAGCGTTTATCACAAGACACTCCTTCTTTTATCAGCAATGCGATCAATTTAGTAAATATAGTATATCGTCATTTATCTGAGCATAGACACAATCAGTTGCCATCTTTACTTTCTTTTTTTGGATGCATAATAAAGCTGAATAATATTGAATCCTTATCAGACAGATCTGTTGGCAGGACAACAAGCAAAGAATCTCCACAATTTCTATGTACTACAAAGATAAGATATGTGTAAAGTTTATTTCTAAAAAAGGTAATCAACAAAAAAAGACCTAAGCATCCTTGATAATCTTTGCAACGAGATCTCCAGCTGATAGCGAATCACCCTCGTTCACGGCCACACGCTCGACTTTACCAGCAACAGGAGAAGTGACAACAGTCTCCATCTTCATGGCTGAGAGCACAGCCAAGGGATCACCTGCCTTGACATGACTTCCTTCCTTAGCACGGATTTCAACGACAACACCAGACATGGGGGCACCAATATCACCAGGATTAGAGGCGCTAGCCTTTTCACGAGTGACGATCTCGACAGCCGAGTTACGATCGACGATACCGACGACACGAGCCTCACCATTGAGTTCAAAGTACACATCACGCTTACCGTCGTTGTTGAGAGGACCTACAGCCAAGAGCTTGATGATCAAGGTCTTGCCTTCTTCAATCTCTACATGGAACTCTTCATTGATCTCGGGCTTGCACAAGAAGTAACGTGTGGGCAGGACAGAGAGATCACCGTACTGGTTGACTGTATCCTTGTATTCGGCAAAGACCTTGGGATACAATGCAGCAGAGATCACATCGTAATCACGGATGCTTGAACCGTACTTTTCAACAAGTTCTTCCTTGAGCTTGGCCATGTCGAGGGGAGGCAAAGTGGCACCAGGTCGGCCGTCGAGGCGAGGCAAGTCGCGGATGATATTTGTGCGTAAGGGTTCAGGGAATCCACCATAAGGTTGACCGAGGTAACCTTGGAAGAATTCGATGACAGAGGTAGGGAAGGAGAGAGAAGAGGCGCGTTCTTCAACTTCCTTGGCAGTCAAGTTGTTGGATACCATGAACTGAGCGAGGTCACCAACGACCTTGGAAGAGGGAGTCACCTTGACGAGATCACCACAGAGTGCATTAGCCTCTGTGTAGGCCTTCTTGATCTGCTTCCATTGAGTGCCCAAACCGAGTTGAGCAGCTTGGAACATCAAGTTGGTGTATTGACCACCGGGCATTTCATGATCATAGACACCAGAGTCAGCAGAACGCACGTTGGCTTCAAAGCAAGAGTACAACAGACGGCATTGTTCCCAGTATGAGTTAATGGCATGTACGTCTTCCATGCGAATACCTGTGCCTAGATGAGTTTGTTCCAAACCGGCGACAATTGCACCCATGGCGGGTTGTGAGGTGGTGCCTGACATGGCGTCAATGGCGACATCAACAATGTCAGCACCTGCAGCAGCAGCGGCCATCATACTTGCGACACCTGTACCGGCTGTGTCGTGTGTGTGAACATGAATAGGTAAATCAGGGAACTTGGCACGAATGCTAGAGATCAACAGCTTGGCAGCCTCAGGCTTCAACAGGCCAGCCATGTCCTTGATACCCAAGATATGAATACCTTCCTTCACGAGTGTTTCGGCCAAGTCGAGATAGTACTTGAGATCATACTTCTTACGGTTGGGGTTGGATACATCACCAGTATAACAGATAGTAGCTTCCACGACACCACCTGCCTTCTTGACAGCATCAATACCCAATCTCATGTTCTCGACATAGTTCAATGAATCAAAGATACGGAAGACATCCATACCACACTTGACTGCCTTGTCACAGAATTCGTAAACGACATTGTCTGGGTAAGAGGTGTATCCGACTGCATTGGCACCACGCAAGAGCATCTGGAAAGGAATGTTGGGCACCAACTTACGAAGAGCAGCTAATCTGTCCCAAGGATCCTCATGAAGGAAACGCATGGCTACATCAAAGGTTGCACCACCCCAGCATTCGAGTGAGAAGGCGTTGGCCAAAGCGTGAGAGGTAGCAGGAGCAATTCTTAAGAGATCTGTGGATATAATTTAGTTTCATTTGTTTTCATTGTTCTTTTTTACTTACCGATTGTTCTCACACGGGTTGCCAATAAACTTTGATGAGCATCTCTCCAGGTTGTATCCGTAATGAGCACACCAGGGTAAGCACGGACAGCCTTGGCGAAGGCTTCAGGACCTTGTTCCACAATGATCTTTCTCCAACCTTCTGTCGCAGGAGCGGACACATCGACCGTCTTATCACTTCCACTCTCACGCAACACAGGTACTTCGATTTCCTGTTTGAATGAAGGTTCGCCGATCTGCCCCTTGATCTGAGATCCATTGACGACGATATCACCGAGGTAACCGAGGAGACGTTGAGCACGGTTCTGGAACTGAACGAGGCGGAAAAGGTCGGGAGTATCATCAATGAAGGTGGTCCAGCAGTTACCGTTGATAAATGTATCATGAGTGAGCAAACGTTGCAAGAAGGGGATATTGGTCTTGACACCACGAATTCTGAATTCAACAAGGGCTCTCACGATCTTGCGACGTGCCACTTCATAAGTAGATCCCGAGCAGGAGACCTTGACCAATAACGAATCATAATGTGGGGTGATGATAGCACCTGCGTACCCGGCACCACCGTCCAGACGGACACCGTTACCACCAGAGGAACGGTAGACTTCGATCTTGCCTGTGTCCGGTTGGAAGTTCTTCTCGGGGTCTTCTGTCGTCACACGGCACTGAATTGCGAACCCACGTTGGCGAATACGTTGTTGAGTGAGGCCGAGTTGAGGCAAGAGAGCACCAGCAGCGATCTGGATCTGAGCTGCGACGATATCGATACCTGTGATCTCTTCGGTAATCGTGTGTTCGACTTGAATACGAGGGTTGATTTCGATAAAGTAGTATCTGTTTTGGTTGTCGACAAGGAATTCGGCTGTACCCGCATTCTTGTACTTGACAGCTTTGGCAATCTTGATCGCATCATTGAGGATTGCCTCACGCACCTTGTTATCGAGGTTCTTGGCAGGTGCAATCTCGACCACCTTTTGGTGTCGTCGTTGGACAGAGCAGTCTCGTTCAAACAAGTGGACGACGTTACCGGCACGATCAGCCAGTAATTGGACTTCAATGTGTCTTGGCTTATCAAGGAATCGCTCGATGAACACAGTGCCGTCACCAAAGGCAGCCAACGCTTCAGATTTCGCACGGCTAAAGGCATCTTCCAGACTAGCTTCATCCCGTACCACACGCATACCACGTCCACCGCCACCCATGGCAGCCTTAATGATGATCGGGAACCCGTGTTCCTTGATGAAGGCTTGTGCTTGGCTGTATTCACTCACTGGACCAGGTGTACCAGGTACAACGGGAACCCCACAGTTCATGGCTATAGAAAATTAGATCCCAGCATAAGTTTCTTATCTCCCCCACTTACCAATCGTTCTGGCTTTTGTTTTATCGCCTAAACTTTCAATGACATCAGGTGAAGGACCAATGAAAGTGATTCCCGCCGCTTCAACTTTTCTGGCAAACTCAGCATTTTCAGACAGAAAACCATAACCAGGATGAATCATACTGACTCCACGTTCTTTGGCAATCTTTACAATCTCGTCTTGCGCCAGATAAGCGGCTACTGGTGTGTATTGACCCACACGGCCAAGTTGGTATGACTCATCAGCCTAAACAGCGTATTAGTTTCTTTTTCCTTTTTTATATCTTTTTCTTTACCTTATATCTGTGCATTGATAATCTATCTTCATGAGAAAAGATAGCCACTGTCTTCATTGAGAGTTCATGGGCAGTACGAAAGACACGGATGGCAATTTCCTAAGAGGGGGGACATTTTAGTAAGATAACATCAATGAATGCGCGCGTCTTGTCACTTACACCACGATTAGCCACCAGCAACTTTCGCAGGTTACCCATCACTTCACTATTTCTGCGAATGGTATCGACTGAGTGTTCACGAGCAGGAGCACTTGGCATTTGTTTAATAATAATAATAAAAAAGAAAAAAGAACGAAAGAAGAAAGAAAGAGAGAAAAAGTCAACCTTTTTATTATTTATATTTTGCCTGAGAAAAAAAAAAAGTTGGTGTTTCCCGGAATAATTCATGCCTCGTTTCATGTGTCATCATATGTGTACTACAACCATTGAATTGAAATACCGAATTGATAATAATCAGTAAATCTGTTTGACCCTTAGTTACCCATCAAGTTCATGTGTTCCAATAAAAAGATTTCTAAATCTTGCCAACCACCGCCAACTCTAATCAACACTTTATTCTTCTTATTTCTATACGCCATCAATTTACAAGTGTAGACTTTTTTGCCTCCACCAAGAGAAGGTAAGAGTTCATTGCCAAAGTAATATTTTCCTTGTCCTTGTGGTGATTTTTGACAGTGTATAGTGACTGGACTAGAATTGATAATGGTAGATATCTGTACATCTAATTCATCTTTGGGGTCTGGTTTATAATATGATTTGCTTCTATTGGATTCAGTTAATATCTTTTTATTCGATCTTGAATCTTCTACTACTACTTTTCTTGTCATCACTGATTTTGGTCTTGGTATCTCATGTGGGGTTTTAGGTCTAGGTATCAGACTAGGTGTCACCGCTCGTCGCATCGTCATCATACTCTGTGGTCTGGGCGGTGATCTATTATCTTCACGATAACGACTACTTGGTGTAGCACTTCGATTAGGTGTTGCACTTCTTTTAATTGTTGTTGTTGTTGTGGCACTTGTTTCAAAATTATATTTATTAGGTGTCGCACTTCTTTCGATAGGTGTCGCACTCCTGTCGATCTTGGTCGTTCTATCAACGAGCCATTTATCTCTTCTTTCAAACTTGCTTGGTGTACCAACTCTTTCCAATTTGCTCGGTGTACCACCTCTTTCAAACTTGCTAGGCGTGCCACTTCGTTCCATCAGTTTCGGTGTCCCACTTCGCTCGGGCGTGAACAGAGGGCTCCTGGATCGAATATAGAAATCAGGTTCAGGGCTCTTGAACGAACTGGATTCTGCACTCAGTCTTGAACACGACCTTGCCGGACTCATCGGACGATCCCAAAAAAGGTCTCGTTTTCGTAACTGGTCCATCGTCATCTTGAGTTGATCCCAACGATGGATCATGGCCTCGTGTCGCTTGATTGTGACCGAGTCCTTGGAGACTCTGGCTGCGATACCATTTCCGAGCATAGTCAGCATCTTATCAATCGAAGGTGTGTAGTACTTAAACTTGGCTTCAAAGTTTTTCTCGAGTGAACGCAGCTTGTCCGTACTTGAAGACGAATTACTGTCATTGGACGATGTCGAACAGGTCGATTGAGGGGTTCGAGTGATGAAATGGTAGCATTGAGCCACCGTCTTTTCTAGGCCATTCATCATGTCTTCCACCTGATCAGCCACCTGCTTGAACACGGCCAACCAACGGTCTTCTTTGAGCTCCATCTTGAGATCATCGATTTCCAGGCGCAAGTTTTCCCATTTCTCTTGAATCATGGCGTTCTTCCTGACCAAGTTCTCGTCCGTGTAGGTTTGATGATACACTTGTTCGACTTGACTAAAGAGAGGACCGACTTGATTATCAATTTCAATCAGCAGGGTCTCGAGGGTATAGCCCTTTTGTCTCTGTTCTTGAAACTGAAAAATAAGAAGAGAGAGCTGATCGATGCTCAAGAGGATCGATTCCATCCGTTGCTGCAATTCAAATCTTGAACTTAGGTCAAGTTGAAGTTCCTTGATGGATTTTATAAAGTGTTGAAGGCCAGAGTGTTCTGATTGTATCTTGACACACTCAAGTCGATAACCTGGAATGATCTCGTTTAATTCGATCAATAATTCAATAACATTGGAAATTTCTTCCAGTTTGGCTTCTACAGGTTCAATACTCTTTACAGAATCATTTTCTAATTTTACATTCTCTTCTACTTCAAATGCCAACACATGTCCAATTTGAATCACTTCTAGAATCTTCTCGAGGGCCTTTTCATATATATTCTTTTGTTCTTCTTGATCGTTTATTTCAAATATTCTTTTTATTTCCTCTTCACTAGGTACAGTGACTTGATTTAACTTTAAATAAAACTGGTCTTCTTCAGGTGTCATCTAATCATGGCCCTTAATATGTTTTTATTTATTTGTTTTTGTCTCTTTTATACCTTAAGGGTATTGTATTTGTACTTTGGGTATCAAAATGGGGTGTATATATGTTTCTTCTTTTTAAAAGAATAAAGAAGAAAAGAAAAGAGAAAGAAAAAAAAAAGGGGGGGAATATATTAAGACAGTGAAAGAGAGACAAAGACAGACAGAGAGAGGAAAAGAGAAAAAAAAAATCGGACGTTAAATGTATATGTGTAATGTGATTGGTTAAAATGATATCATATAAAAAATATACACACTTGAAACACTTTATACTCCTGTGTAAGCGACTTTTTTTATTTATGCACATATTTATTCCCTCTCTCTCTTTGCAGCTTTACAAGTTGTTTTACTTTAAAGTCAGATGATGACGTTTTCTCTCATCGTTTGAGGTTGTTCTTCTAAAGTGTGTGTTTAGGCTGTCAACTTCATTGTAAGAGAAAAAGATATAAAGAATATATATAAAAAAAATGTAAGGGGGGTTTCATTATTCATTACCAAAAAAAAAGGGGGTAAGAATAAACATGGCCAGTTTAACTCTAAATTCAATTCTTTCTCTGTCTCTCTCCCTTAAAGATAATTTTGACGCATGAAAAAAAGGCTCATGTGGCGGACTTTATCGAAGCAGCGGGTATTAAAAGCGTACATCTTCATGCTTCAAATGGAAACATATTAAAACGAGACTGTCAAGGGGGAAGAATTATATATCACAAACGAGGATGGGATATACCCTAAAGACGAAAAGTAAACGAGTTGGTCAAGTTATTTGAGTAGAAATGGGGGAAACGCACTTTTATAATAAAACGTACACGTTCGAATTATCTTTTGACACACTTAAACTTTAATTTCAAAGTCGAATAACGACGGAATCGTTGTGCTTATGCTAGATTGTTTCAATCAAAGGCTAGATCTGATAAAAAGAATACAGATATACCCTTAGCCATGGTTTAAAGTAAGTTTTTCTAATCGTACAGCGAAACATACTAAAAGTACAACTACAATTCAGCAGGTGAATGTCAAGTTTTCTTGAATAGTCAATGGTGAATTGTGCCTGGTTTCCAGTTTAATGGCTCAAAATTGCTATGTTAATTAATTATCCTGTGCTTACAAGCCTGTCGAAGTCCTTCTTCCACACAGGAAGACACGTCTCTTGATTTACAACCTTCACCTTACCAAATGATAGCAAAGGCAGATAATTGAGTGTTGCCCCTTATTGGATTCTTGGTGAAAAATAATGTAATTTTAATATGACCTTTTTAAAAAAAGAACAAGCTAATATCAATACCTGAAACATCATTCGTTCACTATCGTTCATGTGGACGAAGCTTGTTCTTAATTTTAAATAGTAACTGTTGGTAATAAACGTATCCTCGCTTTTATCTTTAGTTTCTCATCTTCATCTTGTTAAGTTCTCTCGCCAAAGAATCTAAGGTAAGACCGGTCTAAACTTTAGAGGGATCTCATCCTCATATAGGTCACTACGGGGCTCATATAATCCATAGACACCTGTCAATTTTTTTTTTTTTTTCAAGGCAGGTCGATACGATATACCAATTACAATAACTTATAGATGCCATATGCGAATTTCAGAAAAAAGTATGGCAAACGTATAGGCACTGGATACTTTTTTTTTCCTGCTATCAAGTCGACTTCGCAGTGAGAGCAGAAAAAGGAAGAAATCCAAAGTGAACACACTTGTTATAAACTCGAGAATAATTTTGGCAATAACTCTTTTCTTTCCTTATAAAGTATATTTATTTGCCCATGTTGTTGATACGAAGCCTTGATTAATTTGAAGATTGTTGTAAAATTTCTAGATGCCAACCATAGATGAAAACGAGAAAAAAAAAGAAAAGGAGAATCTAGACGTAACACTGAAGGGTGCAATAAACAAATCAATTCCAACAAAGGAAACTGGTCTTGATAAATTGTAATTGACTTTCTTTATTGATTGCGATTCGTTTTTATAAAAGCAGCCGTATCATTCATACTGGGCTTCTTTTGATAGAAGGATTAGAAACTCTTAGTTACGTGTCTATGAAAGCCTGCTACAGGTTTTTAACCTAAATTGAGACGATTAGAAAAATTGAACTGGACAGTTTACAATTTTATGTTGAATAATCTCTAAAAGATTTGAGACATGCAACAAAAAAAGAAACAAGAGCCAAAAAACATTTACCTGCATTAAACTGCTTAAGCGGTAACTTAAGTGGACAATTTTGTTCTCTTGTTTGATGATGGATTTTCGCTTGTGACTTGGCCTTGAGAGTGGCTGTGTTTGTCTAAAGCAACTTGGATGTTCCCCAGTCTCTCTGAGACTCATAAAGATCTCTTTGAAGTTACACACTGCTGCCAGATCACGGTTCCATAATTTGTTTGGTGAGTGGTCTTTGTGCCTCAGCAGCTCATTGCCTTAACTTTTGACATATCTTTTCGTCTATATGGCCTAGGGTTGTCAATTATCTTGAACTTTTCTAATTTTCCTTCACAGTCAGGACATAATGATGAGGCTTTGTATTCATTTATCAAGTACAAATTAAAACCGCTCTGCTTCAACATTTGAATAAACCCTTTATTTCGGATGGATTCATGGAATTTTACGTTCGCGGCAGACCAATCTCCGAGAACAAGGACAGCATCGTGTCCGAGCTTCTTTTTCAAACTTTTGATTGGTTTATCGTCATTTTGTTGAAGGGACAACTTGCTTGAAAAGCGCATCTTTCTGAGCGGCAATAATTGTAGTGTCTGCAATAAAGAGCTTGTGTCTTTTTTGAGCTTATCAAGGTTATTTTCTAGTTACTCATTACTGGAGCTTTGACAATATGTATCTTTGCACTTCGCTATTAATTGTCTATACAGTATGGTAGGTGCACTGAGCTTTGATCACTCCATCTTACTTCCATCACGGACTTGTCTTTGAACAAGAGATAAAAATACTTCAACAAAGAAACCTTTGATAACATAGTTGTTCAAGTCAAATTCACTGACTTGTTTCACCTCATTTGTAAATATAAACTTCGAAAATAGGTACGTATGTGTCACTATTTTATTAGTGACGTTTATGAGTTCGTACAATGACTTTATGAATTCTGGTTTCCAAATGTCTCTAATACTCGTTTTTACTACCAGGACGCGTTTTGTACACTAGTATACAAAAAGAAACGGTTAGGCGCAAAATACTTTAGTAATAACATCTTTATTCTTGGATTTACTTCTTCAGGTTCTTCTTTTGAAATACTCATAGCTTCTTAAAATGTGGGTGGTAAAAAGAAGAAGTAAACTATTATTTACGTTGGCAACATTGTCATAAAAACACTTTATCAGGACAGTCCCAAACACGGACACCACTAAGTTTTAAGACATTATCAATTTATCAAAAAAAAAAAAAAAGATATATTGCATTTTATATTATAATCGATGAGGAATAGAAGTATATATCCCCTTTGACTATATCAGGTGCCTCGAATAAATATTATACATTATGACAAAATAATGCTCCGCAGGATATACCGAAGACTCTGTAATAATCTCTTGAGAATATCTAACAATATAATCAAGTCTTGTTTAGGAGTCTGCAATGATATCAATCAACATAAAATTGTAAACTGTCCAGTTCAATTTTTCTAATCGTCTCAATTTAGGCTAAGAACCGGTATTTAAGTAGGAGGGAAACGAGTTTTTAATATGCGCTAAACTCACACCTATTCTTAATTGAGACAATCATAACCAAACTCATATAATCTCGCCACTTTTTTTTTTAAAAGAAATGTAAAGCGTGTGTTCTATTTTAATGACTGTAGCAATAAACACCGTACACACTATGAGCTGACAATTCTGTGTACAAGCTGTATTATAAAATTTGATTACTTTCTGGAAAAGGTGTACCTTGATCACATATTTGTACAACTGGGACCCAAATGGAATGAAGCGCGTTGTTTGTACGAACTTTTTGATTTCATGTGTAATCAAGCTGATGTCCTGAGCAGCATTCTATGGGCCCCCCTTGTTTATAGTTGATAAGCTCTCGACTAACTTGAATGCAATGCTGCCAGAGTCTCGCTTATATTCTTTTATTTATTGCTAAGGTGAATGCTTAAGAGCAATATACGATTACAGAGAACCATCGGAGCATAAAAGCATAGAAAAGAGCAACGAGGTTAGCCTCCTAATCCATCCGTCATCGGGTTAAAGAGGGGGGAAGCAGATGAAGGTCCGCCAAACTATTTGAAGTCTTTTGAAAATATATACCGTGATCATAAGATATATCTAGTTTAATACATGCTCGCTTCATTCTTTTGTATAGAAAATTCCCTTTTTTTTTTAGTTTATTGAAAAGTATTTTAATTGTCAATGAAAAAAGTCAATCGGATGAAAGGGAATACATCAAATTTTGGATTTAATTTTCTATTTTTGGAAAATTCACAAGCACAGTCGTTCCAGCGCCAAAGGGCAGCTAATTAAGAAAACCAAAAGGCGGTTTTTGAGATGTCAAAGGGCGGATTTTTAAGTATCAGAGCTCGCTTTTATTTCTTCAGTTTGCGGCTTTAACAAAAGCTATGTTTACTATTACGAGAAAACAAGCCATATGACAAAAATACGGCTGAAGAACTTCTTAAGCAAGTCGAAGCTATAGAACTCGACATTTGTTATAGAGACAACCCTTGCAAGCCTTTTTTGTTATATATAAACAGTATATATGCTGATCCATTCACATACACTATTTCCAGAAAGAGATGTCGCACTGACTTGTCGCTTTTTCGTATAAATTATATTATAAAATTGCAAAAATGCGACTTTACTTTCTGAAAAGGCTGTGCCACACGTATGTGAAGGAAAACACACTCCCTATTAGCAGCAATGAAGCTCAAAAGACAACAAAGAAGATTGGTAATAATTTTGAACAAAAGCTAAATGTTTGGTATATTTAAATTTTCTTTGTTAATCAACTAAGTGCAACTTGTAAATTTTTTAAATGCTGTGTTCTTGTCTACAGATCCATGTAATGAGCATGTGTATTACTGTGATAGTCTAAGCATGAATGATCTTCTGGCTGTGGTTTGGAAACACGCCAATATTTTCGATAAAAAGACCGCACAAGGTTTTAGTAAATGGTGTGCAAATAAAAAGACACATTTGATGAATTCTGTTAGAAGAGAATGGCCAATGAATATAATCAAAAAAACGTCAGTTCGAAGCCTATATGTGCTGAAAAAGGAGTTTATCGATAAGATCTACTGTAATTATTTTTGCTGATCCGTGACTAACTTGCCATTTAGGCCGAATATCAGAAGACATCATTGGACGTCTACCGCGCTATCAAGACATGATCAAAAACTTGAAAGAAGAGGAATATTATATAGCTGGTTATGCAAGGAAGTCTGTAGGAGAAAAGAATGATCAAGCACGCGTACGCTTACTTAACAAGGTGTGTCAAAGCCTAAAAGAGAGATCACTGGTGAACAAAGTATTTGTTAGTGTATCCTACAAAGCAGATGATGAGCTGTTGACACAAGATAACAAAAGAAATGAAGATCTATTAGCAAAAATAAATGCCGAGGGTGACATGCAAGATAAGAAAAAAAACCCACCATTATGATCTTAGTTGAATTCCTGTTCGCTTATTAGACATGCTGAAATACATTTCTGCGAAGAAAAAAGTATGTATTGTTGGACTTTGCGGGACTAACAACAAATCAAAAAGATTTAAAAGATTTTTTAAAGTGAGCTTTATTGAAAAAATAAAATAAAATAAAGATAGAAGAGTATACTTAGTCTTTTATAGGAATAATCAAACAGTTGCCGAAGCGGAAGGAGAAGATGAGGTGGTAAAGGCCCTTTCGTACCACGCTTTATTTTCAGATAATATATAATAAAAAATTTTTTTGGTTCCTGTTTCTTTAGATCTTTGAGCACTGCTAACTCATTTTTCTATTCATCTTGGGAGGGGAATAACAGCGAAGGAAGCCAGTCGAAAATTGAAGGGCGGGTGACCACTTCATCTTCTCCTTCCACTTCAGCAACTGTTTGATTTGAAGTCATACTTATCCCAATCATTGCTGCCTCCGTTCCAGGTTCCGATGATGTGGTAACGTTTTCCGTAGTAGAAAAATGGTGTTGCTTATCGCCTGGCTTTCTTGAAACTTGTTGGAAGGTTTATAATAGTATTTCTCGAAGGCGCCTGAGTTGCTTGACCAATTCGCATGTTTCTTTACTTGTTCGATCTTATGATTATGCATTACTGCCCACGCACTTGCTGCTGCTCTCAGTGAATGTGCTTTGTCTTGTGTCATTTAAGCCATTACATAACACAGCAGAGCAAGCAAAAGAAGATGATTGTCCTGTAAGAGCCTTAGCAGAATTTATGGATCGTACAGCAAGTCTACGTCATGGTTTGCCAGACGACCACACATTATTCCTGGCAGAGATTGAAAAGGGTGAACAAGCCTATTCCATCAAACCAGCAACCGCCGCACCATGGATACAACAAACAATGTAAGAAGCTGGCATTAACGCTAAGGTATACAAAGATAAAATAAGTGCTCATTATTAATCTTTATTCTGAGATAAAGACAGAAGGAACATACAGTTAAATAAAGGATCTACTATTTATAAAGAAGAGAAAAAGGAAAAAAAAAAAGAGGCGCGTTAGCAATTCTTTTATCATAAATATCAAAACAGATTAAGGTCATGCTGCCTATCATCCTTCCGTTATTATTACGCAATGCGTCTGAGTGTGGACCCCTTCTGTATCTTGAGTTCTTTTATTGCTATTGTTGTTGTTTAATAACAATATACCTCTCGTTCTCTTGACAGTGCACTGGTAATGGGCTCCGTGGCTATTGTTAGTGGATGCAAGAAAGGTTATAGTAAAGATATTGCTTTCCTTTTATTACGAAAACGAGGCTCATTGTTTCCACTCCTATTTTAGTGTTACACAATTATCTCCGTTGTCACGCGCTAATCATTGCCCGCCGATCTTCTGTTACAATAGGAAAAAGAAGGGTCAAAAAAGGTAATAGACCCTTATTTGATTCCTCAAGAGTGCCGACTTTTTTTTTCACTTCGTCATCAAAAGGTTTGGGAAAGAAGGTTGATAATAAGCAGAGTGGAATATTAATGCTTGAATATAGACCATAGATTCATTGTAAATGAGTATTGGGCTCATATACTGTTGATAAAGAAAAGCAGGAAAAGACGAAGCATAATGAACAGATACTGGTACATTTGTATACTCATGCAGTTCTTGAAACATAACCTCTTTCTAAAGCTATATAAAAGCACCTTTTACTTCTGCTATGATACACTACTTTAACAGAAATAGGCAGGAAATGATGAACAACCACAGTGTAAAATGTCGAGATTCGGAACAATGACAAAATAGTGAACGGAAATAAACACATATTTGGAAAGTCTATTCTTGGAAAAAGAGATCCTTACAGTGGTTCCACTGCCATTCTCCATAGAATGAATAAAGAATTTTATTAGAGAGTCAGATAGAGCAAACAAGGAAGGATATAAGCAATGATCTTCCTTTTCTTTAAAATAGTGAGATTTAAAACCATTAAAAGAAATACAATGACAATAGCTGTTATTTGATCTTTGATGAGTGAGGTCAAAACCACATCTACTATTGATAATAATGTGTTAGTTCTGTTAATTATTGGAATCAATAAGATGCATACTTAATTGATAAGATCATCCACATTCGTGGACAGCCCAGCATAATGGATCACAACTAAACATACATCTTCATCTGTTGCGCTTAGATAGTTTATCAAACCTGAAAGATATATGCACTTCATTGATATTACAATCTATATCATACACATATTTCGCATACTAGCCTTGGGTGTTGCCTGTAGCATTGCTTATTTTGCTCAAGATTTATTGGTTGTCTTTCAAGTCATGGAAGCAAGTGAATCTGAGGCTGAGCAGCAAGACGACACAAACACGTTGTCAACAAATGATCTGTTGCTCAAGCATTTGGGTTCTCGGCTTTTCCTTTTCGTTGCCTGGCGATTTTCTGACATAATGAATGATCGAAATCTTCTGTTCTTTCAAGCCTTTTATGTGCTTCTGATGGTCTGGAATAAAGCTTATTATATCCTTGACTAAACCATCTTAAAGAAAGGTTAAACAATAAATCATTTTCGCACATTTAAATCATAACTTTACTCAAGTACTCCTTCTTCAAAACAAAGACTCTTCTTAGCCTGACACTAGATACATCACCGTGCATATTTCGCCTTTTTCTTGTAAATGGCGCACTTAACATTAACAATTCTCTCTTCTTGCACCAGGTTGCGAACGATTGGGTAGCTTTATCAATCATAATGTCAATGTAATGGTTCGTAATTGCAAATACATCCTTCATGTTGATGTCTTTTCCCGCGTAGGCCGATTCTTCCGTTGAAGCAACAGGCACAAGGACGTGGTTCAAAATTGTATCGCTTGTATTTCCGTTGCTAATTATATTTATAATTAATAACAAAAAAACACATAGCTACTAATGTATAATATTACTTACTCAATTGCAGTATTCTTCCTTTTCGGCTGATTTTTGAACATAACGCTTATAAGAATAAATGTCGCCCCAAAGTTCTAGGCAGTGGGACCTTTTAACAAGTAAACATCTGCTCCACCAATACCTTCACCAAAAAAATTTTTTTTCAAAAGCACTTCATAATTCTAATCGGTGTATTCCTTTGAAAAGTGTATGCAAACAGCTTGATTGTGAGAAATAAACATTTTACTGGTGTACACTATGCTCACACGAAAAAATCCACAGAGGTTAATTCTAAAAGCGCTGCCTGTGATACCGTCAACAAAGCTTTTGATCGTGTCGTGCCACGCTAAGCATGGCCTATATTGTTGCCATCTTGGTTTTTTTTTTTTCAAGAAAGTGATAAAAGGAATTGCTTTTATTGCTATGTTTTAGTTTTATGCTGTCAGTTTGATCAACGTAGATCACTTAACTCGGGTGTAATTATGACAACATCGTATTTTACATTATTCCATTGGAAAGCTTTGCATGTGCAGGAGAAGAAGCACCTGTAGAGTTATTCTATTTTCTGGTGCATGTAACGTTGGCCTAAACGTTTTATTGGTGTGAGAGGAGAAAATAAGACAGTTTGTCTGCTTTAAAAAATACCATTTGTTGCAACTAGGTACACTTTTATTGAATGCGATAATGGACTTATTGCTCAATGGTTGAAATTCATGAAAGATAATGAATTGATCGTTTCTCTTTCTCAGTTCATTATCGATTGCAGTTATGCTGAAGTAACAATGCCCACTGCCTCAGTTCTTGTCATAAATGTTTCCTTTGCCGTTTTCTTTCAAGAATATGAACGATTTCATTTTTTTAGATGGTGAAAAATATCTATGAAATCATTTCTTCATTCTATTTGGACTGCATCATCCCTTCATACAGTGGACGATCCAGCAAAATTATGCTAGAAAAGATGCCAGGCGAAAAAAAGCGGTATTCCTTTCTACGGATACACGGCTGACATCGGTGAAGCCTAGGATTTGCACACTGTTTCAGCAGAATATCTCCAAAGCTTAAATCCTACTGGACTGCCTCCTTCACAACTGGATTCAAAAGTTGACCCAACAGGAAATCTTTGTAACAGAACAAGATTGACCGCGGTGTATATTGATAGTATACGCTCAGGGTTCGCCTAGCGGATGGGTCCAAATGGCCCATTAGCCCTTATATCTATGTATACGCTATCAGTACAAGAAGGATATATGCCGTTTATACTTGCAAAGAAGCAGTTCATGTTAAATTATGTTTCGCTATATCAATCAACAAGTCCTAAGGTCAATCATTGAAATATGTGGGCATTGACCAAAGGCAATCACCATTTGTGCATAGATAGCTATATATCGCTCTTACAAGGTCAGTTTATCTCAATCTTTCTACCATAAAGTTCTAATACAATCAATAACGTAATCTATCCAGAATTACTTCTTAACTAATATGCCCACTGAAATATGTAACTTATAAGACGACAGTTACATTAGACTGTGCCCTCTTTTTTTATTATAAATCTCTTCTTTCTTTGTGGGTCCATAAATCAAATTCATACAGAAAACTAATTTGGATATATTATTATTATATTTAATTAACAATAAAGCTGTTTGTCAATAAACAACGAATCCATCAAACGCCACACATTTCACCACAAATGTAACAAATGTGTGCCTATAATCAATCATGTTACGCAGACGATTATGGTTATGTCATTCTTATTCATTACAATTTAATTTACATACTTTCTATTATGAATAAACTATGAAAACATATATAAAGCACCGTGACATCAATAAACGGCAAATAAGCATGTAGAGAGGAATCGGAGTATGTTGTTAGGCACAAAAAGAAAAAGTCAATTTAGCCATTCGCTTAAAGCGTTGTATCTGCCTTTACTTATCACAATGAGCGAGGCCTTTAGATCTGCGGAAGCACGATGATGCGGAAAAAACGAGCATATAGTTACCATAACACTATTGATTATTGTATTGAAGCTGCGCATTATAATAGGAAGGGAAGATCGCCAGATTATTAACTGCTACAACAATTCGTTATCCTAAACACCTCAATACATATGCACCACATCCTTGTCATGTTTATCGGATATCTATGTAAGATAGACTGTCGTGAATATAATAGTAAATAAGAAGGATGTCTGTAATGATCTTGTTGCATTAAATCTGCTGGAGTGTATTTTGGACTGCACTAAGTATTTCTTTCTATGGTTAATCTATTTTCTAACTTTATTGTTCTATTCAAACCATCTTGCATTTGGTTTCCTTTATTTTACACAAATAAGTATTTATTCAGAATACAAAGAATATGCGTCAACATGTTTAACAAAAAGTAAATCAAAATTGTGTGTGTATATGAGCAATTATAATGTTTTCAACCGAGTTATCATAATTCAAGTCCAGTCCCAAATGAACCCAATCATTCTCCCCCTTTTGCACACACCAATAAAATCTTTATTTGACAAGTTGTATATTTTTTCCTTTTTCCTTTTTATTTTTAAACTGAACCAACAATGACCTCAAAGCTTGATCGTGCTTTAGATGATGTTATACAAGAAAGAAAGAAGGGAAGAAATACTCATCCAGGTCCACGTCGCCAAACAAGTCATATTCGTAAGCCTAAACGATCAGAGCCTCCAGTCCGTTCGTTCATTCGAACCATAAAGATTCAAGGCTCGAGTCAACGAGTAAGAAATAAAGAAATAGAAAAACATAAAAGACCAACATTATATCTAGCGAGGTAATGGGCCCAGAGATGTCAATAGTCCTTGGGCACACGATAAATTCCAAGATGACGTTCCCAGTTCACTTGTGATGTCACGACTTGGTTCTCGAACTAGCAATGTCTCAAGAGGAGGAGGAGGAGTGGAGATCACGATTGATAATCTTCATTACAACGTCACTGAAAATGATGTCCTTGAACTCTTTTCAACAGTCGGACAAGTCGAAAAAGCTCGTTTGTTCTATGATCGTTCTGGTCGCTCAACAGGTCAAGCTAAAGTACGATATGCTTCCAATTCAGATGCACAGAAAGCCATTGAAAAGTTTAATAATGTCGAGCTTGATGGTATTTATTACACAAAATATAAACATTGTCTGGAGAGCTAAACAACCGCAAAAAAAAGGTCAACCCATGAAGATTGAAGTCAGTCAACCTCCTGCACATCGTTCGTCTCGCAGGTATGTGTGTGTGTGTGTATGTGAACTGTAATCAGTATAATGACTCATGATATGTTTAGTGGTGGTAATAACAATAACAGCAATCGTCGTCACGACAGAGGTCGCTCTGGAAGAACACCAAAAGAAAGAACATCAAAAGACAAAACAGAAAAGACGGCAGAGGAACTTGATAAAGAGATGGATAGTTATATGAATGTGAGTATGAATATATAGGAGAAAGATGCGTGTTCTAATTAGATAATGTAGCAAAATGAAGAAATGGCATTGGATTAAAGCAATTGGTTTTATTATATATAAAAATATAATTTGTCTCGTGATCTATAATTTGTTTGGCAGCAGGAGTAACGGGGGAGTTTTTTTCGTAAAAACAATGGTTTATTAGGTATCACCAGTGGGTGTATACTTGCTGTAAATATGTGATATATGTATAGTATGAATTTGGGAGCAAAAAAAGGGACAGCAAGCGAAGAGTAAGATGGTATGTGATTGCGCTAAGTCACGAAAGATAGCTGGAGCTTCTTGAGACAAGGATTCCCTGCATAGGTTCTTCTTATATCTTGCGACGCTCGTGTGGCAGCTTTGCCAGTCCAGAAGGTATGACAATCAAATATGTATCGCTAGTGACAACGCCAGATAGCTAGAATGGTACATGCAATGATACAACAAAGAGGGTCTGAGTAACGATCAGGAAGAAGCTGATGAAGTCATTGTCGACTGGGCAGTTTGTGGTGATAGTAGCGCCACAGTGGCCGTATACGTCTTGTGTTAAAGAGATGCAGATCAGAAGGATCAGGAATAGTAGTATGAAAAAAAAAAAAAAAAAAAAAGAAAACAGCACAAATTTGACTTCAAATTTTATTCAGTACGCTTTGATCAAATATTCAGATATAATATTTTTTATGATTTTGTAAATATTTCATAATATCATTATATTCAGAATTTTGATACAGTGGCTGTATACAAATATTTTTCTTGATTTCTCGTCACAATCATCACTGGTAATTGTATGTTCTTTGGTGGTGACCTGTTTAGCATCTATGGATAAACTTGCGTGAACTCTACCATTGGCGTCATTCCAACGGCCGACAGATATATCGCCTATAATAATATATTGTAAGCAGAGCTGCTATTTTGTGATAAACCATCTGTACTTACCTCTAGCCGAATGAGCAGAGCATACGTGAAAGTCTCGAATCATCTATTCAATTAGACCTGGATGACAGCTTATAGTATACACAGAATATCTTTGATTGCTCCAGTGTTCATTCTTGCTCTCGTTCTGCCTTTTTGTAAAGGGTAATTATAGAAACAGAAGCAACCGTGGTGCTTTGTGGCTATTGTTGAAGTACCTGTAATGGACAGAAAATACAATGGGACCCTTTATGTTTCTTTTACTGTGAAGAAATAAAGATATTAAAAATGATCGTTACACTTTTTATATGGAATTGTGATTATTATTGTGACTGGTCAGTTTATGGACTTTGTGTAGACACTGGCTACTGACAACCTCTTTCAAATATACACTCTTTTCAGAAAGTAAGTTCGCTCTTGTCGGAAAGTAAATGCAGCAAATGGCGAGAGTAGAATTCATGTTCAAAAAATAAATTCACTCTTGTGGAAAATGAATTCACCTGATGGCAAGAACAATATTCATGCTGTACGAAATGCAAATTCGTCTTCACTGACAAATAGGATGTCCTGCTGCTAAGAATATTTTGTTGAACAAGTCTTAGTATCTTTGGATATATAAGAGCGTGCCAAATGCTCGTATCGGATTTGTTGCTTTTTCACAATTGCACAAGAAATCACAGCTTATGAGCATTCAATTCTTGTTTGAAAATGGGAAAGGTTCTGTCATCGACGAGTGTGACCGACCGGAACCAATGGATTACATTGTTGATGAGAAGCGGTTTCGCCTTGAAATATTGAGATCTCATACATAGTATTTGGTTCAACTGCCTTGGGAAAGCGAAAAAGAAATGGAGGCAACGCAGATGGAAAAGGAGACAAAGCCCAGTGATGGTGTTATTATGAGGGAAACATTAGTGAAGCGAAATTATACACACTATTCTGATCTGGACAAAGTGAGGTTCTTCAAATTGTTGTTTGAGAAGTGTTTGAGCGTAGCGGCTGCTACAAAGCAGCTAGAGATTCACGTTCGCACAGCACAAAAATGGGTTAAACAGTACGAGAAGGTTCCCGACAGTATCTTTGAGAAACAGAGAAAAATTGGCCGTCCAAATATTCTCCATGAGGAGCACAGAAGGACTTTCTCGAGTGCATTGATGAGAATCCTTTTGTCGTTCTAGACGAAGTAATGAAGCAGTTAAAGCAAATGTTCACAGAATTAAAAGTATTTGAAAGCCTTTGTTTGATTTTGTAAAAGAACATTGCAGCTTGTCTTTCAAAAAAGCTCAGCTTCAACCTATAGATTGGAACAACGAAGAAAAGATTCAAGAGCACTTGGACTGGATTCGTAAGTGGGAAAAAATAGACATGGATTTTACGAGAAGTTGTATCTCCCTTGATGAATTTACTTTCCATATTAATTTGAAACGTAGTATGGCATGGTCAAAGAAGGGTACACCGGAAGTGGTCACAGTTCTCAAAACTCGAGCAACAACAACCACAATTTTAGGCGTGATCTCTGCTGAAGGTCTAATTAAATGCAGCCTTAGATTTCCTCAGCATTCATCCAGTAAAAAGAGAAAGCGAGGAGATGATGCTGGATATGTGAGCAAAGGAACGGTTACGGGACATTACGTGAGCTTTCTAAAAGCCACAGTGGATAAAATGGACCAGTATTCGCATATGAAAGACCATTACCTCGTAATGGATAATGCTCCTATCCATACATCAGAGGACATAGCCAGATACGTAGAATCGCGCGGATACCGCTGCACTTGTTTACCGTCCCATTCTTCTGAGCTCAACCCAATCGAGCAATTCTGGTCAGTTGTAAAGAGTAAAGTAAAACGTAACGGGTTCCTGGAAAAGGACACCTTGATGACGAGAATCAGTGAGGCTTCTAATACCTTGAGGTTAAGTGATTTTAAAGGGTTTGCTGAGCATTCTCTTAAATGCTTGAACAAGTGTCGTAATAGGCAACCACTCTGAAGGTGCCCTCATTCACGCGTGATAACAGTGAGAAAAAAAAAAAAAAGAAGTGCAGTGAAGGGACTTTTTGGAGAAAATTGGACCTCAAGGATGTGAATGTGCCAATAAAAGTTTAAGTGTGATGCTTTTTTTTTTTTTT